GGTTTGTACCATGTAAGCAAAGCTATACTGCCCGTGCAGGATTTTGATGGATTCAGGATACCTCCATACTGAGCAGTCACCAACACCAACATTTGTTGTATATATTCCAAGAAAAACAGCATTCTAGGATCTCAATTTTAAATCAAAAGTTGCTGAATCATGTTTTGAATTGGGCCTGAATTGCGTCCGAGACGCGTTCTCACTGAGCCGATTGCAGCTATACGCGATGTCGCACACTGATACGACGAATTATAGTAACCGCGCGCACGTGCGCGTCGTGCCAATGCTTGTGCGCGCTTCGCCGAATAACAAAACGAACTACTAATTTAAATTAGTAGTAACGGTGCGTCTTAAGACGCACCGTTGGAAAGGCCTTCTTTCGTTGATTACTTCAAAATGACAGCTTGCCAGAAAGAATATTTTCACAGGGAGTTTAGTCCCCTTGCTATCTCTCAACCAAGTATGTTTTTCAACAATTATTACGCCAGTTACTTTTCGGATGGCTGCAAATGATGGACTATAACTTTAAGTGCGAGGGAAGTAATCAAACATGCTGTTTATAAGTACCGGTAAAGACTAAGGTCAGAAATAACAGGTAGGTTGAACCACCGCCACGGACATTGGTGGCGCTATTTTCATGCCCAAAATGACCTAATTTTTAGTGTGTGACCACCTTTTTTGAAAAGGTTTGACATGGAGTATCACATACAGGGATACTTTCGCTTAGCTCCAAACATCAAGAAAAGAGAATTGCAGAGTGTAGTTGACCTTAGAAAGTTTGGTTTGTTATTACATCACATTGCCAAAAAAAGTTGTGGGTTTCCCCAAAACAGCGATGCCGTTATTTGTGTGTAATTTTCCAATACGTTTGTACACATAAAAAAAAATGACGAGGTCACATTTATTTCAGCCACATAGAGCATCATTTTAAGGCAAAAAAAGCAACTTTAAAATTGCAATAATGTCAGAACTGCTTGCCCTATGAAGTTAGGAGACCATTTGTTTAATTCCATTTTCAAAGCTCTTTTAAGATAAAGTAAATTCTACAACTATCAAATCAACTTTGAAATTTGATGATTCTACCTACCTATAATTTATAACACAGGGAATGAAACGATTTGGGATTGACTTGTGAGTGACTTGTGATTGATTTGTGATAATGTAGTAACAACTCCTCCCTTGCATTCCCCCCCCCCCCCCTCCATTTTGGCCTATCCGTTCATTAACCAGGGGTTTTCCTTAACTTTTTTCTTTACTGGCCGGCCGGGCCAGTAAACCAGAGTTTTCACTGGCCCGCAACCTTTTTCACTAGCCCACATGTTTTAATAGTAACTTTCAATCAAATCACCAGAAGCATTTTTGATAACATTTTTGATAATAAATTATGCAATATGCCTTCGGCAATTATCTTAATCATGTACATAATATTGCATGTAGTTCCTTTTTAAGTGATGTCAATGTTTCTTTAATCGTGCTTTAACATAGAGCAAGGCTTTAATTAACAGGAATCAAATAGGGGGAGAAGTTATAATCAAAATTTATGCAGTGTCCTTCGTTCCGAACTTAAGGCTTTAGGTGTTCTATTTCCGACATGTTTTGATAAAACACGAACTAAAAAAGCGTTATCTTGAGGAACAAGAAAACATTGCACACAGTCGTGGTATTAATGGGAGTTTACCAAGTTAGTAACTGAACTGTTTTAACTTGTTTGAAAATGAGTGAGAAGGCCAGTATTTTTAAAAAAACATCTCTCGCGCGCGCCATGCATTTCTAGCGAAGAATGGTGCAATCAGCGTGCCTAGCCAAGAAGCGCTGCGGGCGGGCGACCCACGAACTTTGCTGGTCACGTCAATCCATAACGTTTTCCGGAGCACGGTCCACTTTACATTCACTAGTCTACATTCAAAATAGGCCCCTCGAATCTCATATTGTCCTCATCTTTTCGGTACATTCGTTTGATAGTGTTCAAGAAATCATCCCAAGAATCCGTTCGGGCACAAGTTTTGGCAGTGAAACTGTCATGAAAGTTTTCTCCTCACCACGTTGTATGATACGAATACGATGTTAACGTACGTACGTCCGTACCGTGTGGACTGCAGATGAAGTAAATCACGTGCGCTGCATGTGTGCACAATGTGTAATGGCAAATACACGTTGATTCGCCTCATGTTCGTCGTTGGGATTTCAATGCACAGCGCACTGCGAATATACATGGAGTGATACGAATTCGAACTACCGATGTTTTTATTTCGGTCGGCGTGGCAAAAGTATTCATGTGTTGTATCACCCTTAACTTTTTATTTTGATTGATTGAAAAATACTGTAGGGAAAACTTCGTTAGTTTTATTTTTTTTAAACAGTTTTTTGACTCGCCCGTCGGACTACTGAGAGGAGGGTTTTTACTCGCCCGCCGCTGTTTTCACTCGCATTTGGCGAGCGGGCGACCGCTAAGGAAAAACCCTGTTAACCAGTCAATTAAAATAATAAACAAAATACGGTCTCAAGTCATAATCGGCCACTGTCCAACATGTCCAACGCAAATTGAATGCGAGTGCGTTGAAATAGGACCTCGTCGTTTTACTTATTATTTACTCAGTTTTTAGCATGTTTAGGGGATCTGTGACGATACTGTCCAATACAGTAAGCAGGCATGGTAGGCAGGCTACACTGCATGAACCAGCTAGCGCCAGGGGGGGGGGGGGGGGGGGGGGGCATGCCAACTACTGTACCTACCCCGCACTAGCCGCAGGCACAGTGCACAAGCACCGCACCACCGGCCCGCGCGCCGCGCCGCGGTGTAAGCGGCGGTCATCAGTCATCAAGAACCGACACACAAAAACATGGTGGGCAAAGCATTTCAATACCGATACAACTAGGCTCCGTCCTAAAACCTTCCATCACTTCACATATTTCAACTTCAACACAATGCCATTGTTCTTCGGAAAAAATATTACCCCAAAAACGTCAACGTCAACTCAGGAAGTTTTCCACTCACCTGCATCGCCATCTTGACTTTGGGATGTTGTATCACGTGACTTTAGCCCACCAATCACTGGCCCCGGTATTCCGATGGCTCCAACACCCACTTTTTCTAGGTGTTTTTCGCTCGCAAATTTTGCCTATTTTTATTGCTTGACAGTTGTTTGATGAGTGTAAATTGTTCACTCCTATTCATGAATCTCTTGGGGGCTGTTTTACCTCCGAAAAGTAGAGCAAAAGTTTTATTACTCGATCTTCGCTCTATGTCAGTTTGTCACATGTGGTTGCATAAACACCAAGTATGCACACACCCACGGTGACTCAGTACATTGTTGTGTCGTGATAGCGCCCCCAAGTTGGCATAATCTTGGTGGTGAACTTAAAGGGAATATACAACATTTGCAAACATCGAAAAATAAAACTACCAAGTTTTTGCGAAATACCTTAATAGGATGTTGGTAAATGACAGTCTAAAGCATCCTGTAAAATTATGGCACCTGGTATACTGTCATTTTCAAGAAAAGTGGTATTTTTGTATCAATTTCCAACGCTGATCGGCCGATCAGCGTTGGAAACTGGCTTTTTTTTTTCAAATACTGGCCCCAATTGACCATTGCACTTGTTTGCAATCGATTACAAACCTATGAACGGGTGCGAGCCAGCTAGACTGGTTCCCTGACCTTACAATTCCCCAATGTATGTAAACTGCTCTGTTTCTTCTTATATGGAGTCAGGGAACCAGACTACAGGAAAAGGATCGTTTTTCTTGGTTTTTATAGCATTTTCGAACCCAAAACCTCCAAAAAGTCAGTGTAACTATATTTGCTTTATATTTCCAACCCCCCAATTCCATCCATTTCTGAAAATTACAGCAAAAGCAAATGATGTATATTCCCTTTAATTAATTAACCGGAAAAACAAATCCATGAAACTAGCTAAACAAACAAAACAATTTAGAAATTCTCAGCAAAAGGAGAATTATATTTTTTTTCGGTGGAGGGGGGAGAAATTGAGTCCGAAAATTAAAGATTCTCTCGAAACGAAAATATCGTCACTATCGAGCCCCGGCGGTTCCCTCTACTAATTCGAGCTAGCTGGATGCCTAGTTAAATAATTTAAATAACATAAAAGGCATTTATCGGTATCAAATTTGTTGATAATAATTACTAATTTAACCCTAACCACCCACAACCCTTCAAATCCAACTGCACGTTTTGTTTGATTATGTTGCGCTCAGAAGGGGACGGATCTCTAGCGATTTAACCATCTCAAAATATTTGTATCCAGTCCAAGCATATTTGGGGGCTTTGGGACTCGACAATTCCTCTAATTTGAAAAAAAGTCTTGAAGATTTGAGGACCCCCCATCCCCCCTCCACCCCCCCTCCAACCCCCCAACCCCCCCCCCCCCCCCCCCCCCCCCCCCCCTCCAACCCCCAACCCCCCATTCCCCGTTGACCAAGTAAATAGTTTTGGAAGCATCATTAATTCAGCTAGGGTTGGTCTCCTTGGTGAGAAATTTTCCAAAAAGTCATTACGGTCGCAGTCGAGCCGCACCTTGAAAAATTGAAGAGAAATTGAAAGATGACATGTCGATCATCATTGTGCAGCCAGAGCACCTGTGAGAGTTCTGAGTATTTTAAAAAAGAATTTTGAAGTATGGGAATGTATTTTTATATTGGGGTGCAGGCCTCCGTGCAGCTTTGCTAGTACCTCGCCCCTCGCCCCTCCCCCCCCCCCCCCGCCCCCAAGAGCGAAGGGTGCAGCAGGTTTCACCCCGCGATGGTTGGAGCTGAAAGCTTTGTGAGGGCGCTATTTACACACACCGGTCGCGACGCGACGGGGCCGGGGGAAAAAAAAATCACTTGTCGATCGATTGACATCCTCGTCCCCATCAATCACTGGATTTATGACACCCTAAACGCTGCGCAAAACAAGAATGTTCGGAGAGTTAGTGCTGCAGATGACGAGGTTGATGTGATGTGGCACGCTCCCTAGTCTGGTGCTTAGACGGCTGATTGGTCATATCACGGAAAGCAAATACAAGAGGCGCAGGTTGCAATACCTTGTCATTCCTTTAGACGTGCAGTGGTTGACAAATTTGACTGGTTTGATTAAGTGAAATCTCCCCGATTTTTACGGCGATTGAGAATTCCGATTGCGCTAGATTACGTACATATCTGACGATCTAAAGCATTTCTTCTAAACGGTATGTTTTGGCACAAATATGATTGACATTTTCATTAAATATAATTGTGTCTTTTGGAGTGGGCGTAGCTGGAGTTACCCAGCCCTGAGTTTTATCATTGGGTTGTCTATTAGGGCTGGAGCAAATTTTTCTCAAAACTTGTAGTATTTGCAAAAAAAATTTGAAAAATGTTCAATTTTGTCCCCATTACACACTAATTGCAACTGCAACTCACCCCAAACTTGCCTGGAATAACCATTACACAGGTCCTTGAAGTAAAAAACGATCCACGATGAAGATTCAGCCTCCAATTGCAGTGAAAACAGGAGGAATAACCGCTAACTTGACAACCTTGCTGGATTGGCCAGGACCGCTATTAGTTTGTGCACAAAAAAAATTGTGTACAATGAATGGCGGTCGATTACCATGCACGTACAGCTCGCTGGTACTAGGCGTTTTTGCGGTCGGTGCATGACGTGACGCGGAAGCGTAATACCCGATGACTGTTTCATGCATTAATAAGAGGTTCACTCGCATCACAGTGCGGTACTGGAACGGCAACCGTCGAGTTGGCCGGCTATCGTGCATTCATAGTGCAGTGTTACTGCCGTTCCAGTACCGCACTGTGATGCGAGTGAACCTCTTATTAATGCATGAAACAGTCATCGGGTATTACGCTTCCGCGTCACGTCATGCACCGACCGCAAAAACGCCTAGTACCAGCGAGCTGTACGTGCATGGTAATCGACCGCCATTCATTGTACACAATTTTTTTTGTGCACAAACTAATAGCGGTCCTGGCCAATCCAGCAAGGTTGTCAAGTTAGCGGTTATTCCTCCTGTTTTCACTGCAATTGGAGGCTGAATCTTCATCGTGGATCGTTTTTTACTTCAAGGACCTGTGTAATGGTTATTCCAGGCAAGTTTGGGGTGAGTTGCAGTTGCAATTAGTGTGTAATGGGGACAAAATTGAACATTTTTCAAATTTTTTTTGCAAATACTACAAGTTTTGAGAAAAATTTGCTCCAGCCCTAATAGACAACCCAATGATAAAACTCAGGGCTGGGTAACTCCAGCTAGAGTGGGCGTTCGATTATATTTGGTTCGACTGGTTGACCGGCCGGCCTACTGACATGGGTATCGGGACAACTCGTACCCGGGACGACTCGTACCCCAAATTTGTGACCCGGGACAACTCGTACCCGAGACGACTCGTACCCGGGACAACTCGTACCCTGGACAACTCGTACCCGGGACGACTCGTACCTTGTACTTTTCAGTTACCATTTATTTTTCTGTTCCTTTTTAGTTAGATGTAATTGACAAATCCGAAGATGTGGAAAACCAAAAGCCGTTGAGTTTTGGGGAATTGCCAGTGGTGACAAGCAAGAGATTGTTCTGGAGAGATTCTGGCAGCTGGCCGATGATCGCGGAGTTCGCCGAATTCGCGGAAGGAGCTATAGCAATCATGAGCTTCGTAACTTATTTGATCTTCATTTATTGCGAAAACTTATTTCTAAAATAAGTGGACCGATTCATTAAAATTATAAAAATGTTACATATGTCACCTTCTACACTTTTTATGACATTAATTTTGATAACCATCAACAATCCCAGTAGCGTGTCAGTCTTTTGCATAATTATGTGAAATAATTCAAAAGTCACTTAATTAGAATTGTTAGCTTAGTGAGTAGCGTGAGATGCCATGTTTCACGCGTCATTGTGTTCCCGTTTGCAGGGCTATATAAACGCCAGCTACTAGGGCGGAGTTTGCTCGTAACTTATTTGATCTTCAGTTATTGCATTACTAAATAAGTATTGCATCCCAAAAAGAGATTGCATCAGAGTTTCTGAAACGGAATGAAAATAAAACAGTATTAAAAAAAAAAAAAAATCTTCAGGCCAACAACAGAGAGACCTATTTAAGTGAAAAACTTCTTCTCTATATAAAAATGAAAAACGGAAATAAAATAATTGAATAATAATTGGTTGAAAATAAGTATGATAACAGTCGGCACAAGTAAGGCACAGATACGAGTACGCTGCACAGTGTTTTATTTTCAGACGGGTACGAGTTGTCTCGGGTACGAGTTGTCCCGGGTACGAGTTGTCCCGGGTACGAGTTGTCCCGGGTACGAATGGTCCCGGGTACGAGTTGTCTCGGGTACGAGTTGTCTCGGGTACGAGTTGTCTCGGGTACGAGTTGTCCATCATTCCTGACATGACTGAATCATATTCATTTTGTAAAAATCAAAGTTGTCTTTGCTGTTTCCTTAAATGTGAAGTCAATTTAAGCAATAAATAGCACTGCAGGTCAATTAATAAAAGATTGGCATAATTGCAGAGTACCCCGCCACTCGTCTATCCCAATTTTATTTAATTTTTAAAAATTATTTATTCAGATAAAAAGGAAACTTTGAGTCTCGTGCCAAAAAAACAATGGACGTGGAAGCATTGCGTCAAAAGCTGTCCGAGCACGGCCAGCAGCATCTCCTGGAGTTCTGGCACGAGCTGGACCACGACCAGAAGGGCTTCCTGTACAGGGACATCGAGAGCACGGACATCGGGGAGCTCGTGGCCTCCTTCACCACGGCCATGGAGGCAGCCGGCGACACGGAGAAGGTGGACAGCCAGATGGAGCAGACACCCTCGGAGTTCTCTGGGTCGATGACGCGGTCGGGGAAGGAGAAGGAGAAGTGGTACCGAGAAGGTAAGGGGGAGGGGCACGGGATCTTCTCAGACAGGCCACTGGAACCTTGAGTGCAGAAAAACATGCAACAGGCCAACTTTAGTACTTTGCTCTTTCTTTAGCCGACAAATTTCTCCCAATTTTTCGTGAGGCAAAGTCAAGGTTCTCATATTTCACAAGCCAAGTTTGAGGTCTCAATTCAATTTTTGAAGGAGACTTTTCTCCAACATCTTGCACCTGAGAAGTGAAGCCAAGTGATTGTCAATTTGAAGCCTAAGACTAGACTGGTACAACATGTCCAACTTTTTGAGAAGATTGACCCTTCAGTAGTCTGGTGGCGTGACTATGGAAATGTGCAGAAATGGAGACTAGGTACTGGTACCACGTTTCTTTTGACACATTGGTGCAGCACGAAAGGGGTGTTGTACTGGTTGTTTCATGAGCCAGTTTATTTTATTGTATTGCATGTTTTCACTATCATAAGATTTGGGACTCCCAATTGCATGAATTTGCTTTTAATAAATAAAGTTACTATTTATTTGCGTTATAATGCAAGTATGTTTCATAGTGTAGCAAGATGTTGATTTGTAAGCATGTATACGACATCACCTACGAATTCTCTGCTTACAAACTTTCAATGCTGACAACTTTCATTTCCATTTTATAAAAGAGGAAAACAATCAAACTTTTCAATATTTGTTGGTCCCTCCAAATCACACAACACTTTTACACTTTTGACCGCAGTTTTTGTACTGCAGAAGTACACATTGTTTCCAAACTGTTGACTGGATGTCAATCAAATGGTAGTTTTGAAATACCTTCAAAAATGTGTTTTTATTCCATGGGCCAAAATCTGTATCAGGTCTAGAAGTTGAGGTTCGTCCTAACTTTCTGGTGTCAACTTGCAATAAGGTCAATTTACTAATTCGAGAGTGCTGAATCTGAATCTGGTTGTTCACATTGGCCCAGATTGCACATTAACCTTATGACAACATTTTTTTACTCAATTATTTTGCCAATTTTTGGGCTAATATTGTATTTTATTTTTTAAGTTCAAATGCTTTCAAACTTGACACGGATAAATAGGAAGTCAGCATGAATAATACAGGGTGGGCCTAAAGAAACAAACCTCATGTACTTCCTCTACCCTGGAAACCACAATGCATGGAGAATCTTTTTAGAAGAAAAATGAAACCAGGATTGACTGTTTCGGTCCAGTAGTTTTTTGTTCTAGAGCCTATTTTGTGAAGCAAGGTGGGGGGCATTTTTGTCCCGATGAATTACTATTAAACCGCACCCAGGAATTTGACTTGCATTGTTATTGATAGAGGAATTGTTATCTAATAATAAGGGGGCCATGCCCCCCCCCCCCCAAAAAAAAATGAATCCAATTTTTGTTTTGAGCAACTTCGCAATAAAGGCAGGCAATGAGTACACCACCATCTTTTCCTCAAAAAACATTGGTTAAAGTGGGTCAGAAATTGCCTCAGATCACACCACAGGGCATCTAGCAAACAATTTTCGGGGCCCGAACCCCACGCCGTAATATTTTGGACACACTTTTTGGGGACCGACATTTTTTTGGGGCCCCCTCCAAAAAAAATTGTGTTCTGGATTCGCCCTTGCGTGCAGTATGCTCTGAATAGCTGGCCAGCGTTGCCGTTTATGTATTTCCCACGGCCAGGGGTTAATGGCCCATGGAGGCGAGGCTGGCAGCGCAATGGCAGCGATATCGCCCTCATGTGGTATAGTTACAAATATAGGCCTACTTTGGGGAAACAGTCCCCTTTATTTCTAATTTATGCGCAAACGATGTGGCGTGCACAGTGTACAATTAACATCTTACAAACTGCTTATAACTGAGAAATGAAGTTGCCACTAAAAAGTTAAGACAATTAAAATTCCATGTTTCAGGCTTTGGCCCACGGCCTATTTGTAGTACATGTACAATTCGTAGAAGTTGCTCAGTGTGCAATTTTATGTGGGCACCCTACAAAAATAACAAGTTGAGGTTACAGCGTATTGTACCATTGTTCTTCGCTCACTCGTGTTGTTTACAAAGAAAACTCAAGTGTGTCATGTGCAACGTTCCTATTTTCACAAGTGGTTTGTGCATTACAGTGTATGGTACATTGTTTGGTGGAATCTGACCTTGACATGCAGATAATAGGTCAGTCATGACAGGCAGGAGAAACTTATACAGGTATCTGGTAATGCACAATTTTTTGTACAGCTGGCCTGCCAACTCTCACGCATTGAGCATGAGCCTTTGCATTTCAGGTTATTCTCATGCTCTAACGGCCACATGGGATTTCTCACGCTGAAAAAAAAAAAAAATAATTGACTCAAACTTGAAAATGATGTTTAAAGGGAATATACAACATTTGCAAACATCGGAAAACAAAACTACCAAATTTTTACGAAATACCTTACTAATACTATGATGTTGGTAACTGAAAGTCTAAAGCATCCTGTAAAATTATGGCACCTGGTGTGAAGTCATTTTCAAGAAAAGTGGTATTTTGTATACATTTCCAACGGTGGTCAGCCGACCACGGTTGGAAAAACCTGACTATTTTTCAACTACTGGTCCAAATTTACTATTTTTTTCAGTCCAAATTTTGTTTGCTATTGGTTATACATGTTCATGAACGGGTGCAGGCCAGCTTGACTGGTTTCCTTACCTTACAATTTTCCGGCATCTATAAATTGATTCATTTAAGTTTAATGGAGTCAGGGCACCAGACTACTTGAACATTTTAGTTTTTCTTGGTTTTTCCAGCATTTTCGAACACAAAACTTCAAACATGTCAGTGTAACAATATTTGATCTATTATACTAACCCATCAAATACTTCATTTCTGAAGTTTACAGCAAAAAACAATGATGTACATTCCCTTTAGATGATGATCTTTTGCTACATTTTTCTGCTATGAGAGGAAAACCTTTGTACACTGTGCGTACAAATTCTCCATTGGTTTGGGCACCGGATGTACAGCTGTGGTTACCGTAATGATTAGAATATTCAGGCTACTGCAGCTGGCGACAGAATATCGAATCTGGAAAAAAATCGATAATGTATGGGAGTGCTCACCTGTGCAAAATAACATTTGTTTTTTTGCTAAGAATGGGCACCGTATATGCGTACACTGTACCTGTATGAGTCCTGCAATTCAGGTTATTTATTAAAATAAAATAAAAAGGTTGGCAAAATCTTTTCCTGAGATCTTAACTTCAAGTCTCCAACATTTTGTGTATTTTTTTTCTTTTTTTACAGTGCAATGTCAGACCAGATTTTAAAAGAATTTTATACTCAGATTTTCTAATATATTTTTCTAAGTTTTAAGATTTTGGAAAAACCAAGAAAAAAAGTGCTGTTCTTGTAGTCTGGTTCCCTGAACCTATTTCAGACGAAATGGAGCAATTTATAGATGTCGGGAATTGTCAGGTCAGGGAACCAGACTAACTGGCTTGCACCCGTTCATGGATGTGCAATCAAATTGTGGAGTAACTAAATTTGGTAAATTGGGGGCAGTATTTGAAAAAAGTCTTCTTTTTTTCCAACGATGGTCGGCCGACCATCGTTGGAAATCAATACAAAATTCCACTTTTTTTGAAAATGACATTACACAGGTGCCATGATTTTACAGGGTGCTTTAGACTGTCATTCACTTACAGTCCAGTAAGGTATTTCATAATAATTTGATAGTTTTTTATGTTTGCAAATGTTATATATTACCTTTAAACATTTAAGTGAGGGCCAAAACCCTAATATTCCACTGGCACTTACACATACTACATTTTACAAAATTCACTGAAGAATTAAAAACCGTATCATGTTCGGGCGATTTAGAGCGGTACGGGGACAAGTGCGATAAAAGTCAACTTTGGTTAAAATTCTCATTCTTCGCCAGGCTTGAGGCAGATCGCCAAAGGGCAGTGCTGCGTCTTGCTGCTGGCCGGGGGTCAGGGCACCAGACTCGGCGTCAAGTACCCCAAGGGGATGTTCAACGTGGGCCTCCCGTCGGGGAAGACCCTGTACCAGATCCAGGCCGAGAGGATACTACGCGTCCAGCAGCTGGCCTACGATATGTACCAAGAGAGGGGGGTCGTCCCATGGTAAGATAGGCTTTGTCCGAAGTACTTGGCTACGGCTGGACATTACACACAGGTCTGTGAGAAGTGGCTGCAGCAACTACCAAAGGCGTGTGTGTTATGCAGCCGTATCGAAGTAGTTCAGACACTGCCATGTTTGACACTGTAAATGGCATTGCAACAGCGCCCTCTTTTGTTGGTGAAAAGGCCTATTGAGATTTTACCGTTTTATACAGAGAAGGGAGAGAGAAGCATGTAAGAGTGTTGGGTCATTCACTCATGATCAGAGGGTCAGGAGTTCGAATCAAGCAGCTGGTCATATGTTGTGTCCTTGGGCAAGCCACTTCACCCCCACTGCTCCGCCTAGGAGTACAAACGGGTACCGGCATTAGCTGGGGAGGATCCTGCGATGGACAAGCATCCCATCCAGGGGGAGTAGAAATATTCTCAGTCATTTCATTCTATAGAAACCGGAGGTAAACGAAACCAGCTAGAATCCAGCTGCTGGTCATATGTCGTGTCCTTGGGCAAGCCACTTCACCCCAACTTTGCCTCTCTCCACCCAGGAGTATAAATGGATATCGGCATTAGCTGGGGAGTAACCTGTGTTGGACTGGCATCTCATCCAGTGGGAATAGAGATACACATAGCACCGTGTCGCACTTGTGTTTTGTCTCGCAGGTACATCATGACCAGCGAGCACACCAAGGAACCCACGGAGGAGTTCTTCCTCCAGCACAACTACTTCGGTCTGCAGAAGGAGAACGTCATCATGTTTGAGCAGAACATGCTGCCGTGCCTGTCCTTCGACGGCAAGATCCTCCTGGACCAAAAATGGAAGATCTCTCGCGCCCCAGGTAGGACTCGCTTTTTTAATTTGCCAATCGATGCAAATACTATCATAGCTGAATCTTTACTCAAAAGCAAAATGACGCGAGGACACTAACAAACAAGCAAGAAACAAGACTAGACCCAGTCCAATTCTGTCTCAAGACCGGTTCATTCTGTACCCAAAAGCTAATGCAGAACGCAAGTTTTTGTGCTGAATTGACAGAAATTGAGCACACTTCAACATTCTGCATCTAATGTTTTGTGTCGTTAAATTCAAGTTTGCGTGACGTATGGAACGGCTTTTAGAGTTCTATGTAATCATCTGTCTGTGACTGAAAATGTTGGGCCAATGTGAGACTTAAGCTAGTGTAATCCATTGCACATGTACCAGTCAGTCAGTTTAATCAGGTTCAAAAAGGACTGTAAGCTGCCCCTCTGGAACAGCAAAAATTCAAGAGATGGGCTACTCTAAATTTGCCAGAATCGAACAGCTAGAGCCAACTTTTAGTGAACTTCTAAAGCACTGACATTCATGAAGCACAGAAGGAAAACACTAGCATAATCAAAACGTTTTCTCATGGTCTGTAGATGGGAACGGAGGCTTGTACCGAGCCCTGGGCAAAGACAACATCCTCGTGGATATGGAGCGACGAAAGCTTCAGTATGTCCACGTCTACGGGGTGGACAACATCCTGGTCAAGATGGCCGACCCGTGGTTCATCGGATTCTGCAAGTCCAAGGGAGCAAACTGCGGAGCTAAGGTGAGAACGAAGTGGCTGCTCATGTTTTGGATATTGTGGAGTCACCAACTGGTACATTTTGACAATTTTTGCCCTACTTTGTTTTAAGTTGTTAAGAATTATTGGCAAAGAAACCAAAAAGACCCTGCGACACCCTTAGAAATGACAATACTGAGAATAGGAGTTAACGTTAATGTGGAGCACCACGGCCCAATGGTAACAGTGTCCAACTGATGGTTTGGAACCCTGAGGAGGACCCTGGTGCTTGTGTTCTTGGGCAAGACACTTTACTTGGGTTGGAACCCTGATGAGGACCATGGTGCTTGTGTTCTTGGGCAAGACACTTTACTTGGGTTGGAACCCTGATGAGGACCATGGTGCTTGTGTTCTTGGGCAAGACACTTTACTTGGGTTGGAACCCTGACGAGGACAATGGTGCTTGTGTTCTTGGGCAAGACACTTTACTTGGGTTGAACCCTTATAAGGACCATGGTGCTTGTGTTCTTGGGCAAGACACTTTACTACAATTGCCTCGGACCAGATTGCACTGATCTCGAGTTGCTGCAAGAAAATGGTCTCCTAGCCTGATGAACAGAGGTAAACAATCGAGTAGCACTTTCAGACTTTGGAAAAAGTGCTGGTCTAAGTACCACATTATCACCATTATTTTTCTTTTTGTAACGCAGGTGGTTGCCAAGGCTTTTCCAACTGAGCCGGTCGGTGTCGTCTGTCGTGTCAACGGCAAGAACCAAGTCGTGGAGTACAGCGAGATCACGTTGAAGACGGCGGAGAAGAGGGACGAGGAGGGACGACTGATCTTCAGCGCCGGCAACATCTGCAATCACTTGTTCACCACGGACTTCTTGAAGGACCTCATCAGGTAAAAAAAACTCAGTGTGGTCTTTATGCTTTTGGTCATCCATTGAGTCCAAGTGCAAGATAGATAATAGTTGTCGAGTCACGGAAAGTCACCAGTTGAATTTGGATGGGGTGGTGGGTGAGACGGGGGGGGGGGGGGGGGGGGGGGGGAGTTGACAACCAAAAAGCTCGGGACTATGCCATGTTGGAATGTAGCTACAATTTTTTTTTCTGCCACGAGACTGGACACTATCGAGCAATAGCAGAGTATGCTGTTTGTATTACAGTAGGGTTGCAGGGTAGAGTCCAATAAATTATTATTTAAATCTTGAAGGGTGGAATCTAAGATCAAATCTAAAAAAAATTTGACCCCAAAAATGTACAAAATTCCATCAAAACACACCGAAGGAATTGCCCTGGAAAGGTAAATATTGAGAAATATTCAGGAAAAGTGTACTCACAGAAAGTGAGAAATTTTTGGATAAAACCACAAAGAGAAAATTGGGGCTGGATAGCTTAGTTGGTAGACCACTGGAACGGTTATCCGGAGGTCGCAGGTTCAAACCCTGCTTCAGTCAATTTCGTTGTTCAACTTTAAAATGTTTAGAAAGATTTGAACAGAAGTCTCTGACAAGTTTCATTGAGTTTGTTTCTGCATTCAGTAGGGGACGTTGAACAACAGAGGACAATAGGGTCCCCAATTCCCGAAGGTCCCCAATTTAGAATCGTGTACAAAACATTGAGGAGGTCTTCCTAAAAAGTTCAACAAAAAAAGTACAACAAAAGAGGGACAATAGGGGGTCCCAGATGGCAGGCAAATACACACTTGGGTGGGGTTACACCTACCCCGCTCCCTACCCCCAAACCCACCCCCACCCCCCCCCTCCCCCCACCCCCATCCCAACCCCCTACCCACTCTCCAACCCATTCTCCACCCCAAGGCATGCAACTTAACTTTCAAAAAACGAATTCTCTATTTTTATCAACAAAGTAATTAAAAAACCTGTAGCAAGTCTTTTGTGACTCAGTGCAGTCTCCCAACTTGTAAAAATGAAACCCTGCAGAATTCCATTAATGATTTTAAGTATTTATTCCAAAACGTCTGTTCGCCGTATCAGTTTTTTGGTCAATATTGAACAGATGGTCGTGTGCAGATTGTCTGTTGTGTGTCATGCAACAAGGTGGGCGTTGTATTGATTTCTGCTGCCAGCGTGAAGCAAACAATGTGTAGGCAGGAAACGAGCGATACATTGGTTCATTCTTCCAACGAGATTGAACAATCTGATTTAAAAAATGACTAGAATTTGTCAAAGGATGTCGTAGGATTGAAATGGTTTCAACCCTCTCTGGCTGGCAATACCAGCAAGGCCAGCCCAGCAGTCAAAAAATAAAAAATAAATAAATAAGCCAGCTGCACCTACCAGTTACCTGCCTTTTTTTCTGTCGATAGAATTTGACTGTCACAGTGCCTACAAGAACTATACCATCTGATTGTTGGTGACTAGCCTGCGTAAATATCATGGCATTGAATTTAAAGAAAACATACTGAATCAAGTTTATAGTCTAAACTGTGGCAGATTTTTTTTGTGTTGGAGAAGGGCGAAGACAGCAAAATATTAATAAGTAAAAGGTAGTTTTAAAGTGGTTTGAGATAAAATAATTTACAAAAGGCCATCTTTGCGTATGTTGTACATGTATTTGTTATTTGCACAACAAGAGTGGCAGAAATGCTGTTCATTTTAGGGATATATTTTACACGTTTTTTTTTTTACAAGTACGTGTACAGGTTGTTAAAAATATTTTTTGTTTGTAGTGAACCTACAATAGAGAAAAAAAGCTGTAAAAAGACAATGGTGATGATGAAATGTTTTAATGCTAGAAGCTTCAAGTCTTGTACACATACATTTGCAGGAGAAGACCCACTAAATCAGGTAGGTCCTTCGACAAAAACATTGTCACGTCAGTCCGAGAGGGATTTGAATCCATTCGGAGAGGTGGAATGCGAGGAAGTTTCCACTTCGCTAATTCTTAATGATTCCATTTTCTGTTTTTCTTTTTTTTGTTTCCCAAAACAGAAGTCATGAGCAGCAGCTCAAGCACCACGTAGCCAAGAAGAAGATCCCTTACATCGACAACAGCGGCAATCGGATCGTCCCGGAGAAACCCAACGGCATCAAGATGGAGAAATTTGTCTTTGACGTCTTTGAGTTCTCAAAGTATGCATTCCTGAAATATCCAATTCTTAATTTGGAGAGGGGGGGGGGGTCATTTTACTTAACTCATTTTCATTTATGTATTTTTTCGTTGTGGGAACAGCTAACATTGAAACTGCAATGAAATTTTTTTTTTAAGCAGTTCGCATCGGAGGACGTGATAACACACACTGGCTGTTTTTATACACAGACACGGCTGACAGGTTAAGACGTCAAGATTGCCTCGACTCGACTCGCCTCCGGGTGACGTCTAAACACGCTAATCCCTCGTGTCTTTTGTACACACACACAAAGTCTGTGAAGTCTGTGGAGGCGGACCGTGTGTTGATCTTGAATTGGCCGGTGTGCACGGCCTATTGTTCGACAATTTACGCTCCAGTGCACACTTCGGGGGAGTAATGAAACATATCAGGTTTTGGCAAGAAATATCGTACAAATACTGCTGAAATGACTCTTGGGAATCAGTATTTGTGGCGTTTGGCTGTATATCAGAAGTTGGCTGGAATATTGTGCCTTTTTTGTGAAAAATTCGAACTTTTCGACAAAAATAATCCCGGCGCGAAGTGGTTAAATAAGTGATGCTTACTTCAGATATATAGAGCGCAGGTCCATCCTTTGCAAACTGTATTAGATTAGGGCAACAGAATTTGACACAGCAAAACTAATAAAGGCAGTGAAAAAAAATGATCATGTTGTTACATTTTGTCAAGATTTTGTGCTTAATTTACCTCCCGTTCAATTTAATGAAGAATCAACTTTTTTCCGCACTAAAATCTTTAGCAATTTTGCGGTCTTTGAGGTCCTACGTGAGGACGAATTCTCGCCCCTCAAGAACAGCAACACGGCAGAGAAGGACAACCCAACGACGTCGCGCCACGCGCTCCTGTCCCTCCATCACCGGTGGGTCCTGAACGCCGGCGGCAAATTTGTGGAGCAGGACGGAACGCCGATCCCCGCCATCCCAAGGTAAGAGTCAATCCGGAAGTAACAAAAAAAGACCTGAACAGTCTTTTACGAAACATGTTTCAGTGTCCTGATGTTTAAAATTTCATTTTCAAAAAAAATTATGAAGCCTTCTGTTAAAACCAGACACTTCTGCGTAGAGCTTCAAATGGAGATACGACCAAAAAGCAGTTGAATTTTGTTTTTTCCAGGTTTTTGAGTAAAACAAAAAAGGACTCTCTGAACAGTCTTTTACAAAACATGTTTCAGTGTCCCGATGTTTAAAATTTCATTTTCAAAAAATTGCGAAGCCTTCTGTTAAAACTAGACACTTCTGCGTAGAGCTTCAAATGGAGATACGACCAAAAAGCAGTTGAATTTTGTTTTTTCCAGGTTTTTGAGTAAAAAAAAAAATGACTCTCTGAACAGTCTTTTACGAAACATGTTTCAGTGTCCTGATGTTTAAAATTTCATTTTCAAAAAATTGCGAAGCCTTCTGTTAAAACCAGACACTTCTGCGTAGAGCTTCAAATGGAGATACGACCAAAAAGCAGTTGAATTTTGTTTTTTCCAGGTTTTTGAGTAAAAAAAAAAATGACTCTCTGAACAGTCTTTTACGAAACATGTTTCAGTGTCCTGATGTTTAAAATTTCATTTTCAAAAAAAATTATGAAGCCTTCTGTTAAAACCAGACACTTCTGCGTAGAGCTTCAAATGGAGATACGACCAAAAAACAAAAAGCAGTTGAATTTTGTTTTTTCCAGGTTTTTGCAAATTTGTAATTCTAAATATGTCTAAAATGTACTGTAAACGTTTCAGATCGTATTTTAGCCTCTAAACGCTGATTTTTCTGGATGAATTTTTGGAGGTGTAACAATTCAAGAAATGTATAACCCAAAATTTTAATGAGGCAATTTTCTCAAAGATTATTACCAGAAAGACGATGTTTAGGCCAAAAAAAAAAGTCTCCGGTTTCTGGTATGGAGCTTGCCCAAAAAGTGGTGCGGCGACGCGGCTTTTTTTTTTTTTACCCGACTTTTTTGCTTCAAATGTCGGCGATGACTGCAAATGGTGCCCGAATAAACTTAGTACAAACAGGCCTATATGGGATTGGGAGTCCAGAGAGGCCACATATAGCTTATTCTCGACCATAACTCCATCTAAAAACACGTTAAAAATGTGCAGCAGCAGGATTCCAGTTAAACCAGTGAGTTTGGCGGTTTTGAGACATCATCTTTCATTGAAAAAGAAACCGGAGACTTTTTTTTTTTGGCCTTAGGTTGTGTTCTGAAGTACACCAATATACTCATCAACTGAAAATCACTTCTGTAATAAACAAAACAATATAGACTTAATTGCATGTGTTTGAAAGTGCGATTATAAAGTGTGTGAATTTCTTTCTCCTATGCACAGCGATCATAAAATTTGTGAAAATGGGAATGTAAATGCTACATGTGTTAGTTTGTAAGTCGTTGTTTGCCTGGTTTTATTTTGATTTCTGTTTTTCTCTCTCTCTAAGAGTGGGTTTAGATGGATTTACTAGATTGTATTCTCCCCGTTGCTTTGCATGGTAATCCAGTAGCCTCGCCCAGTACAGTAATTCCGGTGGAGGAAGTTTCAAACACGGCTATAAAGTTGTGTTTATTATAAACCCAGCATGATATGTGACAGGTACCCCCCCCCATGTCCCTATACCCTATACACACCCTAGACCAGGGTTCCACCTTAACTTGTTTTTCTCACTAGCCAGCCGGGCTACTGAAACAGACTCTTAACTAGCCCGCGGGCATTTTCACTAGCCCGTATGTTTTTCTTTTATAGAGTGTCTCATAAACAACAATGTGCATACATGTGAAACGTGTATCCTGAGGCAATCTTGTCAGTGTTTTTAATAAACAGATCTAATAATTTACTCTAAACAGTTAATAAAATTAGACACAAATTGATACAGGTTTGCTTTCTGAATGTAATTATTTATTTCTTCCTGGCCTTTCATCTTTGCCGTAGCCCAATCATTTTTGACTCGCCAGCCGGGCTACGTAAGGAATAGTTTGACTAGCCCGGCGCTGTTTTGACTAGCATTTGGCTGGCGGGCTACCGCTAAAAGTCGACCCTGCCCTGGACTATTGCTACCTCACACCCCCCAGATATCTTAAAAGAATTCTTGAGATTCTTATAACGCAATGACCAACACAAAAGAGGGGGGGGGGTCCTTCTGTCACATATCATGCTACATGTACGTATGGTTTATTAGCTCTAGTATTTAACTAACTGTTGATTGGCAGAGAAACTGTATCTTGTGAATTTACCAATCAAAAAAAAAATAATAAATGTGCTGGGAACCGTGCCCATGTTTTCCCCTCATTTCCCCCTCATATGACCTCCACCAGGGATGTCCCGCAAAGCTTTAGCTTCCCTAACTGTAGTGATTGGTCGATGGCTCTTTGTAGAATGCAGATCCTCGCTTATATCTCCTAATTCCCCTCGGTAGAAAAAGTAGGAATGTCCGTGCTTGTCTGTCGTCAAAACCGTCCATAGCTACAGCATACCTATAACCTCCCTTTCTTTACTCAAACAAACCGCTTCCTCATAAGAAAGAGTACTCCTTGCAGACTACTGCCTGCTATGCCATAGAAAAATGAAACTACATGTAGATGTTTTGCACTTTATTTTTCAGCCGGAGAGCCAATGATGTGGATGACTACCCTGTTGTGTGTGAGGTCTCGCCGCTTATATCATATGCAGGAGAGGTCAGTACATATTGGTGAATATATGACCTCCAGTTGGTGAAATTACAGTCTGACATGTAACATTTACCAACTATTTATTGACTGTTTACTGAATGCCACAGCTGCATATCTGTTGTTCAAACTTCATTGTGGTGGTGCATATTTACATGTTGAATATTTTGTTCACATTTTGGTGAACAGAAATTATTTGTTTGTTTTTAGCCAAGTATCGCAACACAGATTTTGATATTGTTATGCCGGTGTAGCGTGAATATCCGACTTCATGAAATGTGGACTCACTGGTAGTAGTGCACACGCGTGAGTACGATACTATGCTATTTTTAGGATCGTTTCGGGAGAGTGACCTGTCACGTGCGAGGGATCAACCAATAATAGGGAAATAGGGGTCCGATTTTCATAGGAGTCGGATTTTCATGTGACACCGTACCTTGGCTCTTTCGTATTGTTATTACCAATACAAGAGGTTTCGCATCGCCACCTGTCGCCTGCTTAAGTGACGATCGCGCATTTTGCATGCCATCGACTCGTGAACAACTCGTAAACGGTCACAGACAGTCAAAACCAATCAATCCTCTTCCCCTGCCATGCCGTTTACACAGGCTAGCCACCAACAGTCAGATCATATTTCAAGCAAGCACTGTGACTAGTCAAATTCAGTCAACAGACAAAAGCAGGCAAGCGGTGGGCACAGCTGGCTTATCAATCACCAACAGTCAAAGCATAGCTGTATCACGTTACTTAAACAGTCACGGCCAGTTAATCTGCTTTATGTAGGCAGGGAACGTTCAACCGTTAAAAACAGTCACTTGACTGATTTTGACTGAAAGGACAACTTTGCGCAGGAGGGCTAAAGCAGTGGTTAGTAGTTGATCCTTCGTCTGACTGAAGTTGCATACATATCTGACACAGACTCACATTATTTTCCATGTTTCTCGGGCGCAAGTGGAATGACAAATTTATCTCCATGCAAACAGTTGTGACGATTCTTAAAGACTTTTGTGTGTTGACTGTCTTTTTTTTTCAGGGCCTTGAGGAACTCTGCGACAAAAAGCAGTTCTGTTCACCGGTACTCCTCTCAGAGACGGACCACGTGGAATCCAAGGAATCAGTTATAGGGACCAACTAAAAAAAAAGGCCTCCTATGCAGGTTGAAATATATGCCTGGCAACCAGGCTGTGGCTTTATCCATGTGGAGTATTCCTACGGCTACGGATTCTCACATGCTGTCTCAATAGCATGAAAGTGAAGCCGTAGCCCCAAAAATGCTTTGTTGTGGACATGGCTTATTGTATTGTGCATGAGAAAAAAACTATAACCAAACAGGGACTGTGCTGGTGGATCAAGTAATGGACAATTTTTTTAATCCAGTGAAAATTTGAAAATGCCAAACATAAACATTCCTGTGTCAGCTCAAGAAACATCAGGATTTGTTTTTTTAAAGACCCTTTCGAAATGGTTTGAAATATTTTTTCAAACCAGGTTTGAAATGATTTTTTAAACCTGGTTTAAAATGATTTTTTAAACATGGTTTAAACAGGTTTTTTTTTTTTAAACCTGATTAACATGTGATAAACTGTTAATTGAGTTCTCAGCGGGTTTAAATGTCACTCTTACTGTGTGACATCAGAGTTTCCAAGACTGCTATTGTGACAATTCAGAGCAAACCAAGTTTAAAACGAGTTTTAAACCTGGTTAATATTTGATAAACTGTTTGAGTTCTAAGCAAGTTTAGATGTCACTCTTTCCAAGGCTGCTTTTGTGACAACGCAGAGCAAACCAGGTTTAAAACGATGTTTAAACCCGGTCAATATTTGATAAACTGTTTGAATTCTAAGCAAGTTTAGATGTCACTCTTTCCAAGGCCGCTTTTGTGACAACTCGGAGCAAACCAGGTTTGAAATGATTTTTAAACCCGGTTTATATTTGATAAACTGTTTGAATTCTAAGCAAGTTTAGATGTCACTCTTTCCAGGGCCGCTTTTGTGACAACTCGGAGCAAACCAGGTTTGAAATGATTTTTAAACCTGCTTATATCTGATAAACTGTTTATTGACTTCTTGTTTAGTTGAGCGAATTTAGAGGTCACATTTACCGTGTATTTCAAGTCCGCAAGTTTTTAAGAAATATTGTTGGCGTTTAATCCAACACGCCGGCGATGGAAAATAGCTGAATTCTTAAATTTTAACAAAAGAGTATCTTCAATGTACAAAATAACAAATTAGTAAATTTATTTTAATTAAATAATTAATTAAATGATAAAATAGGTTTTAACTAGGTTCTTCCATTAAAAAGGTCGCAAATACAATTTTTTTTCTTTTATTAAAACAGTTTTTCATATTACATTTCTAAAATTATCGTCACATGTATTTGATTATTATAATTTTTTTTCAATCTGAGAAATGGATATGGTCCGTTTGAATGTGCACTCGGATCTCAAACATTAAACAATGCATTCCACGAAGGAGGACCAAGTTTGTGGCACTGAAGTGCCAATTTGGAAACTTGGAAAATTCTCAGGTTTTGTATAGACCCTTTACACGTAGCAGCCGCTTTTTTTAGGCCTTTGTTTTGCAGTGTACGTGTTCTACATAACCCCCGAGAACCGACACACAAAGGGACAACAAAAGATCCTTTCAGTCCTTGGGAGTTGGGTCTTTTGTTCAAAACGGTCCTCTGTAGTAGGTTTGTGTGCTTAGTCTATGGGAGAGTGTTATATTACAGGGACAAAGGAAAACACAAAGCATTGTCCTCGGGAGTATAGTAAAACAGGAGAGGGTGAGCTCTTTGTGCATTCGTTTTGCCCTCTAAGAGAACAACAGATCCTTTCAGTCCTCAGGAGTTGGGTCTTTTGTTCGAAACGGTCCTCTGTAGTAAGTTTGTGTGCTTAGTCTATGGGAGAGTGTTATATTACAAGGACAAAGGAAAAAAACAAAGCATTGTCCTCGAGAGTAAAGTAAAACAGGAGTGGGTGAGCTTTTTGTGCATTCGTTATGCCCTCTAAGATGGCCACTTTTGCATAATGTCTATTGGAAGTTGGCAATAGGTTTGAATGGCGCCCCCCAGTGTCCCTCCCGACTATCTCTGTGTAACCTCTTGAGGGGGTACTTGCGCACGAAGTCTATATAAAGGTGCTGCAAGTGTGGTGTAATAAGTGCCTTTGTTTCCTTACGTTTTATTGTATCTCAGTCTCATCGTATTATAATTTTTTTTTCAATTATTTTGTGATGGTGGAAACGTGTATTCCCAATGCTGCTGAGGCCACTGAGGTACATTCACATGCACATGTACATGCATTGTTTTCTGAAAGACGATTCAAATGAATTTAATTATGTTATATTTAAATTCTGAAAAAAATGCTGCATATATTAAGGGCATTTTTACTTACATGATAGCCTTATTTGGATTTCGTTTGAGTTTGATTGAAATATTTTATGTTGATTTTGATTTTGATTTTGATTTCTGTTGATTGATTGTGTTTAGTTTTAAGAATCTACTTTCGAAATGCAAATTTGATCAGCGAGTCTGTTGAAATGTGTCCTTTTCAGGAAGCCAGTGTATAGACATGATGCGCACACGAAGTTAGCCGTGTCTGATTTACTTCGCTGCGGCTTGAAACGACACACGACTATATGAGAAGTGGCTGCAGCGGCTACCATAGACACGTGTGTAATTTTAAGCCATAGCCAAGCAAATTCGGACATGGTCTTAGCCGCAAGTAACATGTCAAGTAAGGTATAGCGAAAATCAGGCTACCGGTTAAAAACTATGGGATTACAGTGTATTGCTTGGGACTGGTACTCTGCATTATGCTAAGCCAGTATCACCTGGAGGGGAGGAGCCTAGTAGATGTCGGGGAGGGGGATTCCCCCTTTTTCATGGGAAAGTATTCAGACAATTCTCATTTTATTGCACACATGCTTTTTCTCTACAATGCATTATAATCTTGCACACAATACAGTTAAGTACATATATATCTTCTTTGTAATGTTTGTTATCAGATGCATATTTTAATATATTTGCATAATTCATTTCTTTCAGTTTATGAACCTTACTTTGTGTATGTAGTGTAGAAATAAACATTTTAATAAATTAAAGGGTATCGTATTTTGTGACTGATTTTTATACTCCTCTAAACCCGACCCCCCCCCCAAAAAAAATGTAAAACAAAACATAAAAAATACAAAATCCCAAAAATGTTGAGGTTCATGATTGCAGGTTTTCAATTTAGTAATTTACAAGTTTTTTAAGGTCTACAAATTTTTTTTTCAGTAAACAAGAAAAAAAAAATCATTTTCCACAAAAATCATCTGACGTCAGAACGACTGTTCTTTATTGTGTTATCGATTGCAACATCACTGCTCAATATACATATACTGCATAAAGCCTTCATTTTCCGTCTTCATTTTAATTAGCCTTCATTTTAATTAGCATTTAAGAAATCAGCCAACATAAAAAGGATCAATATTATCATTAGATATGACTTGGACATTTTAATGCCGTGATGTGTTTAGGCTTCTACGCAAGCATAATATACAGCCTGTTTAAAAAAAATGGTACAATCGAAAACGATTTTTTTTTTCAATATTAAATCTCAACATAAGTAAGTCGTTTTGAGCATCACATTAAAGAAAACAGACCAGGCTTTCCAATACTTTTTGTTTCATCTCATTTGCTTTTGTCAATCCAGAGATAACTCCAGTTCACTGCGGAACACAAAAATCGAGTTTGTTTCTTTTGCCAAGTTTCAATCTTTTGTGAGCTTCAAGACAGCATGGCACAGTACTCGAAACAACTCTGCCCATGCATAAAAGTGGCACAAAATCAATTTTGGTGTATCGCACTAAATTGATTATATCTCTGAATTGACAAAAGCAAATAAGATCAAACAAACACTACTGGAAAGCCCAGTCTTTGTTCTTTAATATTATGCCAAGACTTATTTTGAAATTTCATATTTAACCAATTTTTTTTCTGATTGTACCATTTTTTTTTGAGACGGGCTGTATAAAGGCCGGTTCATGCTTCATGTGAATGCGAATGCAAAGCGAATTTAACTTCAAAAACATTTGGTGTGAAATTTGCCAGAGTTGAAATGTGTTCAACTTTTGCGAATTCGCAGTGCGAAACTTGCCATGACATCACATATTCACGTTTGCATTCGCTTCTGCGCCAAGTTTGAACTGGCTTTTTATGCTACAAGAGCTGCATATATTTCCTTTGTACACCACTGAAGGTACCCATTTACTCCCGGGTGGAGAGAAGCAATGAGTGACAAAGTGCCTTGCCCAAGGGCACACACACCATGACCCCAGGCTGGACTTGAACCCACAACCTGCAGAATTACCCGCAGACCACAAATTCAATGCCCTTAACCAAAGGCCACAGCACTCCATCCAGCATGTGATATATATTTTTATTTTGGCAACTGGAAAAAATGCACAGTTATTTTGCCGCGTTAGTAAAATTTACATGAACTGGTGTTGGGGTGAATAAAAGACGGACCTTAGGCCAAAAAAAAAACATATTCGGTCTCTGGTCAGACCAAAGTTCCGGAATTGACGCGGCCACGCTTTTTTTTTTTCTTCAAGCTTGGATTGTACAGACAAGGTGGGGTACTATTTTGCTTTTTTGGTGTCCTCATGTGCATTGGTGTCCTCCATAATTTGCCTTGGTGCTCTCGATCATTTTCCTTGGTGCAATTTCCCATTCCTTGGTGCTCTTTGGTAAAAAAAATTGAGGTGGTGCGGAAATAGAGGGCGCTGTTGGAGTTACCGCGGAACATTTTGGAAAAAAAAAAGATTCGCGCGCATGATTAAAATCGACGCGCGCGCTGACCAGAGACCGACTTACTTTTTTTTTGGCCTTACTAAACGAAAAATTTGAAAAGTTTTCCAAAGAAAAAAAATAATAAAATAAATTAACCAGCTTAATATCTATATTCAAACAATGTGATCATTTCTAGCTGGTTTCTGCACAGTTTTGCCGCGGAGGTAATTTTACTCAATGCAATAAAATTATGTACACAGAATTTAATGTTGAATACACATTTTTTTTTTTTTAGTATACTGTGTAATTAGTGACCGATTAAATTTTCTCTCAGACTGATACAACGTCCTTAAATTTGCTTTCGTTCAATACAATATGTAAACATTGCTTGCCATACATACAGACCATCAATATCAGATATACACGTAGACAATTCATTTTTCGATTCACCGACCATGTGACCCCGCCCACTTTTGCCACCTGGACACGCCCCCTCCGTACAAAACACTCCGCGGATAAACTGACACCCTTTGCAAACCGATGAAGAAACGTAATGCAGAGAGTGTCATTTCAGTTATGACAATTTCACGAAAGTTTCACGAAAGTTTGCGACTTGGGCAACAATTATGCACAATAAATTTGTTGCGTAAGTCCTACGCATGGCATAAGTCATGCGTCGTTTCGTGAAGTCCGCTGCTTGTTTAAGTTATAAAGTTAGCATTCTAGTAATAAGATACATAATAGATTTCTTATACTTCTAAATATCTTGGTAATAAAAGAAAAAAAATTGATCAGACTATGCAAGAGTTCTCATTATGTCCTTTCGCTCTTTTCGTTTCCTTCGCTTGACCTTGATGCCCCAGGTGGTGCCTGCTCAACGAGGACGGTGTACCCTGGTCCCAGTCTCTTTGGCACGTATACCGGTGAGACATCGTCCGGTTTGTCGTCCATGTCCCGCAGTGGTTTATGTTCCTCGCGATGTTGTGCTTGTGCGTCAAACGGCGTTGCGTCACTGCCTGTGCTCGCTTGACCTTCTACTTGGTGCGACTGGACAATGGTTGTGTTCTCAATGTTACTGGCGGCCGAGTCCACTTCCATTGGGAGGGGGGATGAAGGGGCGCGCTGTTCCACCGGTGCATCTTTGCTGACGCTCATCACACACTCCCCCTCTGTGGTGTCAAGTCCCCCCTTCGACTCGCTTTTGGAATGTTCCATTACTTGATCGCCGCTTGCACTGTCTTCAGCGCTGCGCGACACACTAGTTGCCCCTCCGCTCCCCACTCCGGAATCCACAATGGTAGAGTCCATTCTTTCGTCTCCAAGTCCTTCCTGATTTGTTGGTTTACAAGTCTGGTCCCCTGTCACACTCAGATTTGATTGCATGGGCTCTAGTCCCAGGCCCCACGACTGTTCTCCGGATGACCCCACTGGCATTGGAACAGCCCCTGATGATGACTCTCCACCCCCTGAGACTTGCTCTTCCCGCTGTTCCAGCAGCTTCTTAAACTCCCTCTGGTACTGCGCCCACTGTGGCGTCTCCCACCCTTCGTCCTGTTGTCCGGACCCCCCGCTGGACCCCCCATCGAGTCTGGACCCCCCATCGAGTCTCTGCCCCCCAGATCCGGACGCCAGGGTGTGGGCGTGACCTGAGAACGCTCTATAACCTCCGACCTGTTTACCGCCCGAGGTTACAACCCCACTGCCGCCAGCCTTCAGTTTGCTCCGGAGTCCGGTGATGAACTCGGACCTGTCCGATTCCTCCGTGTCGACAACGTTTGCGGGCCGGCTGGTCGAGGGACTGTCGGAATCGTCCACCCCGGGCCTGATGGGGAAATGGCCGATGGGCTCAAGGCAGATCTCAATGCGATCCTCCATGGCGTTGTACGTGAATTTCTTCACAGGATGAAGATAGAAAACGTTGATCAATACAGGAGAGAAGTGATAGTGTGGACACAGCAAACTGTGCGTGACGTTCCAAGCAAAGCACTACGGCGGCATTAAACTTTGCTCAATTTTGCTAAATCCGCGTATTAGAAGGTCAGAAGAATTTGAACGCAATATTGTGCCACAAATGCAGAAACAATGTATGCGAAGTCTAAAAAGTGTAATCTGGCGAACAAAATTAGAGGCAATTTTTGAGATGGTGCCACACTCGCGTTCATGTCGCACTCGTTTCTTAAAAACAAGGCGCGTGTGAATTTTGATATTCCTAAGGGAATAAATGTGTGCTCCGGAGGTTTTTATCACTCTGTTTAATACCACTTAGAGTCTGGGTGCTGATAATTACCCGAGCCGGAGGCGAGGGTAATTATCAGCACCCAGACTCTAAGTGGTATTAAACAGAGTGATAAATACCGACGGAGTACATATTTATTCCCATTCATAAATACCTTTTCGGTAAAAAAAAATCATATAATTCGTTCAAAACATCCCGATTTTGTTCAACAAATTCACTTTATGCTTTTTGAAACATCCCTCCTGCAAAATAATGGAGTGTTCAGCTGGCGAGTAAGATGAAAACAACCCTTTTATGGAGATTGACGCGCGCGTATCATGTTCTACGCGATGTCGCGCAGAACGCACCTGGCGCGTTGCGTTTTGAATTTAGAACTATAAAATTCTAACTCCCTGGTAGTGTTGCGCATGCCTACGTGAGGATTGTGGACGTTCAACCAATGAAACGATAAGAGGCACTGGATTTTTAGGAGTCCATATTTTATTGTGACACTGGAAAAGTGTTTAAGACCAGCTAGCCATGTCTTTATCATCCGTTTAATACCGGCCACGTGACGGGCTCTCGACCAATAGGAATGGCTAAACTGTCTGAGGTATTTATGAATATTAGTTGAATGAGCCCGGAGTGCGTGCGTACTACCTGAGCGCGATTCGCATGAGCCTGGTGCCACCACAGAAAATGGCTAAGTAGTCTATAGGTGAAATCGACTGTTAAACCTGATGATAATCAGGAAAATCATGGGGAATCCCTTTTTATGATATGAACCCTGAGGCTGGAATTGGAACAGCGACTATAATCCTTACCTGGCCAATCAGTATCAGAATAAAAATCAGTCACAACCAATCAAATTGCTTCTACTGGTACCTGCTCTTCTAACGCCAGGGGGTTAAGACAAGATAAGTTTGCGGTAGCACCATGTGAATAAATCTCTTTTGTGAGTATGTGTGGTTCTGAAAAGAACAGGAGGGACTCTTTTCAGAACCACATATACTCACAAAAGAGATTTATTCACATGGTGCTACCGCAAACTTACTTGTCTTAGTATCTTTCCACCATGCAAACCTTCAAATCTCAGCAAGGGGGGTTGCAAATTTTTGTCAAACATACCTATGATGCTCTGCAAGTATCAAAAAGTAGGGGGTTTTATACGTGAGAAAAAAAACCATCCCTACCTTGTTCGGTATCGATGGCAACATGAAGTGTTTGCCGTCGGCCAATCCCAAGTCCCTCTCAACGATGGCGTAGAAGAGACCACCCCTCTCAAATAATGCAGCGTTCTGCTGGACGTAGGTCCACATGTCAGAGTTCATCAGGGTGGCCATCAGGTTCAGGGAGTAGAGCCGCAGGTCAAGGTTGTCACCTGATTGAAGACATTTACATATAAATCTGCATATTTAAGGCTAGAAGTAGTGGAGGCAAAGATCAAGGATGTCACAGCATATTCAAAAAGTTCATGGACAAGAGAAGTAGTAGAGGCAAATGTCAAGGTTGTCCCGGATTGAATACATTTGCATAAATCTGCATGATTAAGGCTTGAAGGAGTGGAATCAAAGATCAAGGCTGTTAATGCATATACAAGAAACTCACGGAAAGGAGTCAAGGGTCAATGGCGTTGCCTTTTTGAATAAATGTACATATATATGCATATTTTATGAATTCAAGGAAGAGTCAAAGGTCAAGGTTGTCACTTGGAAAAACATTTACATAAATTTGTATATGACATAAAATAATTATGACATATTTACATAATTGCATATTTAGGTTGAGGAGAAGGGTCAAAGGTCCAGGCTGAATGAATAAATTTGTGTCAATCAGCATGCTTAACACTTAGGGACAAAAGAAAGGATTATCACCCGACTGCATAAATTTACATAAATCTGCATGCTCAATAAGTAGTAACAAAGGCATTTGTTTCCTAATTTGTATGTTTGCTTTTTGCACCTGTGTCTTGCTGTAGACTCTCCATGCCCCTCATTATCTCATCCCTGTTCAGGAATCGGTTTCCCCCCTCCGGAAAAGTGGAAGATCCCGGCGCGGTGCTCAGCGAGTGTTGGCTGGGTCCGGACAGTCCGACTTCCATGGGTTGCACTGTGTGTGAAGCAGAAAATATTTACTTACCAAATTTATGTGGTAAGCATTAAATAGCCAAATACCAGTCACAACCAATATACATTATGTGGTATTTGGCTGGTAAACCTGAATTTGTTAAGCAAGCATTTACTATGCTTAGTACATTAAAGAGAAATCTCACAACTCCTTGGGACCAGAGGAATAACTCACCCTTTGAAATCACTTCTACGGTCACCCTATCTCCGTTCTGCAAGGGCACCGGTTGGTTCTCCTGGTCCCCCTCGGGTGCCGTCAGCTCTTTCGGCGGGAAGCCGTAACGGATCTTTTGCTCGGCCGCCTTGATTTGAAGCTCGGCCTCGATCTTGGCCTGGAGCTCGGCGAACGTCGTGCCGGGGTCGAGAACCAGTGTAGCCTGGGCATCAGTGACAAAAGCTTATTTGTTAACCAAAGGCCCTATTAGGATTTTGTAGGTGTTTAAAGCCCGGTTCATACTTCACGCGAATGCGAATGCGAAGCGAATTTGACGTCATGGCACATTCGCTGCGAAATTCGCCCAAGTTGAAATATGTTCTACTTTTACGAATGTGCAGCAGGAATACTTGCCACGACGTCACAAATTCGCGTTCGCTTTCTCTTTCGCGCCGAGTATGAACCGGGCTTTAGAAAGATGGCAATTGCGATAAAGCGTCTTGCCCAAAAACACAAACATGTAGATCCAAGTGTGAATGACTGAAATTCCCCAGCAGAATTCTCCGCGTACCTGTTTTCCACCTGAAGACGTCAATCGGATCCTCTTCTGCTTGGGCGCCTCCTTGGTCGCCTGGACGACCGTATCCTTGATGACAGTCTCCATGGCGACATCTTCCGTTTGGCCCACCTCCTCTTTGGCTCCGTCTCCCGTTTGTGAGGCAGATCCTCCCGGCGACGTGTTGGTGGATGATACCTCAGATGTTTGATGGTGCTTTTGCGTGATGGGAGCCTTGTCTTGGATGCGTTTGCGAAGGTTGCGTTCGGCTTCGCTCATCGTCAGCTCCTCTTTATGGAGCGTCTTAGCCTGAAATTAAATCGTTTTTAAGTCAATATAGTCCTGCCTTTTGATACATTCGATGCAATGTTAGCCTAAAGCTGCCACAAAGTCGACCTTGCGACGGCACAGAACAGTCGCTGACTGACTTTTCAGGATCAAGCTGGGCCTGAGCCACGACCGTCGGGGACATTTTAGTCACCGATCTTTTTGCGATCCGAGTGTAATTGTATCAATATTAAGATGATCGGCATCAGTCGGCACGAACAAAAATCAATACCCGCAAGAGTAGAAAAATGTCACCTTCTGCGCCGCGAAGGAATGTGGTTCCGACAGGCAGGAATTAATCGCAGTCGAGGTAATGTGTAGTAATGGCATCGTGCGCGCATCCAGATCATCTAATTTTTAATATTGTGAATCGTCGTCGCGTCGTGGGTGACATGAGCATGATTGCTATTATTCTGCTTCGAGACGCCGCTTGTTTCACGATAATCACAGATGTCTAAGTTTTGTGACCTGAGCATGACTTTTAAAGTTGATGTTGACTGTTCCGTCGTGGCGCAAGCAAATCGCAGGTCGACCTGAGGCCGGCTTAAGGGCAATGTTTGGAAATGGTGGGGGGGGGAATATTAGAGTAATGAATATCAAAAGTTAAAAAAAAAAAACAATCTGAGTTTCTTTTTTCCTGTTTTGTACAGGTTGCTAGACTATTTTTTGCTTACTGCATGTCCAGTAAGAATAATCTTGGACGGCGAATCGTCCAACATGCTTCCTTTCTTCTCAAGGGGGGAGCCCACCCTAGGAGAACTACGGCCACTGCTGGGTGATCCAGATCTGCCTGTGCGGTCACTGTTATCTTTAGGTCGGTGCTTGGGAGTGTGTCCCCCGGGTTCTGTTTTCGAGCCCCGCTTGAGTTCAGGAGTGTCTCCCCTTTCCTTGGGGGAAGAGCCGGCAGCTGATTGGTCGGAAGTGCTCGTGCTGGGCATGTCTTTCAAGCTGATTGGCTGGTACTCTTCCTGCTGTCCAGCAGTCTGCCAGAGACAAAACAAAATATTATGGAAAAAATTATTATGATGTACAAAGAATTAAGTTGGATTTTTTTTAATTGAAAACAAAAAAAGGAGTGCTGTGGCCTCGTGGTCTGGAGCATTGAACTTGTGGTCTGCAGGTAATTCTGCAGGTTGTGGGTTCGAGTCCAGCCTGGGATTATGGTGTGTGTGCCCTTGGGCAAGGCACTTTGTCACTCATTGCTTCTCCCCACAGAGTAAATGGGTACCTGTGAGGGCAGAGATGGTTATTGTGATTGATTTAGGTTCCTTGCGCCGAAATAGCTGCATCGAGCTATTACATCGAGCTATATACTCCCCAGGGAGCTGAAATGGTATTTGGGATGTTTCACTGGCCCAATGATCAGATGCAATAATAATGTAAAGCGCTTTGATCTTAGTTAAAAGTGCTATATAAGAATTCGTTATTATTAGGGTACGTGTGACACGGGGGACACTGTTCATGATAATATTGACTGTGCATTTTGGCCAAAATTACCAACATTTTCTTTTTTGTAACTTACATTAAATTGAATTTATAATACTGGATAGGGCTCATACATTTGTTTCCGTTTTGCCTGTTTATTGGGTAGAATGCTGGGGTGGTGGTGGGGGGGGGGGGAGGGGGCTTTAAAGCACCCATACCCTCAGCTCATCCCCTTTGCTGAGCCACCGTTTCAACATGAATTATAATAAACGCATCGCGATACAATGAAAATTTCCAGACGATCACTTCACTGCCTCTTTGCTACTCACGTTTAGGAGGATGGTCTCCACGACCTGCTGGACCAGCTTCTCGCTGCCAAACTCCCCAGGGAAGTGCTTCTGGACCAGGGCCGAGGCGATGTCGTAGGCGTTGCTGTTCAGGGACAGGTCCGATTCGTCCTGGAACCAAAGCACGTCCTCCGTGTAGGTCTGGCCTTTCCACTTCAAGGGAACCGTGAATCTGGGGACAAAAACGACGAAATCAATTTTAAAATAGTGCTACTTGGCCCATTTTTGGTCTAACTTCTGGCCATCACGGTGAAATAAAACCTGGCATGCAGGGTTGGAATAGGCAACAAGTGGTTCTTAAAGTTTAAAAAAGGAGGGGTTCAAAAAAGCCCATTTTGGAAAAGACAGTTTCAATTATATTTCATATTTGTTCTTTTTTTTCCACGTTTTACTATACAAGCACAAAAAAATTTCAGACTTAGCAAGGTGGTTGTTCACATTTTGTGGGCGTGGCCAACAATTACAAAGAGGTAGGGTGCTAGGTTGACGACATGGCATTCACGAAACCTTGGCTTCAGCTTCAGGCTCTAAATTTCTGATGTCAAGTCTCAGTACAACATGAAGTGAAGAAATCAGTCTTTACTCTTTTTTACCATAAAGGGCTATCAAACTTTTCTGGGCGAGGCATGAAAACCGAAGCTTGGAAATAAGGCCATGGTTTGGGAAGTGGCTTTTACAAACTCACATAGATGGGTTGTTGTCGTATTCGACACCGTTCCAGTAGTGCTTGAAGCCGCAGTTGCATTTGGTCTTGGGCGCCGGGGTCGTGGTGCGGTCACCGTTGAAGTAAATCACGCTCCCGTCCGCTTGAATCTGACGCAACTGCTTCCTGAAAAGTGCAAAAATAAAAATTTCCTTATCTTCCAAATGCTGTAGAATACTTTTTTCACCCTTGATGAAGTAAATTTTTGAAATTAAAGGGAAAAAACAACATTTGCAAACATCAAAAAATAAAACTACCAAATCATTTTGAAATACCTTGCTGGACTGTTAGTGAATGACAGTGTAAAGCATCCTGTAAAATCATGGCACCTGGTATACTGTCATTTTCAAGAAAAGTGGTATTTTTGTATCAATTTCCAACGCTGATTAGCCGATCAGCGTTGGAAAAAACTGGCTTTTTTTCAAATACTGGCCCCAGTTGACCATCGCACCTGTTTGCAATCGATTACACACCTACGAACGGGTACAAGCCAGCTAGACTGGTTCCCTGACCTTACAATTCCCCAATATATGTAAACTGCTCTGTTTCTTCTTAAATGGAGTCAGGGAACCAGACTACAGGAAAATGATTGTTTTTCTTGGTTTTTATAGCATTTTCGAACCCAAAACCTCAAAAAAGTCAGTGTAACTATATTTGCTATATATTTCCAACCCTCCAATTCCACCCATTTCTGAAAATTACAGCAAAAGCAAATGATGTATATTCCCTTTAAAGTAAAATAAATGTATTGGTGGCGGTCTTACCCCTGACACCACGCACACTGGGAGGGTCTCATGGTGGATTGGTCCGGAACCAGTTCATCCTTTGCAGCGTCGTAGGTGCAATTCAGTTCTGTCAAAAGAAAAAAATATTTAAAAAATTCCGATATTCAATTTTTTTGTCACTGTGATTGTAGGTTTCCTAACGTTATTTACAATGTGCACACCATGGGGACTTCGAGTTTTTGTCCACATTAACTCTAACCTTCCCAAATCCTCCAAAATCATCTTTGCAAATTGGAGGATTTGGAGGGATTGTGGCTATTTGGCCAAAAAGTGTGGCTGATTTTGGAGGATGCACTGTGTCAAGGTCTTAGGCTGAACCTTGTGTTGTTTATGCTCAGCCGTGCATAAATTTAGGCCTAGATTATACTTGAAATCCTCCGCACTGCTCCAGGATGTCACTGGCTCTGCCTCAACATATTGACAGTGATTGCTGGAGGATTTTGCAGGATTGAGGCAGTGGTCACCCCTCCAAGGACCATTATAATGGATGATTGTGGAGGATTAAGGCTGCATGCGAATTTTACATGGAGGTAGTTGGAGGATTTTGCAGGATTGAGGTTGCATCCTAGCAAAAATGCCTAGGGAGTTAGGCTTAAGATTTGATGCGCATATTTGTACACGCTTTGGGCCTCTCAAGATGGCGTCCAAGTGACATCGGTCTAATGCTATCCAGGCTGAATATTCATCTCCTCCGGTACACAATGGACATTCCTAAGGTATTCATCAGCCTGATTGTGTACTTGCTGATTTTCAGTTCATATGCAAATGGAACCAGCCATGAGCAAAATGCCAGCCCTTACACGATTGGCATCGGAAGGCGACAAACTCACAAAGTGACATTTTGTAGGGGTTATCTGAAGTCCCCCCGTACGTATTACCCCAACTCATGTGCCACCTTTAGACTACCAATCATCCGCTGTGGTGATATCGAACTAAACCCCGGACCATCGTTAGAATCAACACCAGGGAATCATTCCAACCAAACACACAGTGAATATCGCTATAATCGGGATTATCTTCACGCTCTCAGTTCATTACCGAACTTAACAATTCCTGCCTATTCATGGGAAACCATCAAACAATTGGGAATACGGCGTAAACCACCGACCCACCGTGGCTGCCGAGCTGGTGTACGCAAAAACAAACATTTTCGCCATCCAATCCCAGCAATTATCAACTATGCTCGAACAAGCAATAAGACAATAGCTCAGCACCGGTCATGTGATCATCGATCCCTTGTACCTATCCCTAGCACTCCTAAGGTGTCTACAAAGACCCATCTACCATCAGTTATGTTGTGTAATGCACGATCAGCTAATAACAAACTCGATGAACTTTCGACAATGATTCTTGCCAATGATATTGATATCTGTGCTGTCACTGAAACCTGGTTCAAGTATGATCTTCCTACAAACTTGATTGCAATCCCAGGATACACTGTGGTCTGCAAATCGAGAATCAATCGTGTCGGTGGTGGCGTAGCTCTCTACGCAAAATTCGACATGAACCCTTCCCCTCTCCAAAATGTTACTGTTCCTGATGACCTTGAAATTGCCTGGATTCAACTCAGACCTCCACGCCTACCACGCTCTGTTTCTTGTATTTTCTGCTCTGTTGTCTATTACGCACAACCTGACAACGATATCGCAACAAGGATCATCGACCATATACAGGCAACCATTGATTTCCTGACTGTCAACTCGCCAGACGCCGGTTTTATCATTTTGGGTGATTTTAATCAACTCAATCTAAATCCCCTTATTGATCAAAACTATCGACAGGTAGTAAAGCAACCCACACGAGGTGACAGTACCCTGGACAAAATCATTAGTAACTTAAGTGGGTTCTATGGAGAAGTACAAATCTCATCTCCAATAGGACGCTCGGACCACGCAACCCTTCTTTGGATACCAAAAAGTTTGCCGCCTAAACGCAACATTACAAAGAAGCGGTTTAATCGTCCAATGCCAGACAGTGCCATTCGATCATTTGGTAGATGGATCAGCGAACATGATTGGTTAGAAGTCACCAATAAAAGTGACGTCAACTTACAATGTACCGAATTCTACAATACCTTGCATACAGCTATAAATACGCATTTCCCTCTCCGAGTAGCTAAGGTACATTCTTCTGATAAGCCCTGGATAACTCCCGAAATTAAACTTCTTATCCGCAGACGTCAAAAAGCGTACTATAATAAACAGACTGATGAATGGACACGGCTCCGAAATGCAGTCATCGTAACTATCAAAAAGGCAAGATCGGAATATTACTCAAAGCGGATTCAGAGGCTCAAGAAAAACAATCCGTCATCCTGGTATCGTGAAATCCACGTGCTCTCTGGCACCAATAAAGACCACTCGCCCATCACTATTCCAGGAGTAAATCATGATGACACTAAATCGATCGCTAACGCAATCAATGAACACTTCGTATCTATTGCAGGTGATTTAGAACCACTAAACCTTGCAAAACTCCCGGCCTACCTCCCCTCTTCAACACCATGTCCTGAGGTTTATCCTTGGGATGTACAGAAGGCACTGGGGAAAATCAAACGCACGACAGCTGGAGGTCCAGATGACATTTCCGCGAGGATTGTGAGAACATTCTCTTATGAACTTGCGACACCCGTAACACATATTATTAATTCATCTTTCGAACAATGCATTGTGCCCGACCAATGGAAACGAGCTATCGTTATCCCGGTACCCAAAACAAATCCCCCTACACTGGATAAACTCCGTCCAATCTCTCTCACAGACCATTTCGCGAAGGTGACTGAAGGTTTCATAGCCAAATGGATCTTTAGTGATATCCAGCCCAAACTGGACCCAAACCAATTTGGGAATCGAAAATTCCTGTCAACTACCCACTGCTTAATTAACATTTTACACCAAGTCTACGCTAATGCTGAAATTCCAAAAGCTTCGTCTACAATTGTTGTGACAGACTTTACAAAAGCATTCGACCGTATCGACCACACTATAGCAATTGCTAAGTTGTTGGACCTCGGTGTTCGTCCGTCGCTCATCCCATGGGTCGCAGACTTCCTCACATCACGTCAACAAAGAGTACGGTACAAAACCTCCGAGTCTGATTGGTCCACTCTTCACTCTGGTGTACCGCAGGGCACACGTCTAGGGCCAATCATCTTTCTGGCAATGATCAACGATATGTCCCCACCGAATGGTATAAACGCCTACAAATATGTCGACGACATGACTCTTGTCGAATGCCGAACTCAAAACCAATTGTCGCAAATGCAGTCAGCTGTCTCCTCTTTGGTACAGTGGTCGAAGGATAACAACATGAAACTAAACCCAAAGAAATGTACAGCAATGGAAATAACATTCCAGCGAAACCCCCCAGCACCACCTTTGCTCATGCTGCATGATCATCAATTACAAACAGTGCAATCAATTAAACTACTTGGCATACTTATTCAGAGCAATTTGAAATGGGACGCACATATTACTGACCTCATTAAACGTGCAGGTAGAAAACTTTACATGCTCCGTCTTCTTAAAGGCCACTGTTTGCCTGTCCAGGATCTACTTATTATTTACAACAGCTACATCAGACCGCTTCTTGAATATGGAGCACCAGTATGGGATGGGGGATTAACCACTGCCCAGTCTGACCACATCGAAAGCATCCAAAAAAGAGCTCTACGAATAATCACCGGACGCGGTGGTTATAACAGTTATTCCGAGATGCTATGTGAACTCGGGATTTCCCCCTTGAAACAAAGAAGGGAATCTCTATGTACATCATTCATCGAAAGGACATTGAAACAAACTGAACAATTTAAGGATTTTATCCCTTCTCCTCCAAAAATGAAACGTACACTAAGAAATTCGAATAAAATCCCACAACTTAAGTGTAAAACAAATAGAATGCAGAATAGTGCCATTCCTCATCTGGTACAACTGTATAACTCTAATCCCAAATGATATGAATAGATTTTTACCAGCAAGCTTTTATTGTATTTTACAAGTTTTAACGCTATTTTAATACTACCTTTCATTTAAATAAGCTAATTTGACTGCCACACATCTTGCACAATTTTTAATCTTATTCCTCATCTGGCCCATTTTTATAATTTTAATCCTAAATGAAACTATATTTTTTTTTTGCCTGCAACCTTTTTGAATGTCTTTTATAAGTTTTAACGCAATTTCAATGCCCCCTTTTTAAAGTAAGATAAATTGATTGCAACACAGTCTGTATCAATAATATGTATTTCTCTACATAGACTATTTTCTTTAGTCAGATCTGTATGCACAATGTTTAAACCTTTTCTAATATTAGTATTTAATGTCATATTTTGTTTTTTTAACTCGGTACACCTTTAACTTTTTTAAAAAATGTATTTTTTTAAAATGTAAATCACGTGCAATTCAGCTGTGGCTGCCATTCGTGATTTGTTAATAAACCATGTTGAATGAATGAATTAGGGCTACAGTGCTCACCGTGTAGTGGGAAGGCATAGACCTTGCCCTCCATCAGTCGTCCGTGAAGCTTCCTGGCCAACTCGTACAGCTCCCCGCCGCGCCACAGCCAGCCCTGCGGCACGCTAGTCTTCTCGATCTGCGAGACCGCACTGCAGAGCAGGCAGCGGAACAGCTGCTTGTTCTCCACGGCGTGGCGCGTGTTCTCAATGATGATGTTCTGGTTAACGCCCACCACACCTGCATTATTTTGTTTTAGAAAAACAGAAGGTAAGCATAGGCCTTACGCATTGCGAGTGTCTCAGAGTATATTCTTAGTAATTCTACTTGAATAACAATGAATGTATGTGGCATGGTGGCATGGGTGGCACAGTGCGTAAAGCTGAACCATAGAGCTGTATTAATTTACAAGAGCGCTAACTCCTTATTCTTGTGCGTGGAGATACTTTAAAGCCGTCCTGCGCGGCTGGAGGAATTTGGAGGATTGAGGTTACATGGCAAAAAGCGTTACTGATTTCGTTGGATGCACTTTGTCAAGGTCTTGGGCCGGACCTTGTGTTGTTTTTGCTCAGCCATGCATAAATATAGGCCTGGATTATGCTTGAAATCCTCCGTACTGCTCCAGGATGTCACTGGCCAGGCCGCAACGTACTGACAGTCACTGCCGCAGGGTTTCGCAGGATTCAGGCAGTGGTCACCCCTCTACGGACCATATTCCAGAAATAATGGAGGAAATTGCAGGATTGAGGCTATATGCTATGTTTCCATGAGGCCAATTGGAGGATTTTGCAGGATTGAGGCTACATCCGAGCAAAAAGGCCTAGGGAGTTAGGGTTTAAAACTCACCAGTGCGTTTATAGATGTAGTGATGTACGTCCGCGACCACCGTTGGGTGGAGACGATATTTCTCCACAAACACCTCCTCCATTGCGGCTGCGAGCCTCTGTACGTATTTGTCCTGGGTTGTGTCAAGGGGGGTGGGGAGGTAAGAAACAACAACATTTAACAACCGTAATGTCATTTCAGATCCCCTCAAATAGTGAATGAAATGTTGAGCCAACGAATCTGATTGTTTTCAGAAGAATTCCCAAACTTCCATAAAACAAAATAGGGTCGACAGGGGGTTGAAATTATGGTCAAACACTGGATGTTTTCGAACTGTTTACAGTATTTATCTGTACAAAAAACAAATATGCTGCACTGAACTTTGTAATCTTGCATTCTAAGTTAGTAACAGAAATTGATGCTTAACATGTTACAAATCTGAATGCGCTTGCTCGTTTTGTCCAAAACTTCTGTGCGCCTAATTCCACCTGCGGTCAACTATAATGCTTTTAGGCCCCTCCCCCCCCTTGGAATATTTCTTACCAAGAGTGAACGGTCTCCACCCACAGTACACATGTCGTCCTGGTCAAATTGTATGTAGGTGTCGATCAGCTCATGAGGGGCACCCCATGCCTTGGTCAGCATCCCCCTGGGTAGGCGGGGCAACGGCCGACCTGTCACGGACATCGAAACAAGAAACAGGGGTGTGAGTGACCACTGATAAAAATAGCTGAAAACAGCTTAAAAAAGGTGTAAAAAAAAGACGAACTTTGGAAATCTCCTAAACTTTTGTACACAGCAAGTGAGGGAACAAACCCGAAATTCAAAACAAAATAAGCTGAAATCAGCTTTAAAAGTGAGATTTCACACCCCTGAAGAAAACATGTACACAATTAGTTAGAAAAAGAATGTAAACAATTGGGCATTGTTTTGTTTTTCTCTTTGCCTTGGTTTGAGGCCTTTGTTTAACCTTCCTGCTATCTGAACAGTCACAGACAGTCAAAATATACCAATCCTGTTCCCCTGTCATGCCTTTATACACAGGCTAGTCACCAACAGTCGGATCAGATTTCTTGGCAACAATGCGACTAGTCAAATTCCATCAAAGGTCAAAAACAGGTACCTGGTAGGTACAGCTGGCTTATCAATCTCCACATCATTCAAAGCATAGCTGTATCAAGTTTAACCCTCCTGCTATTTAAACAGTCACAGACAGTCAAAATTCCATTCCACTCTTCCCCTGATATACTTTTAACAAAGGCTAGTCACCAGCAGTCAGATCATATGTTAAGCAAGCACTGTGTCTAGTCAAACTGGGTCAACAGACAAAGCAGGCAAGTTGTGGTCACAGCTTTTTTATCACTCACCCGGAGTCAAATCATAGCTGTATCAAGTTACTTAAACCATGTAAACAGTCCCAGCCAGTCAATCCTGCTTTACGTAGGCTGGGAATTCGTAACTTGTTGAAAACAGTCACTTGTTTGATTTTGACTGAAAGGACTACTTGGCACAGAATGTAGGTTTGCATGGGAAAAACTCGACACTTGTAAGCATCAGAAACATTTTTACTCAATTATAAATCACTCTCGTCTTCTCATCTAGAGAAAACCTCACGCACTATGGAGCCCATACCTTTCACCCCTACAAGGGCGATAAAATGGTTGCGTCCAGAGCTGCTCCATGCAATACACAATGGCTTGTTGAGCGTACCATCTTTCCCACAGCAGTCCTTGCGGGGGACAAACACGGGTAAGAATACTCCTGAGGGACCAAAATAAGAAACATAAGTTAGAGGAAACACAGTGTCAATTATATTTTTAGACCAACCATTGATTGGATATATGTAGGTTGGAATGTTTAAAGAGGTTGTGGAATGCTAGAAGACATTTCCGTCATTTTTTGGGTATATGTAGCCTAAGGTGTGATGAAATACAAACGACTATTGTTTCTGTCATGAAATGAGTACAAAGGTTACTTTTGAGAGCTATTTTTCAGGTCCTGTTTCGACCCGAACGTGCAATTTGTGTAAAAGTCGTCGTTGCGGGCAGCAAACAAAACACAGTGAATCGTGACGTAATAAACAGGACTCGTTTATGCTACTCTGCATCGGGAGTCCTGTTTATTACGTCACAATTTACTGTGTTTTGTTTGCTGCCCGCAACGACGACTTTTACACAAATTGCACGTTCGGGTCGAAACAGGCATGACAGGACTTGAAAAACAGCTCTCAAAAGTACCTTTTGTACTCATTTTATGACAGAAACAATAGTTGTTTTTATTCATCACACCTTAGGCTACATATACCCGAAAAATAACGGAAATGTCTTCGAGCATTCCACAACCTCTTTAAAGTTTCAGTTTTTATAAACAGATTTACCAGAATAGTCTCCGGAACTCTGGAGTCCTTTGAGGGAGTCCAGAAGAATGATGGGTCGATGCAGAACATTGGCCAGGCCGAAGATGTGGATGTTCTGCAAGCCGAAGAGTTCGGTCTCCGTGGGCATGTAGTCAGGGTCACTCTCCGCGATGATCTGGGTCCACTCGCTGCTGTCCGTCAAGAAATCCTTGAAGTGGTTCTTGTACTGGGCAAGGTTAGCCAAGAAGTGAGCCTTCAGGTTTGTGCGCAGGGCGTGCCAGAAGAGCTCCCGACCGACCAAGGCGCGGGAGATGCCGTGGACGAGGCAGTGGCCGTCTCCGTCGGCGTGGATGGGCACCAGTACCTCCTGGTTCCCGTTGAGCTGGTTGATGAACTCCAAGGTGTCCCGCAGGTACTTGGCGCTGCCCGTCTGGTCCCGACCGTAACCCATGATGCCGATGTGCTCGGGCTGCAGTAGGAAAGCCCGCCCGCCCAGCAGGCTGCAGTCGAAGACTTCGCTGCCCTGGTTCAACTCCGGGAGCGGGCGGGCCCGGCCCTGCTTGTCCATGCCGTAGTGGGTAAGCAGCGGGCTGAGTAGCTTACAGTGGTAGTTGGACAGGCCCAGGACCTTGACTGAGTCGGCCGTCTGTTTAGGCACCGCGCTGCCCACCAGCAGGTTCCGGACCATGTTGTGGAGCATCACCTCGGGATCCGTCACCTCCTGCACGTTGCTCAAGGTGCCGCGCTCGTGCCGCTGGCCGCAGCCCGTGCACTCGATGCTTGAGTCGTAGGAGGGGAAGTAGAGCTTGGTCTGGCATTGGGCGTCGGGGCAGTGGCCGCTCAGCATGCGGTAGCGATCCTCCACCTGGGAGGACGATCTCGACAACATCTTGCTCCGATGCGGGCTCAGTCTTCCTCAATCCTGAATAGAGAAAAATTAATAAAAGTACCAAAATGTAAATTATTAATTATATCGTCAGACTCCCTAAAGCTATGTGGTCCTATTTCTACGCACTCACCTTCAATTTGTGTGTGACAACGAGCACGCGTTGCAAGCGTTACCTGCGCAGATTATGGAGGGTCAAGGATAAATTATAAATTGATGTATTTTACATTTTGTCACCCCACTTTGTATTATATATTACTCTTTTTTTAAGCAAGAACAGACATCTAAAGTGACATACTTTTTATCAGGAAATTCGGCAAATTCGGAATAACATGGCTTATTTTGAATATGTTGAAATTTCTATTTCCTGACACTGCAACAAAGATTCATTCATTGACTTCTTAATTAAAACAACAAAAACACCCCAAATATTAGTCCGAGTAACTAGGACTCTACGAATCGCCTTTTTTTAACATCGTCCGACCATGTCCAAATGTTAAAATAGGCGATTTGTAGAGTCCAAGTTAGTAAGTTACTCGGACTACCAAAAGATCACAATATTTCACTTCTGTAGAGTAATTTTTCTGTATCCTATTCTTAAAGAAGGGAAGATCACATTTGATTCATGAAAATAAACAAAACACATTTTCAAAGATAAAATGAAACAGAATGTAAATGTCAAAATATTCACACTTTTTATAGCTCCATCATGGTTTCACCATAGACATGCAACTGCAAGACTGGGGCACTATCGAATTTCATCATCATGATTGTAAAAATGTACTCCATATTATTCAATGCGCAATGGAAATAAAAACTTCACATATAAGTACTATAACAATAGAGATTAACTTTACGTGTGAATATTAGAAAAGGAGCTTTTAAGGTTGTATTTACCGACAAAATTGTGACTGTGTCGTCATTTGGGAAGATCGCAATGTTTCTTTCTGGAGCCAATGACCTTTTTATGCAAATTGTGACCTCATTTTCCAGCCAGACCGACTTTAATTTATAAATCCTAAAATATCCATGTGTATGCAGATAAAGTTGGTTATTAATCAAAAATAAGAAAGAGAGAACTAAAGACTAGTTTGTACATTTGTACATTGTGAATAAAAGTGACTCAAATATTTTATTATGACAAAAAAATAATACCAACCCACCCGGTTTTAGTGAAAACAAAGCTGGGTCGAATTCGTTGCTAGAGGGCGCTCTTTTGAGTTTGCATGAAGTCTTAAACCCAGACCCAATGCAGGAGCTTACAATAGAAATCTGGTAAGTCACCAGTGTTTGTATATTTGTCATTCAATTGCATTGATTTCTCTTGACTGCGGCCAAGACATGGCAGAGAAACTGACGGAAAATCCCAAAAGAGGCATTCTGAAGGCCTCGGGACATTACGAAGATCCAGCCAACAAGCCTGAGTAAGTATCCAGCAGAGTTGTATCTGGTGCACAAGCAGTTTACTTGAGTGATCAGGAAAAACAAGAGCCCAAAACAATGTCAACATGGTCGCACTCGCTCGACGGCCGGCGTAATACGGTACTGCATTGTACTGTGGTTTACCCTGCAGTGGGTGGCGTACGTGACAAACGTGACATTGACAATACAATTAAACGCAGTGGCTATTGTTACGGCAATTGACCGTCTGGTTCCCTTACCTAATAATATTCAATGTCAGGATCTTTAGCCCTTGCAACCAGTCAATCAACTGATCAACCAAAAAGTTTTCGCACCTTGTTAATTTGTTTCACTTTGCTTTAAAATAAAATCCTCAAAAAACCAAAAAAACACTGGATTAATTTATGAAGTCGAAGAAGAAAATGAAATCTAGGCCTAGGCCTAGGCCTAATTCATTAAAAATTAGATTTGATTAAAAAACAAAAGTATAAATAAAACTATTAAAAAAGAGAGAAAAAGTTGGCATAGCATTAGCCCCACTGGCACTAGTACTACTTACTAGTGTTGCCTCAGTATTGCTGCGCTGTACCTCTGGCCACACGCCAGGTTCCCCAACCTACTGAGGACTTTGTCAAAAAAAGGTGCAAATTGTCTCACGTACGGTTGTATTCTATGATGTCTCAACTTCTTTCCTCTGGGTTGTTTAGTTGTCCTTATATCAAATTTTTCGAGAAATTTTGGCATCTTTCTAGCGTTCATATGCACGCGAAAAACATCTGTGGATGGCAGTCATTTTGAATGTAAGAAGCGTAAGAATCGATCTTGTCGATCTGGCCCGCAAGTTGCAATGCAATCTCAACCGATAGTATAGCGTGCAAGTATACAGTCTGGGCGATCCCATTTTACAAGAAACAGTCGTCGCATTGCAACTTGCGCGCCGGATCGACAAGATCGATTTGCATACATGTATATTACTTTTCGTACTCTGAAACAAAAAATAATCATAATTAGTTCTACTTCCAAATTACTTTTTGTAGAGATGGCATCAAGTGGGATGAGATGAATATTCTGGCCACCTTCCATCCGGAAGGCAAAGACTACGGCCACATGAAGGTGGACGAACCGGACACTCCCTACAACAAATACACGGATCCGGACGGGGATGACGCGGACGCCGACCCTCAGAGCGAGAATGAAGATGATAAAGTATTAGACTCGGGAAAACTTGCCAACAGGTATTTTTAAACCTAATCTAGCTTGATCCTCCTGCTGTCTGCGTTCTGAGAACCTACCCTTCTTTTTCTCTTCTAGGGCTGAAAAAAAATCCATAGTCAGCCGCTAACATGAAGTCGCGCGCTGTGCACTCACACGTACTGTACGAAGCGCGAACAGCAACCTCACGTGGCTGGGCTACGATATGCAAATCAGTTGGTGCTAGTCGAACGCCTTGGAACAAGGGTCACCATGGTCTACCTTGTTTGGGGAAATTTTCGTTGTATTGTCGCTGGATTTGTATTGGGTTTTATGTGGTGTGCAGACTCCAAACTTGTTGGAGAATGTAGCCACACTATCCAGCTCTCTGTCCATGTAAAATATGAGTCTTCACGACCAAGTACTGAATAATAATCTCATCTTTATTCGGAACAAGGTAAATAAAAAAGGTGTTTGACCAGCCTGAACAGATTTGCATATTGTAGCCTAGCCGCGTGAGGTCACTGACTGCGTTTCGAACAGTCCGTGTGCGTGCATAGGGATCTGATACACCGTGCCCCCTAGAGACATGCACACAAAAGGGAACAAAAGATTGTATACGTCTCCACAGGGCAATTTCTATAGATGAATACGTCTCCACAAGGTTTTCACGAAATAGATATATGGATTTTACTCAAAAACTGCAAATTTCTAAGGTATGTTGATCGTCGCAAATGGTAGAGTTTTAGAAAAGGGATATTAAATCCGAATTTCAGCCAAGGAAATTAATTCTGGTTAAAATAAGAGCATTTTGAAACTGTACTTTCAAACTCGAAAACTTAAGTACACGAGAACAAATAAATGTCTCCACAAGGATACAAATTTCAGTAAGCTTGCTCGGTACTGTTTATGTTATTTTAGCAGCCGACCGGAGCATCGAGCATTGGACACTATCTTCAAACGCCTTGACCAAGACTAACCACTCAGCATGCTATCAAATGCAACAGTAGATTTTGTTCCATTGGGAAATTGTTTTCTAAGTTCTGATGTAAGGACATACATACTTTTGTAACAATTTGCCATGTTGTCAGATTGTGTACGTTATTTCATTGTTGAGTTTGAACTTGCTGTGTTATAGTGCTTCCTTGGGTATTTTCCTTGCAGACTGCAGACAGACACAGAGGACAGGAGATGGTGGGACAAAGAACCTGGGGAGGAGGACGACGAGAGCGAAGACGAGGACGAGGACGAAAGCTTGATGTCACCGGAGGCCAAAGGTCAGCAGAGAGGGAGAATTCTGATTGGTCGATTTGTTAGCAACTCTCCTTCCTGATTGGGCAAACATTACTCTCTTTAAATGTCAGATTTAGAAGCCGCATCTGAATGACTTGGCTACGGCTGGCGATGACACATGCATCTATGGAAGCCACTGTCCATTGACTAGTGTGTTACTCCAAGCCGTAGTCTAATAATTCAGACTTGGCCGGAGTTCAGTCAGTCACAAGTCAATGTCAAGGCGAATCATGTGCCAACTTAATGGAGTGGCCAGGCACAGAAATTGCCAAGCACAGAATATTAAACGATACATTCATTAGGAAATGGTGTTTGACTTGTGCCATGATGTGTGGGTATGAATCCTTGACCAGGGTTGTGATGCTTGTGTTCTTGGGCAGGACTCTTTGCTACAATTGCCTGTGTCCACCCAAGAGTTTAACCTGTGTGTGTTGCAAACAGACTGCGCTGTTCCGAAAATGCTGCATTAAAACTGATCTCATAACATATTCTGGTGATAGTAGTGTCCTATCCCGTCGAATAAAATCCTCACTTTTACAAAGAGGGTTTGGGAAGGTTAGCAATCACGGTCAATATGTTGAAGCAGAGCAGTGCGGGGATTTCAAGTATAATCTAGGCATACATTAAGCACTGCTGAGCACAAACAACACTCTGGCCTAATACCTTGACACAGTGCATCCTCCAAAATCAGCCACACATTTTTGCCATATAGCCTGAATCCTGCAAAATCCTCCACTTTGCAAAGAGGATTTGGGAAAGTTAGGGTTAACAAATGAGCTATATTTCTCCAGCCAAAACTCACTTGTTTGTCCCCCTCCCCCAACTACCACAGATCTCAAGCGCAAGTTTGAGGTTCATCGGAAGCAGCACTACGACGAGGCCTCCAAGATGAAACTGGCCAAGCAACTCATGGAGCAGGACGAGGAGGAACTCAAGCAGCTGGAGGAGGAAGAAGAACGGGAGCGACTGCGGGCCGGGGAACAGACGAGCAGCAGCCTAGACGATGCAAACTCCTCAGAGGTCAATCGCTGATGGTCGCTCTGGAGATTTTTCCCCTTGGCATTGTGGAAACTGCTTTGTTGTGTATGATACTATAATGGGAGTTTTTAAAACTTAAGGTATATCAAAACCCATGATGTTATGCCAAAATTGAAGAGTATCAGGCCAAAACTGAAGAGTATTTCCTTTTTGTTTGGATTCTTAATGCTCATGAAGCAAGCGATTGAGCCAAATCTGAGATGAGGCCCAGATTTCAAATACTCTTTGTGTGACCCAGAGTCATGAGGCAACATAATATATGAAGTGTTTCATCAAAACTATCCTGTTCGTCGCTTTCAGGTACAACCAACAAAATTATCATTATTATTATTAATTATTTCTGGTAATGACACCAAGGATTCCTCAAAAGGGCCCCAGGTACTGTAGCTCGCAAGCCTGAAGAAACCTGTGGAGAGAAGACAATGAGAAGAAATTACAGTTTCAGAGGTGGGAGGAAAACCCCAGAATGATACTCTGGGGAAAACCCACGGAATCAGGTAGGGACTGAAAACCCAATCCACATGTTGGCCCAGGCAGGATTCGAACCCGGGTCACAGCGGTGAAAGGCGAGGAAAGAACCACTCACGAACCTGACTCCTCGTGAAACTGTGACTGGAATTTTACCCTCAGCATTGTGGGAATGTTACAAATATTTCCCGTAGAATAGATAAATATATTTCCCTAGAATGTCAAGTCAGAGTTCTACGGATAGTTGTATGGATATTAACAAGTCTATTGTGACTATTTTGTTACACATACATAGATAACGAGACCGGTGTTATGGTATCGTAATTCTAGGGCTGTTTGAAATATACCAAATATTCGAATAGTTTTTTGCCGGTTTGAATATTCAAAAACAAAAAACTGCACACATACACACACGACTGTGATGCTATTTCATCGTAAAATTGCGACACTTTATTGTCAGGTGCCACTTTTTGTCGACCGTTACTTTTTTTTTGACGGCGGTTTATTGTTCACATCCGTTTAGAAGGTTAAAGCCTTGTACGGTTATAAGATACTTGCTGCAAAACACTCAAGTGCCCCATATCGATTGTCTCACGCAATATTAAAGGGAATATACAACATTTGCAAACATCGAAAAATAAAACTACCAAGTTTTTACGAAATATCTTACCAGGATGTTGGTAAATGACAGTCTAAAGCATCCTGTAAAATTATGGCATCTGGTGTGAAGTCATTTTCAAGAAAATGGTATTTTTGTATACATTTCCAACGGTGATCGGCCGACCACCGTTGGATAAACCTAACTATTTTTCAACTACTGCTCCAAATTTACCATTTTTTTAGTCCAATTTTGTTTGCTATTGGTTACATGTTCATGAACGGGTGCAGGCCAGCTAGACTGGTTCCCTTACCTTACAATTTTCCAGCATCTATAAATTGATCCATGTTATCTTTAGTGGAGTCAAGGAACCAGACTACTTGAACATTTGTGTTTTTCTTGGTTTTTCCAGCATTTTTTGAACACAAAACTTCAAACATGTCAGTGTAACAATATTTGATCTATTATACTAACCCCTCAAATAGTTCATTTCTGAAAATTACAGCAAAAGCCAATGATGTACATTCCCTTTAACTGGCGCTCTTTGTGCAACTTTTTACTGGTGCAGCACGCAGTTACAACTGGCAGTTTTGAACATCCGAATATTCGATCAAATGCAGATTTGAGTAATCGGATATTAAATTAATTGAAAAAGGACAGCCCTACGAAATTCAAAACGTTTACGGTCGTGTTGAATAAAACTTTAAAAACGATAGAATATGGCCCAGAATATTGCCCTGGTAAAACAGAGAACTGGCGTATAAACGACAGACGGGTTCAGTTTAGTTTACTTGCAAATTACAACTCTATAGGTCTCTCTCAATGACGGCCATCTCTGTAGGAGAACTGCAACTGCGTATTTTACGCAATCGAGCACGTATTGCGCATTGTTGAAAATGTTCTAAACACGCGCGCTTGTCGCTCGCAATGTGTTCGAAATACGACGCAGCCGATGCGCGATAGGCAAGTTGACGCTCAAAATGCCGATGCACGTGGCTGGTCTGTAGGAAATGACGTCATTTGAGAGAGACCTATCTAAATATGACCAAGTCAGGCTAACTGGAGTGTTTATTTTGGAAAAAAAAATTCCAATTATTTAAAGTTACCGTCAAAATACGGTGTAAATTTCTCTTCCTTTTTTGAAAAAATAAAATGTTACATGTATTTAAAGAATCACTGTGATGAATAATTTATCAAATATTGATGTTGTGAAAGAACATACACTGTTATTTTGTAACTTTTAAATGCGATAGAGGTATTCTCTCTAACACTTCAAAACACGCTGCAAATTTTTGTACGTAGAAGATTAAGACAGATTAGCTACAGTAGCTAGATTATGTAGTAACCAAAAAAGTTGCATGTTTCCGTCCGTACAGCTGGGGCTTGAAGCGTGCATGAATCTCCCCCTTGTATGGGTGGGGCTTAACCAATGTTGGGGGGTGTAGGCGTAAAAGTAATAGACGTTTGCATCATGCTTTTGTGGAATGTTTTTACTTAAAAACGTTTTTAAAATAGCTCAACAGAACAACACCCTGAAATTTGGATCATTTTGTCGGAACATCACTACCATGTCAGTGCTGCGGGATTTGATTATCAGAACCGTTACAATAAAGTACATTGCTCAAGGACACAATCCTGGTGGGGAAAAAAATGTCATAGTATTGTGATACAGTTGAAATTCGATATTGTTGGAATTTGATTTTTTTTTAGTGAATCACTGAATTTCAGATCTTCGGTTGGTAGATCACCGGCCGGTGTGGTATTGAAGAGGTCGCATGTTCACAACCAACTCCGGTCAATTTCTTCGTTCAACTTTAAAATCGCTGAATTTTAGCACAGATTGCGGAGTGAGAAACAGCTACTCAGTCAATTCTTTGCAAGAAAACAGTTCCCAGTGCACAAAACTTTCATGTACACAAGTTTTGTAGAAATTTAAAAACAATTAAAAACATGGCTACATTCTTGCATTAATCCTTCAAAAAAAAAAAATGTGAAAAGTGGGAGAAATTTAGAGGTATGTTTATGTATTTGTATATTTGCATGGTTCAGTTTTCTGGTTTTGTACAGATTTTGTTGTGATTATTTTAACATTTTTATTTCAGGTTAATGGTTAATTTTGAATTTTCCAGAATGTTGTGGGAGTACAGCAGCTATTCAGCCAAACAAAATTTCACTTAAAGCCGGAGTCCATCATTTGCAGCTATCCAAAAAGTAACTGGCGTAATTATTGTTGAAAAACATACTGGTTGAAAGATAGTAGGAGGACTAAACTCCCTGTGAAATTATTCTTTCTGGCAAGCTCTCATTTTGAAGAAATCAACAAAAGAAGGCCTTTCCAATGGTGCTTAAGAAGCACCGTAGGAAATTCAAATTAGTAGTTTGTTTTGTTATTTGGCGAAGCGCGCGCAAGCATTGGCAGGACGCACACGCGCGCGCGGTTGCTATAATTCGTCGGATCAGTGGGCGACATCGCGTAGCTGCAATCGGCTCAGTGAGAACGTGTCTCGGACGCTGAATTCAGGCCCAATTCCAAACATGATTCAGCAACTTTTGATTTGAAATCGAGATCCTAGAATGTAGTTTTTCTCAAAATATACAGCTAAAGCTGAGCTGAAACTTCATCAAGTTAGTTGCTCAGCACCCTTCTTTAGTTCTTGAGGACATTTGTTGCTTTAAACGAACAACATGCACAAATTACAAATGATGGACTGTACCTTTAATATCTGCTGCACAACTCAATGCAACTTGCTCCCGGTCGCATAATAGATATATTAGTGTAAATTATGTGATTTTCTGTAGTAAGTGGGATCCTAAAAAGAATATAGATTGTTCGCAAAATGAGCGATCAACAAGGTCGTTGAAATATGCAACAAGTAAAGTCAAGGGAGTTGTAACTTGTTTTCGATACACTAGCTGCCATCACCCAGTAGTATTGTTCTGTGTGGTTTCTAATTTTATGAGGCCTGTTACTGATGAGATGTGTGTGATGCACATGTGAATGAGATCATGTGAAAATGTCTTGTGATACTAAATAATGATTGTTGCAATAAAACTTGAAAAAGATTTGGAAAATGACTTTTGTTGCAAGTGCGTGTATAATTCCCTGCCATAGTTTCTCTCATTACAAAAACTGATTATCCCTTAAATATAGTCATAATTCCCTCGTCTCTTTGTATGAATATTGTTTTTGTAAATTAACGACTTTCACGAAAAATCTGCGCCAAACGATGTATCAAACAAAATGTTTTGGTTTGCCCAGCTGAACTATCTTTGATGACACACGGCCTGTTCCGTGGCCAGCACCACTAGAGGGCGCCCTCTCGGCCTTTTCGGCGACCATCATTTTGCGGTGTTTGTGCAACTTTTCGGTCGTGTCCTGAATCGGACTCATCCGACACTTTCACCGTCGTTTTCTTCCACTTTTGGAGTCTAGACACCAAGCAAGATGCCTCCCAAGTTCGATCCTAATGAAATTAAAGTCGGTGAGTGGGGATTTTCTGCAGAAATTAGGTTGGATTGATGATCGTGTTTGGGTTATTGGGTTAGCGATGGCAATATGCATGTACACCTGTACACTGTTATATTCGTGTGTAAACAACCTGGTTATGATTATTTCGTGCATTAGGGCTTACTTCAACTTGATGTATTATTAGCAAACAACGAAAACCTCTTTTGTAATCGACACAAACAGTTTTATATTTATTTTAAGTAGGGCCTAGTGCTAGGCCTACAATCGGATTACGGAACATTAACGAATTACGAAGTGGCTATCTATACGGCAGTCGTTGTTTAGCGCCCTCTACGATACTTCTTTGATACGCACGCAGGTATATAATTATTTGTTTCCCCACGTTTTAGCGAGCAGTGCGACAGCTCAGTCGATAGAGGGTAGGATTTTGCACCGCGAGGTTGCGGGTTCGCATCTCATTCTCAGTTTTGCACTCGAATTTTTTTCCTTTTCTAACCTGAGGCTTTGGAGGATTTTTTTAAAAGCCAAAAAGGTAAATAAAGTCCGAATTTCATAACGTTCAAAGACACTTTTTTCCTTCTAATTTTATATTTTCTTCTCATGTTTTTATAAAAGTTGCAGTCTACCGTAACGATAGGAAATGGGAAATGCGTTACGGCTGCCGTAACAATAGCCACTGCGAAGCATTAAATTTTGAAACAATTTTTGTTGTGAAATTGAATTTCCACATTGCATTGTCACTGTCAAAGTCAAACTCAAAGAATAAAAAAAAAAATCAGTCAGTGGTTTTCGATTAGCAATGGTGATGGTGTTTTTTTGGAGGCCGTAGTAATTACTCCGAGCCATTACTGATTAGGCATGTAAAGCCAATGTTCTTAACCAACGTGATTTTAGAAAAAATATTCATGTGGTTCTTTTTTATTTGCAGTTTGCCTGAGAGCCGTTGGTGGAGAAGTGGGCGCAACCTCCTCACTTGCCCCCAAAGTAGGCCCTCTTGGATTGGTAAGTTGGGCTTGTCTCCAGATAGCCCCATAAATGTGGCCTATTTACTGGACTGCCTCCGTAAACATAGGCCACACATCCACATGTACAAAAACGTGTCGCACTTTGCCAAATTTGGATTTTCACATTTAGGCTTAGTTTGTAGGATTTTTTTTTCTTTAGAAGCATACTCACCCTCTATATAGGCTAATCAGAAAGTGCTGCCTTTTTCAGATGTCTAATTTTTGTGAAATTTCATGTTGAAATTTTGATACGCAAACGTGTAAAAATGAATCTGGAAATTTCACGAAAAATATACATCTGAAAAAGGCAGCACTTTCTGATTAGCCTATAAAGAGGGTGAGTATGCTTCTAAAGCAAAAAACCCTACAAACTAAGCCTAAATGCGAGAATCAAAATTTGGCAAAGTGCGACACGTTTTTGTACATGTGGATGTGTGGCCTATGTTTACGGAGGCAGTCCAGTAAATAGGCCACATTTATGGGGCTAGTCTCCAGAAAGAGTGGGAACTCGCCACCCCCTCCCCCCCCCCCCCACCCTCCAAAATCCTCCCCTCCCCACCAAAAAAATGGGATAAATGCAGTATCCTGGTGTCACTTTTTTCGTTGTTAAAAATACATGTATCAATTGTAAGATGCTTATTTTTTTCCCTCCTCCTTCCCTTACTTCGCCAGTCCCCCAAGAAAGTCGGTGACGACATCGCAAAGGCCACCCAGGATTGGAAGGGTCTGAAGATCACGGTCCAGCTGACCATCCAGAACCGGCAGGCCCAGGTCTCCGTCGTCCCCTCGGCCTCGTCGCTGATCATCAAGGCTCTGAAGGAACCCCCACGTGACCGCAAGAAGGTCAAGAACAGTGAGTGTTGAACAACCCTCCCCACCCACTGATCTCTATATAAAGACTGGATAGCTAATACAGAGCCGCACAATGTACGAATTTGACGCCATATTGGTGAGACCGGCTGGTGATCTACAAAGGACAAGTTGCCGTTTTTATAGACAGCATGATTTCTTTTGCAACGTCGCGGTTCACTTGACTTATATTTTGACCACCACCACTGACCAAGGTTAACTACAATTTTTCTAACGTCGTGGTTACTAAAATGCCGCAAATATAACTTTTTCGGCGTTTTGAAATAATAATCACTACGGAAATGTGTCCCTTTTAGAACATCATAATATGTGTACGTGACCAAAATGCGCGTCAACTGTTGATACAACGCGCGCGTATTTTCGCGTAGAACGTTCGTATTATACGCGGCCATCTTCGTGAGACCGGGGGCGAATTGGTCAATATGCAAAGTCTACTGTGTGAATGTTGTATGCATATCCGCTATCCAGTCTTTATATAGAGATCAGTGTCCCCACCCCACCCCAGCCCTGAAATGGCGTGCGACGTCATGTACATGAAACGCGAGTTTTCAATGTCAAAAGGTTGTATCTCGCTTAAAATAACCCGGATGTACACACACAGTCAGCGGACGTCGTGATACGCGAGGTACGACCTTGTTGCACGGGGCGTATTCACGCGAGATACAACTTTGTTGCAAAATCAAGTTACGACCTTGTTGCACTGATGCGACGATTTCTAATCCTTTTACCTGGGCCATGTTTTTGGTGGACGTTACCAAAAACTGTTTTGGTCATTGGTTCAGCATTTTGCAGACTGTTTGGGTAGTACTACTTGACAACACATGTTGCCAAAAAGCTCAAAGAATGAAAAACTGAACCAGTAAATATTTTTTTTTGTAGCCCAGTTTTCTTTTTTGTAAGTTTGTTTAGTTCCACGCCTTTGGCTGTAATTATTATTCTGGCCTTGATTTCAGCAGATAAAAAAGCTACTAGACACCAGCACTAGTAGTAGTTTCAAAATGTTACTGGACCTTCTAGGTGGATGTCAAAATCTTAGAGGGCACTGCCTTTGTTTTGCTGTGACATGCATGAATGAACCTTTTGCGCATTCATTGTTACTGAACTAAATCCATCATTGACAGGCACTCACCAGCGCTGACCCACCACATCTATCAATGTCAGTCAAGGCATGGTACCCTCAGTTAACATACCTACCACAGCCTGTCAATTGTACCGTTATGAGCCCAATTTACTGAACTGTTATAACCTGGCATCTGATAGAAACCTGTCACCTGATAAAAACCTGTCACCTGATTTGACGGATAGGGTATCTCTCTCCATGTTGTCACTGAGAGCGGGATGGTTAAAAGAAGTATTTTACATTATCAGTTTTGTGAAAAACCATTCGACCGTTTGTCAAATTCACTCACAGACCATACAAGGTGAATGATTAAATTCAATGTACTTGATCCACAGGCATGCAACTTTTCCTCGGATCAGCTGATTTCCTCTTTTTTCACTTCCAATGTGTGCCATTGAAAATAGAAAAACACTGTACAAAGTCTTGGAAAGATTTGAATTTCCTCTTTTTTTGTGACTTCCCAGTTGCATGCCTGGATCCAGAAGTCTTAACCCTTTTAGTACTTTTAGTAGGGTAGAAGTTTTAAAATTCCTCCCCGTTTGTAATCGCTACAGTCAAGCACGACGGCAACGTCAGCTTTGAGGAGATTCTCAGGATTGCCCGCATCATGAGGGAGCGATCCATGGCGCGGGAGCTGTCCGGTACCGTCAAGGAGATCCTGGGCACGGCGCAGTCCGTGGGCTGCACGGTGGACGGGATGAACCCCCACGACGTCATCGACAAGATCAACAACGAGGAGATCGAGGTCCCAGAGGTGAGTGTTGAACTTGTCAGCTCTGGGGAAACTTAAACTTCAGGTGGCATGGGTGGCCTGTGCGTAAAGCGCTCGGCTCTCACCAAGGTGACCACGGTTCGAATCCTGGCCGCGGATCACATGTGAGTAGAGTTGTGCGTTGGTTCTATCCTGTGTTTTTTCTCCAGGCCCTCTGGTTTTTTTCCCTCCAGAAAAATCAAACACTTTCGATCTCAGGCTGTGCTCCGTGGTCATATATGGGTCGATGTGGCCGGCAGCCATAGGCGCCTTTACGTGTCAGCGGCCCGACCACGTTGTAGCCGCGTCCTTCGCAATTCAGCATACCAGCTGCGAGTAAGGATGATTAGCCTCCCAAATTATTATTATTATTAACTGTCCTCAATATTGAGAACAATATTGCAAAACCCTTTAAAACCCTGCAGGTCAGTTTCAGGTGAAGGGATATGAAGTGTTATGAACCCAAACTCCCCAGGCATTTTTGCTAGGATGCAGCCTCAATCCTGCAAAATCCTCCAGCAATCACTGTCAATATGTTGAGGTAGAGCCAGTGACATCCTGGAGCAGTGGGGAGGATTTCTAGTGTTATCTTGGCCTAAATTTATGCACAGCTGAGCATAAATAAAATTTCACAAATACAATTTCACAACACAATTTTGACAACAAAGTGCATTTCAAGACCTCAAATAAAAACTTGTTTGTAATATTGTTCTCTAAACTGAGTTTTTGTTTTTGTGTCTCCTCTTCTGAATGCAGGAATAAACAGTGGAGGCCTCATAGCCCAACACTAGCCTGAGACATGACCACATTCATCCAGCGTCACGGTCAACTATCAGAGGAAGGACTATACCAGGCTAGAGAAACAGAATTTTATTCAAAAAGTGGAAAAAATTGTATGAAGAATTAAAAAAAAGTACGCTAAAAAAGAGAAAAATACGATCTCCGATGTCCATTTTTTTTTTAGGGTGTTCTGGATTTGCTCATCATCATCTTGCAGCATTCCCCCAGTTTAGGGCCCAATTTCACGGCGCTGCTTAACAGTTAGCAGAAAAGTTGTGCCTAGCATAGCAGAAAAATTTGCTGCCCTTAAGCACTATTGTTGCGTCACCAAGTTAAGCAAATTGTTCCTCTGAAGTAAGCGTTTTGCTGTGCTTGTGCTTACGATCTCCATGAAATAGACAAAGGCTCTGTTAGCAGAAAATTGTGTGCTTAGCAGCGCCGTGAAATTGGGCCCTGGGAAATATCCTTGAAAATCATGGAATTTAAAGCTATCATGGAAAGTCATGGACTTTTTGTTTTTACAAGTCGTCGTGGAAAGTTGATATTCCTAGAAGTCATGGTAAAGCCACGTTAAATATAACAGACTATGAGAAAAGACAACTCAAAACACAATGCATATTCCCAAGAATAACAACGTTGCTTTTAATAATTTCTCCATATTTTTTTCAGTAGTGGAACATGATTTGTATACATGTACATGTACATGTGTAATTTCAAAATGTAAACAACCCAGAATCATATATTCAAATTATTCAAAACATGACTTGTCAGAGTATGAATTATGCACAATATGCAAATTAGACATTATGAATAATGCATGATAAGAGTGAATCTGATTCCCTTTGCACAATTTTTTGAATTGCAGTCATAAAAATTATCAAGTTTTTTAAAAGTTTTTTTTCTCAAATATAACACAATTCGCAAAAAATGGAAGACAAAGGAAATGTCTTAAAATATTCGGAAAATGTTTCAGGAAAAACAATTTGTACAGAACATTAACAACTGACATTAAGTAACGGTGAATGAAGTGTGGTATCCAGTTAAAGACAAAATACGCAGACCACCATACGTTTTATGCAAAGGCAGGGACTCGTACACAAAGTAACTAGTGCTTTTTATGGCTACCAATGACGGACTATTAGTCGAGAACAAGCAACACCTCACCACTGCGAAAAAGCGGACGTGTATACTTTTGACTAGGTTAGATTTTTGTTATACATGTATTCAGTGCATTCAGTATACAAAGATTAACATTTAACATGGTTTGCGGGGGAACATATGGAGGATGGAACATATTCAGGAATTGTATAAAACAAATACCACCTATATTGGGAAACAACCTTTGAACGAAAGATGAAGCAATAAGAATGTCATTATTTATTAAGTTTGAACTTTCACTATATTCATTTTCTTCCTATAAAACCACGGAGACAAAACGTTCCATAGCAACAAATTACACGTCATTTTCTTAACGAGTTTCCTTCACATTGATCCTTCCCTATTTTTTTTCTCCAAAATTTAAAGCAAAATTTTGATATCTTACAACAATGTACACATCTTTGGAACATAAGTTTTTGAAGCGTGAGTTAACAATATACACAAGCGTTTTATACACAAATCTGTACTGTGCTGCTTAATACTTCAATTTTGTACATCGAATCTACATAATGCTTAGTCGATCTCTGTGCAAAAACCACTTCCCACCACAGCAAAATGGAATGGACCACTTTGGCCACGGTTTTTAAAAGTTATGTTTCTCTTCCCACCTATGTCTTTTCTTAATTTTTTTTTATTTTTCAAGGCAAAAATCACACAAAAAGGCAAATTTTGTGCATTTTCTCTGAAGGCGAACGCGAGGATACACAATGTGTGTTACATAGAAAGGACATTTTTGTCATGATTTTTTTACTTCAAATAATTGGGTGTTTTTGCTGTGGTGGGATCAGACTACACAAAAAGCATCACGACATCGTGAGTTGAGAAATTGGCATACTAAAAAATATACATCTATGCTGTACACAACAGTACACTATTTTAATACAGAGATCGGCAAAACTAGAAGTGAGGAACAATTGTGCCGTCGAGCTGAAAACACATATTTGCCGGGGGAATAGTCTCGTCTCTCGGTCTCAAAACGGCAGATACTGAATAAGTTTGCACCGCCTGTTTGCTTCATGCTGGGAATGGCTTGATTCTAAGACGTCCTGAGCGGTGCGATGGTTCAGCTTGCACGGGTTATTGGGCTGTGCGCAGCGATTCACCGAAGCTGGCGTCCTTAACCAGTTCGCGCCGGATGACGTATACACGCAAAGGTGCGATATTCAAAACGGATGACGGATAAACATGCAGGGAGCGAGGCCGGAAATATGTATGCGACCCCCTCGCAGCGAGTGAATCAAGAAATATGAGTGTGCTGCCCGAGGGTGATGGCTTCATCCAGCCTGGCTTGAGGTCGAGTAAAAAGTAATCTCGCGCCCCATTCTTGTCAAAATAATCCTGGTAGGAACTGGTTAACACACACACACGGCAACACAGGTTTGTGAATGTGAATGTGAATGCTGCTGCGCAGTTCAAAGGCTGTACCGTCTGATCATGAACTCCACCGCTAAGAACATCTGCCACCAAGACTAGGAATGGCTAAGAAACACGAGCTTTTCCCATATTAAGTGGCACGCCAGTTTTTGAGTTGGCAAACTCAAATCAGTGAATTTTCAGTCCCATTTTGGAACCTCCAAGAACTTGCCGACACTTACAACAGTTTGCAGTCCAGACCCTACAAACCATCACAAGACCATCACAAGACCATCACAAGACCATCCCAAGACCAACACGAGACCAACACGAGACCAACACGAGACCAACACGAGACCAACACAGACCATCACAAGACCATCACAAGACCAACACAAGACCAACACAGGACCTACACAATACTATCACAAGACCATTACAAGACCAACACAAGACCATCACAAGACCAACACAAGACCAACACAGGACCTACACAATACTATCACAAGACCATTACAAGACCAACACAAGACCATCACAAGACCAACACAAGACCAACACAGGACCTACACAATACTATCACAAGACCATTACAAGACCTTAAGGCCGTGTCCGAAACGGGCTTCCAGAGCTACGGCTACGTCTATTGTCAGCGCGTCCCCGCGTATTTCTAATGGAGCGAAAACCTAGACCTAGCTCTAGACAACAGATTCGGATGCAGCCTTAGTCTTGGTTCAAGTCACAAGCTATTCAAGTGAACTGCAACAAAGGCATTCCTTTGTCATTGTTCGTGCCCTGTTACTTGGTGGCTGGTCTTGTGATCGTCTTGTGCTTGCTCTAAAATTGGTCTTGTGATGGTCTCGACAACAGCACCGACTTACTAATTTCCCAATCTCTGCTTCCTACCATAATAAGCATCAGTTGCATAAAGTCAAATATATATATATTTTGTTATTTTCATTTATTTTTTATACACATTTTTTTTTTTACATGAAGCCTTCCGAAGCGCAAACCACACATGCTGTCCACAGAATCGGGACAAGTCGAGTACGGCATAATACACAAAGCTAAACTTTGTTGTAATAAAGTCGATCGGAAGTCAATTCACACGTCCTGGCACAAAAAAAAAAAAAAAAACAGAACAAAGTAATGCCTTTGTCCAACAGCTACTGATTTGGTTTGAGCCTGAAGGATGTGTGATTGATTTTTGATGACTTATTACAAATCTGGGAGGAAAAGCTCTTAGCCTTACTCCAAAAAAAAAAGTTTAATTAATTAATTTGCTTCTACTCTGTTATATGCAAAGCCACATTTCGCTAATTTTGTATTGATGCCATCAAGCTGAATGAGTCGTTTGTCGGGAACTTTCACTTGGAGATTCAGGCCAAAATAGGGCCACTTCATCACATCACTTCATCACATCTCTTGGTGTTCCGACTTCCATAATTTTTGAACTAAAGATGGTATCAGAATGCGGTTTTCACAGCAGTAATGCTGAGATTGTGCTCTTTTCAAATCTGTCAACAAAAATTGACCAGGGTTGACAAACGACTAATTTATCTTGATCGCATCACATTTTTCTTGGTGGTTGATGAGGGAGGGAGGGGGGGGGGGGATGGTGTCACTGAACCCCCCCCCCCACACCCTCAATTACTGGACTCTCATCACAATGCCCGTACAGACCGAGTTGAGATTACTAAATCTAGACGGCTTTAGTTTTCAAATTAGTTTCTACCTTTGAAACTATTACAAACCAAAATACTTTCAATGAGTAATTTCTGCTCTAGCCCCAACACCGGGCGCAACATTCCACAAAACTCGTACGACGTACTTCAAATTTGACTTTTTGTTGTCAACACTGTTCCGTAAAATTACACATTTACACTGGCACATATAACACTCAAAGAGTACTTTTTTTTTTCATCTGGAACAATCCACCAAGTGACCCAGAAAAAAAGGTCAAAGGTTAAAGTTCATTACATCACAGACCGGTCCACAAGCGGCAAAGCTTCATCAGTTAGTAACTACTATGGCGGCTTGCAGGTCATAGGTCACGACCTTTAAGGTCACGCTTCACACAGATCACACTGAAACAATTTTGTGCAAGTACTTTTGAGACAGACAACACGACAAGGCTGAAAATAACAAGACCCTAAACAACAGTAAAGTGCAAAGGGGAGGGATGACAAGGTTTAGGGGTCAACTACTCCGGGTCACAAGTTCAGGGGGTCAACCACTCAGGGGGTCAACCACTCAGGGGTCTAAGGTCGACCCGAACCTTCTCGTCTAAACTGAGCATGCCGATGGTTGGGTAGAAGCCCGACGCTGGTATATGGACCTCTCTTCTGCCTATTGTGGTTCCATTTCGCGTAAAGAAAACCTGGATTCAGAGGGGGGCAAAAAAAAAGTTGAAGAAGTTTTTGATGGAATTCCATGCCATTTTGTTACGAATTCGGAAGAAGAACTCAGTGTTACTTACGTGGACCTGTACTTTACCGCCCTGCTGCACCCCGTCGATCTGCAATTCGTATTCCTCCTCCTCGGAGAGATAGTCGTCGTACTCGTCCTCCGACAGATCGTAGACGTCGATGGCGAAGTTGTCCTGGGCTATGCGGTCCAGTTGGTTCAAGCGGTTGAAGGGTTCCCGGTCCGGCCAGGCCTTGACCACGCTGTTGACCTCCTCGTTGTCGCTCTCACCTTCGTCGCTGTGGGTGTCCAGGGGGAGGGATATTGAGGCCAGGAATGAAATTTTTCTGATTTAGTCCCGCTGGAACAAGATACCGCACTCCATAATGTCCCCCTTATAGCAGTACACACCCCTACCTTCTGCCACCCCTTCCCCCACCCCTTCCCTCATCCCTTCTGCCACCCCTTTCCCTACCCCTCGTCTTCCATCATCCCTTCCCCTTCCCCCACCCCTTCCCTCATCCCTTCTGCCACCCCTTTCCCTATCCCTCATCTTCCATCATCCCTTCCCCTTCCCTCATCCCTTCTGCCACCCCTTTCCCTATCCCTCATCTTCCATCATCCCTTCCCCGTCCCCCACCCCTTCCCTCATCCCTTCTGCCACCCCTTTCCCTATCCCTCATCTTCCATCATCCCTTCCCCTTCCCTCACCCCTTCCCTCATCCCTTCTGCCACCCCTTTCCCTATCCCTCATCTTCCATCATCCCTTCCCCGTCCCCCACCCCTTCCCTCATCCCTTCTGCCACCCCTTTCCCTACCCCTCATCTTCCATCATCCCTTCCCCTTCCCCCACCCCTTCCCTCATCCCTTCTGCCACCCCTTTGCCTATCCCTCATCTTCCATCATCCCTTCCCCGTCCCCCACCCCTTCCCTCATCCCTTCTGCCACCCCTTTCCCTACCCCTCATCTTCCATCATCCCTTCCCCTTCCCTCATCCCTTCTGCCACCCCTTTCCCTACCCCTCATCTTCCATCATCCCTTCCCCTTCCCCCACCCCTTCCCTCATCCCTTCTGCCACCCCTTTCCCTATCCCTCATCTTCCATCATCCCTTCCCCGTCCCCCACCCCTTCCCTCATCCCTTCTGCCACCCCTTTCCCTACCCCTCGTCTTCCATCATGCCTTCCCCTCCCCTTATCCCTTCCTCCCCCCTTATCCCTTTCCCCCTTCCCTACCCCTTCCCTAACCAACCTGTCCATGATGTAGTCCCTGGGGAACATGATACCGCACCCCATGATGTCTCCTTTATGACAGCGGGGGCCAAAGGAGTCACCCACGCCGCTCCCTTTGAAGATCTTTCCATCGTCTGTAATGAAAAACAAAAAAACCCAAATCACCGTAATCAGGCAAACTTTTTAACACAGAAGCTTTGTCTTTTTTTTTTATTGGCCTTGCATCAATGTATTTCATCAATGTATTTCATTAGGCTGTATTGGGGTTTTATGGTCCAGTGGTTACGGTGTTCGACTTGTGTGTCGTGGTACATGGGTTCGAATCCTGACGAGGAACATGGTGCTTGTGCGCTTGGGCAAGGCACTTTACTACGATTGCCTCTCTCCACCCAGGTGTAGTAAATGGGTACCTGGTAGGAAGAAATTCCTTCAATGCTTGAGCGCCGTAATGGCAGCCGTGCTAAAGCCAGGGTAATAATAAGAGCGCCAGGAGCGTCACTTCATGACGGACATGAGCGCCATACAAGAAGCCATTATTATTATTATTATGCTGTGCTGTGCAAAGGCTTGCACCAAAAACAAATTCGCACGCTTGCTCAGGTGGGGTTCGAACCCACGACCTCCTGCTCAGCAGTGTAGACTTGCCACTGAGCTTTTCCCAGAGTCAGATGTCTCGTTCGAATCCGATACCACAGCAGGTAATGCAAACATTCACTATTTTGTATCGTAGAGTTTTGCTTCGGCGAGATCTCCCCTACGCAAAATTCCATCATACAGCATGTCCCAATAAAGCATTGTGCATGAAGAAGTCGCTGATTTGCTCAAAAGGTGGTCATATCAGCCAATCAAATTTTATATTATTTTAAAGCCTCTGGTCTTGTTTATTTAATTGGTGAAAATATCAAGAAAATCCATCCATGCAAACCAGAGATATCGTTGATTTTGTATCGTTGATTTTGTCAAAGACTAAACACCTGATATTAGGCATTCCAAGTGGTATTAGATTTGATTATATAATGTTATGGACCCAAAATTTTATCTGTGAACACCCTTATCCAAATGCAACATAAAAGCCATACAATATTTCAAGCACTGCGTAACACGTACCAATAACCCAATAATTGGTATATACAATGTACAAGCAAATACTAAGTGAGAAATTACATTGTGCAGGTCGAAATGTACATAGCCATACCAAATCAAACATATCTCTAGTTTGCATTGTTGGATTTTCTTGATTTTTTTTCACCAATTATAAACAAGACTATAGGCTTGAAAATGCTATAAATTTGATTAGCTAGTCTAACCAACTTTTGAGAAAATCAGCCATTTCTTCATGCACAATGTTTGTTGGGACACGCTGTAGATTCTTTGTCCATTTCTCCCTACCTGCATGGTACGCTATGGATCCGTAGTTCCAGCCCGGATGCCGCTTTTTCGGGTAGTCCTTCTTGGCTAAGCCGATGGCGATGTAGCAGTTCTTGCCCGGATCGATGATCTCCAGCTCAAAGTAATGGTTCGTGGGGCTGAGGGGCTTCTTGGCCTGGGCTAAGCCCACGTCGGCGATGGTCTTGCCTCGACCCGCGTAGGCTAAGATCTGGGAGCAGAGAGTTGGAATTAATGTTTGTATTCGACGATTGGGGGTAGCCCACAAAAGTCTTAGTACTTATTTCTTGTGGGATCCCTTGGTAGAAGATCAGGAAGCGACTTACAGTTTTTAGAGGTGGGAGGAAAACCCTGTTGGCCATACATTGTGTCCTTGGGCAAGCCACTTCACCCCCACTGGCCTCTCTCCACCCAGGAGTATAAACGGGTACTGGCATTAGCTGGGGAGTAAACCTGTGATGGACTAGCATCCCATCCAGGGGGAGTAGAAATATTCTCAGTCATTTTGTGACTGAAACCGAAGATAAACACCTGGCCTGATGGGCCATATTGGCTCGTGACCGACTTTCTTACCTGGCCGTGAACCGTGACGTCATGAAGCCGTGCCCAGTCGTCCTCGCAGCTGTCAATCACCATCTCCTCCTCCTGGCTCGACCAATCACAGCGCGCCTTGAACCGCACCATCTGGCCCTGCGACGCCATGGAAACGGCCGGGCAGAGACCCTTGAATGGAATGACCACGTCTCGCCTATGGATCTGGTTTTGTTTTGTGAAAATGAAAATTTGCATATCAAAAAGTTTGTTTAATATTTCAAATGAATGAGGGTGTATACAGGGCGTCTCAAAAAAGAAAAAGAAAAAAAGTAGCAGTCGATCCATAAATTTTAGAATACTAGCACTCTCTTTTAGCAAAGCTTATCTACAGAGTCTGAAGGTGGAGTAAATACTCTCCACGATGGTCTTTATCCCATCTCATTTGAACACCCCAGTCCAGAGATACAGCTAATTAAATGAAAGGACTTGAATTCCAAGTTGGGCCACTTGGTATCTAATGAAAGGCATTCACATACATGTACCAATAAGGTGAAGCAAGTGGCCCAAACAGATTTTGACAGTCGTTACAAGCTTTGCCGTAACTTTTAAACAAAAGGTCCAAATCACACAGAACAAAAATCTTGTCAAGGGTAAAGAAACACTCTATCATCTCATGGTAATTTTTTTACCAAAAAAAATGATTTAGTTCCCTCAAAAAAATATGCTGTTTGACAGCTACATTTTTTTGGAGACACCCCGTATATTTGTAAATGTCGATCAGCAGCAGATATAACTTTCAAAATCCATGTACTAAGAAAACATAAGCGGGGAACCAGTCGTAAGCAATAGACACTGCACAACGTTTTGGCTGGTTACCCGTTTTTGTTAAGCAAATAATTTTTGTGCTAAGCCAATGTCGACGGTCAGAAGCTGACGAGTCTTTGGCTGGTAAACGGACCTCTTTCCCATTGAGTGTGAAGACGACGGGGCATTTCTCATCGGCGCCCTCCATGTAGTTCTCTCCAAACTTGATGCCCACGCCAATCTTGTCGCCTGGCTTGCAGGCCCGACACTGGAGGGTCACAGTTTGGTCCTGGCCATATCTGTTTGCAAGACGTTCAGAAAATAAAGACAATTGAGAATTTTTTTGTTTTTAGCTGCACAAAATTTGCATGTGCTCCACTCATGCAAATGTTCACATCACAACTCAACACGACTCAAGTTATTCATAAGATGGAATTTTGCGTCGGGGTGATGTAAATCAAATTAGGTTTTGCCCTTCACCGACGTATAAACACTGTATACTCAGTGTGTTACCTCCCGAGTGAAAGTTGGAAAAATCACTCGGGTGGGACTCGAACCCACGACCTTCTGCTTTCTAGTGCAGATGTCTAACCACTCGACCTCCGAGCTAACTGGATGGGTTGGCTGGTTCGAATCTGATGTACATAGCAGCGGGTACCGCATTAACTATTCATAAGATGGAATTTTGCGTCAGGGTGATGTAAATCAAATTAGGTTTCGCCCTTCACCGACGCAGTAAACAGTGTTTATACGTCGGTGAAGAGCAAAACCTAATTTGATTTACAACTGAAGTTGATCTCAAGTCAATCAATCACATGTCAATCACATTCCAATCACATGCCAATCACATGCCAATCACAAGTCGATCACAAGTCGATCACAAGTCGATCACAAGTCGATCACAAGTCAATCACAAGTCGATCACAAATCAATCACAAGTCGATCACAAGTCGACCACAAGTTGATGAGGTATAGAAGGGGCTATGAATTGAACAGTACGCAAAATTTTGGCATGTACGGCGTTGGGTTTCTTTAACCCTAACTCCCTAGCATAATTTACTAGGAACCGTACCCATTCAGGCAAATTCCAACACCCACATGGGAAATCGTACACACACACACTGTTGGACTTGGTTTCTGGAGGGATGCCAACCCCAGTGCAAAAGAACATCAGTTTAGGGGTGCTGTACCTATCCCAACAGATTTCAACAAAACCTGCTGTTGGGCTTTGATGGGTTGAGTTTGGTTAGGGTTAACGGGTACCCGTGTTTTTTTCCATTCGGGTACCCGATTCAGGTAATACCCGTAAATGCACAGCCCTACATAGTTGGGGCGTAACGATATCATTCAGTGGTTAACATCTATTCCTGGGAAGATTGGGTGTGCCTAACAACAGAGTATGGTCTTCCTGTCCCTTCAGGGTCGAAAGTTAAAGTCTACAAACTAGAGATCTCACAGTCATGACAATTGTATACTTACACTGCACTGTCGTCCACACTGAACGCTACCGAGTTGCCTTCTATGCCTAGATGTACTTCTAGTGAGTGATCGGGGGGTGCCAGTCCTATCCTAATAGCTCCCCATCGACCCGTGCTTACTATCTCAGCCTGTAGGGAAAAGGGTTTACCAGAACAGTTAACGGGTGATACTCACTATTGTGCAAAAGAGTCTGGCACCCTAACTTCGCTACGCATGATTATGAGCTTAACAGTTCAAGGGAACCTGAATCAAGTTCATGGCTCTACTAACGATGGAATCCTGCTCTTAAGATCATATGTTGTGCTTACAGCCATTGGCAGCAAGGATTCTGTTTCTTACAGTGTTTTGTAGAGTTTCTGTGCTGAACGAAAACTGGTGATCATGAACGCAGAGTTCCTTGGTTAGCAAATATCTCCACAAATCAGGTCTTAAGCAATAAACAAGGTATGACATTTTTGCTGGTTGAATCTTTTTTTTTTTTTTTTGCTTAACAATTTTTTCCCTGTGCTTAGCCAGTTCCAGTGTTGTAGTTGAGATCTGAAAGCTCGAGACCAAGACCTGAGGACCGAGACCGAAACCTGAGGACCGAGACCGAGACCTGAGGACCGAGGCCGAGACCATGATAGAGACCTGAGGACCGAGGCCATGTCCTCAGGGTCCAAAGTCGAGACCGAGACCTTATGGGCGAGACCAAGATCAAGACTTTTGCTCCGAGATCGAGGCCAAGACCGAGTTCTTTGAGTCGAGACCTTGAAATTGTCGAGATCTCCAAAGTCGAGACTGCGACCGAGACCTTATGGGCGAGACCGAGATCAAGACTTTTGCTCCGAGATCGAGGCCGAGACCAAGTTCTTTGAGTCGAGACCTTGAATTTGCCGAGACCTACGAAAATCGGTCTCGAGACTGGTCTCGATACCGAGACCTGCCTTGAGACCTACATCACTGGCCAGTTCCTGTGCTCGGCGCGACTCTCACCTCAAAGTATTCCTGCCCCGGCTGCATGCTGGGCTCCAGGATGCACACCCCTTGCTTGCCCGTCCGGTCCGGCACGTAGAACAGCGTGTCGTCCCTCCAGCTGACGGCCATCCGCTTGGACTTGATCTCCAGATTCTGTGGGCCGTGGGAGTCCAGGCCGTACTGCGGATGGTTGATCATATTGACCGGCGGGCCCTTGTTCATGCGGTTGTTCATGCGGTGAAATGGGAACGGCACGATGGGTCGTCGGGCGTCCATGGCTCTGCGACAAGAAGGAATAGGCCATACATTTGAGTGAAGAATGTTGTGAAAACCTCACTTTCTATCACATTTCGTCGTTTTGTTCACGTTTTGTTCACGTTGGCAAAATGATCTGCTTATAAAATACATTCATTTTCAATGCCATATATTGTGGTATCAAAAATTATACACATGAAACATCCATTTGCAAATTAAGCAAACCCAATATTTTTGTGGTATCAAAAATATACAGTACATGAAGGTGTACACAAAAAGCCGAACAGCGCTCTGCATGAGCAACAGGCACAAAAATGTACACATGTAAATTTCAATTCAGTGCAACAGGCACTTACAAAAATGTACACATGTAAATTTCAATGCAGTGTACATGTGCACACATCATGCTATGTATCTATCTTTTAAAGGAATGTACATCATTGGCTTTTGCTGTAATTTCCAGAAATGAACTATTTGAGGGGTTAGTATAATAGATCTATGATTGTTACACTGACATGTTTGAAGTTTTGTGTTCGAAAATGCTTGAAAAACCAAGAAAAACACAACTGTTTATGAAGCCTGGTTCCTTGACTCCACTAAAGATAAAATGGATCAATTATAGATGTCGGATAATTGTAAGATAAGGGAACCAGTCTAGCTGGCCTGCACTCGTTCATGAACATGTAACCAATAGCAAACAAAATTTGGACTGAATAAAATGGTAAATTTGGAGCAGTAGTTGAAAAATAGTTAGGTTTTTCCAACGGTGGTCGGCCGACCACCGTTGGAAATGTATACAAAAATACCATTTTCTTGAAAATGACTCGACACCAGGTGCTATAATTTTACAGGATGCCTTAGACTGTCATTTACCAACATCCTAGTAAGGTATTTCGTAAAAACTTGGTAGCTTTATTTTTCGATGTTTGCAAATGTTGTATATTCCCTTTAAGCCTTTGCTACCGATATGTACAGCAAAGGCATAAAACTTGATACAAGGTGGATGTTCATGTATGTATATGATGTGTGCATGTACCGGTACCTGTATTTATCACACGTGGATCTACATGGTTTTTTATGATTCTATTTGTACACATAACATGCACTACCGGTATTAGTACATGTATGCACTACATGTACAGACACAGTTCAGTTATGTACAGTAAGCACTATATTTTTAAGAGCTAAAAATTGAGGTAAATTGTGCATTTTTTAAAATTAGTTTAAAAAGTGCTGTTTTTGGCAGGGAATTTCATTTCTCAGATGACTTCTCGACATCTCGGGGATAACTTCTGTAGGCATCTCTGTACAAGGAGTTGGTTGTAGCTAACAATATTTCCAGGGAAATTTCAAAAGAGAAAAATATGGGTGGGGCCATAGACACAGCTTCTTTTTTTGGGGGGGACCCATAACACAGCTTCTTTTTTGGGGGGGGGACCCATAACACCCCCCTCCCAAGAGCAATCCTAACTGATGAAGAGACAACCATAATGCACAAGGAAAACATCTTCATTGAGAAGTCATCATTTCAAATTGTGGGGCAACAAAATTCAATTAATTAATTAAAATTGATGGATCCTGACAAAAATACCCACATGTATATGACCAGAACTGAGAACTTTATACTTTACCAGTCCAGCACACAACTGTTACTGCATGTACATTGAAGAATACTTGTTTACATGAAAACATCCATGGAGAGAAAATGCATTCAAAAGCTTACCGTAAAAATTTTCCCTCACAATGAACAGAATGAATCTTTAAAAAAAAAAATAATAAAACACGACTCTAGGAATTGGTCTGTCAAACACATCACAAAAAAAAGGGTCTGGGAAAACCATAAAGGACGACCTTCACTTCCGCCAAGACATCCCCACCAATCTAAATTCAGGAAACCGAATTAGAATTTTCTCTCAGTGTGAGTGTGCTGGCGAAGCCGGTACAGCGCTTTGGCTGATTTACGATTGAAGGAAATACATGCATCTGGCTATACACCGAGGTTAATGTGTGTAGGCGAGTGAATGGAATAAATAGCCCGAGTACAGTCAAGTGCGAGGCCGATCCTATTCATGCCATTAAATGCAAAAAGCAGTAACTGGAGCAATTCGCTTTGAATAATGCACACTCCCACACATGGGCTGTACTGTGTACAAATTGCATAGCACCTGTAGCACACTGTTCTACTGTTACTCAGGTGTACACATGTTTGTACATGTATAAAATGTACATAGATCTGTACATGTGCCATGTGTAAATTCAGTCCCTGATCTATAGTACATTGAGTAAGCACTGTCGATCTATCGATATTACTCAATTATTCAATACTATTTTGATATCGATATCACCGATAGCAAGTTTTTAATATCGAAATATCTGAAATTTTCAATATTGGTGAATAATATCGAAAATCTTGATAATGCATCAAATTATTGTCTAAATAAATGCCCCTTTGTGCTTTTACTTTGTGTTGACCGTGCTGTGTAATAAAAATTAAACTTGGCAGCAAGTACAGCACACTACCTTTGAATTTTTTAATTTCTTTCTGTTTGGAATTCTTTCTAAAAACAACACTTTTAACAGGGTGACACAAATTTAGCAATGTGGCATAACATTTTATCAGGCCTGGTTGCTCACTAAAACCTTGCAGGGACGGATCACTGCACATGTAGGCCCACTCTATGCATGATAAACATGGACAGGTAGTTTATGTTGTGCGTTTACTCACATCACGGACGAATTATTCCTCCATGCTTACATACTCATGTACTGCCCATAATATGCACACCTTTATTGTACAATGTACCGTATGTCATGTATGTGTACAGGTATCGGTATGCTTGTGTACCTACAGTTACAGAGTGCCAATGTAAAATACTGTACAGTATAGACCATAATCATGTTGCGGCCATCTTGATTTTTTTCCCATTCAAATCAACGTAACCAAAGCGAGGCTGGAGGGAAAAATAGTCTGGTTCCTTTTTGCACAAAAACATTATCATTCAGTACTGTTGTTGGATACAGGGAACATGACTAAAATGGTGAAAGCATGATATAGACCTGTCTATAATGGCCTTGGGTGCACACATGAATTCAATTACAGGTAATTAATATACATAAGCTAGCAGTGAGCTATACACATGGACAGCAGGCTTGACTGCACTATAGTCAGGTATATATCAATTAATTAGTAGCACTGATCTTATGTAAGCCACAAAGCCAAAACGAGGAAATCAGTTGATCCATAAATCATCCAAAGAAAAGTTGCATGCCGGAACTAAGGATGTGACGTTTACACGTTTAAACGAAAACAATTCTAAATTCGTTTACAAATTTTCCGAAAAACATTTAAAGGGAATATACAACATTTGCTTTTGCTGTAATTTTCAGAAATGGATGGATTTGGGGGTTCGTATTTTAAAGCAAATATTGTTACAAGTTTTAAGTTTTGGGCTTGTAGATGCTGGAAAAACCAAGAGAAACAATCATGTTCTTGTAGTCTGGTTCCTTGACCCCACTTAACACAGCAAATTATATACGTTAGAAGAATCGATTGCAAAGAAAATGCGGACTAACTAAATAATAAATTGGGAGCAGTTCTATTAGAGAGAAAAAAAGTTTTGCCAACGCTGGTCGGCCGACCCAGAGTTGAAAATCGATACAAAAATACCACCTATATTCAGAATGTCAGCACACCAGGTGCCATGATTTAACAGGCTGCTTTAGACTGTCATTCACTAACACTACAGTCCAGCAAGGTATTTTATATTATTTCCGTAGTTTTATTTTTGGATGTTTGCAAATGTTGTATAGGCCCCTATTCCCTTTAAAGGGAATGTACATCATTGGCTTTTTCTGTAATTTTCAGATATGAACTATTTGAGGGGTTAGTATAATAGATCAAATATTGTTACACCGACATGTTTGAAGTTTTGTGTTCCAAAAATGCTGGAAAAACCAAGAAAAACAAAAGCGTTCAAGTAGTCTGGTTCCCTGACTCCACTAAAGATGAAATGGATCAATTTATAGATGCCAGAAAAATGTAAAGTAAGGGAACCAGTCTAGCTGGCCTGCACCCGTTCATGAACATGTAACCAATAGCAAACAAAATTTTGACCCAAAAAATGGTAAATTTGGAGCAGTAGTTGAAAATAGTTAGGTTTTTCCAACAGTGGTCGGCCGACCACCGTTGGAAATTTATACAAAAATACCACTTTTCTTTAAAATGACTTCACACCTGGTGCCATAATTTTACAGGATGCTTTACACTGTCATTTACCAACATCCTGTCAGGTATTTCGTAAAAACTTGGTCATTTTATTTTTCGATGTTTGCAAATGTTGTATTTTCCCTTTAATGTCGAACAAAAACTTTTTCCTTGTACATGTACATACCGGTAGTTTTGCATACCGGGTAAATGTACACATTTGCCATGACAACAAAATTTGTTATGTTCGAATTGGCTTCTAGTGATCACCTTATGTGTGTACACGTAGATTTCTGCAGCTTCTGCAGGAATGGTGTTCATGTTCTATTTAGTACGATTGGCTCAGACTTTCTCGGCACGACTCTTGTGTGAGTCATCGTTGCGACCTACATTCGGTTCCATACAGCACATGCACCTTGGCCTACTTCTGAAAACATGCAGTCCCGATTCAAATAAATCATGTGGATTTTGGGCCAAGAAAAAACAAAATTGCGTTTCCATTGTGGACAACAAAGGTGACTGGGTGGGTCAAATGCTTTTTTTTTTTTTAATCTCAATAGGGCTCGTTCAATGACGGCCATTTCTGTAGGAGGAGTGCAACTGCGCGCAATCTAGCACGCATTGCGCAGTGTTGAAAATGCTCCAAACACGTGCGCTTGTTTCTCGAAAAGTGTTCGAAATACGACGCAGCTGATGCGCGTTATGCAAGTTGACACTCAAAATATGCCGATGCACGTGGATGGTCTGTGGGAAATGACGTCATTTGAACGAGACCTATTTCAAAGCCAGAAAAAAAGGTGGAATAACAGTAAACTAATTGAAATTATTTTTTTTTTTTTTATTTATATTTTTGGAATGCAGTTTTTACATTTAACAATCATTCTATGTTTGATGCACTGCTGATCAACTTTGAAAACATTTTAGGAAAAAATCACAGCAGGACGATGTCTTCAAAAGAAACTAAGGTGGGGTGGCACCATCAGGGTTTTTTGTTTTTAAGTTTTTTTAATAAAAGATTTTGGTTCTGCAAGGTTTTCTACATGTTGTTGTGTGGGGTAGTAAGAAACACAGATTTTTTTTCTTGGCCCAGATTATGTGGATTGTTGGGCCATGGTGAATGTGGCGGAAGGCAGGGAGGAGAATGATGTGGTAGTTTGCTACCCTCAGGATACGTCTGCGGTTCGCAAACTACGCAAACCACCTTGACATGGATGTACTTCGCAAGTTTATACTAAATCCTAGGACCTTTTTTTTTTTGCAACATACAGCAGCCGATTTTCTTGAAACCTAACCAATTGGGTTCTCCAATTGTGCCACAATTTATTGCGTAAGTTGCACAACTTTTCATGCTGCGCAATATTTCCATTACGACAATTTCATGCAAGTTTCACCGTGCGTAAGTCCGCCACTTGTGCAATCATTTGTGATGCGATCAAGCTACGTACATGAGTCGTTTGTGGGGAATTTTCATTTGGAGATACAGACCAAAATAGGGCCACTTCATCACATCACTTCATCACATCTCTTGGTGTTCCGACTCCCATAATTCTTAAACTTTAGATGGTATCAGCATGCAGTTTTCACAGCAGTAATGCTAAGATTGTGTTCTTTTCAAATCCGTAATAAAAAAATTTGACCGGGGTAGACAAACGACTCATTTAGCTTGATCGCATCACATTTTAGATGGTGTAAGTTGTGGCATAGCGACTGATAAGTGACGTATTTTAAAAAGCCATGCTCCGTTCATAATATCTGGACTTTCGATGTATTGGAAATCCCGGTTCAATAGTACCTTCAACTTACAGTCCCAAAATTTAACAAGTACTTGGCCTATATGTTCAATTAGTTTACAAAACAGTTTATCCAAGAACTGCAAGTGGCTTACCGGTAGTAGGCCCTATCTGACATTCCAAAGAAATAAGAGGGAAATATGAAGCCCTATGAACGTGTGCTGTAGATGTAGAAATAAATGTTTTGAAAGTCCAGAGATACCAATGGAGTGTGACTTTGTAGGTCTATAGCCACGTTTATGGGTCTAAATGTATATCATGTCTATTTTTGGGTTTGTTTGTGATTATTCTGCAATTGGCCGGGATCGCCAAAAAAGGTCTTTCGACTTATGTCCCTTAGTAGAAGATGTGCAAGAAAATTACAGTTTTAGTGGTGGGAGAAGAACCCCAGACTGATATTGTTTTTGGCAGTGTTTCTGACAGTGGCTGCAATATGCGCCGCAGCACCTTGTCAACCCTTATAAGGTGCTGCATAATGGGTCTCATATTTCTCATATACTTTATTTACCTTTCTTTAATAATATACATGTACATAATAACCAGCGCCTCGAGTACCTAATTGTTGGTAGATACGTGCGCTATATAAGACTCCGGTATTATTATTATATTCCAGGTAAAACCCACGGAATCAGGCAGGGACTGAAAACCTAATCTGCACGTTAGCCCAGGCAGGATTAGAATCGAACCCGGGTCACAGCGGTGGAAGGAAAGAAGAGTACCGCTATGCCAATCTGATCTGTAGGACTCCATGTACCAATACATGTACATACATGTAATGTTGTATCATTGCAACTTTTCTGGTTTGGTGGGTGGGGCGGGGCACATGTATGTAAGCTACATGTACATGTATGAGGGTTGGTGGGGTGGGGTGGGGTGGGGGGTGGGGGATAGGGTTGGTGGGGTGGGGGTGGGGGGAGTGTGGTGCAAATGATCATGTTTTTGTTGGGGGCAGAGCCACTTTCAAGGAAATATGAAAGTAAAAGTAGGATTTTTTTATTTAAAACAATAAAGGATGAAAACTTGTAACGTCAGATTGCAACATTTTTCTGAATTAATAATATTATTTTATCATCTTAAGGCACATACCGGTACATCTGAAGGGCTGCATATGTGCAGTGGAAGTCACCGGTTAAATGCCGATTTACACGACATGAAAAAGCGCAAAGAAAGAATGTTGCAACCTGCTGCTGCTTTTTTTATTCATAAATCAATTATCATCTCAATGAATGAAGGTCAGTTTTGCAAAAACATTTCCAATTTTTTTTAGGCAATAGGCCTACTTGGAAAATTTTCTTGACTCGAGACGTGTTTGCACACAACTTCCGAAGTAGCCTAGCCCTAGGCCTAGCATCAGGTTGCAACATTCTATCAATTGGAATCATCAATTTCTGAAATCTCACAAATAATTTCAACATATTGTCAAAAATGATGAAACTTTTCTTTAAATCCTAGACCATATATCACAACACGGAAAAAAAACCTCGCTTTATGCACCAATAATATGCGTGAACACAGTACATGTACGGTACACAGGCCTATTTCTTTTCATGATGACGTACGCAAAAGTATTGCGGCCCACACGTTGTCAATGAACAATCATAAACGTGATAAAAATCTCCACGAATTTCAAGAATTAAAATAAAAATAACAATACACACATTCACATCAACACAAAAAATCACACTTCTGCGTTCACACGATTCCGTATTAGAAAACAGAGCAAATGGATCGCATTTTACCTGTTCCAAACGTCATGAAAATAACACCTTTCGTAGAAATTATGGCTCGTACACTGTCGGTGTCATCATCGTTGGTCGTGTTTTCGTTGATATTTTGCAAGACCGCGATTTGACAGACCAATGGGGGCGCTATACCAGACAATCGGTGAATCGGAGAACGGACAGGCTCCGTTTTTTCTTGCCAAAATTTAATCTTTTTAATTTAAGTACGGTTATTTCTGAATATATATAAACAGTAAAAAGTTAATTTATAAAAAAGTGGATCACGTTCGAATTCGCATGTTTGTCCCTAATGAAATTCATAGTTTACCCACATGGATTGTTCATTAGTGGCCACCGTACAAACCAAACATCGTTGAATGGCTTTCAAGTACTGATAGAGGGCGCCGTATATGAATACCGCTCGTTGTAAAAAAAAAAACTTGACCAACTGAGGGCGCTATTCATTGTTGCTGCCGACGCCGACGCTGACTCTAGCTCCTGTCATAAGTGTCCCACATTCGTCTGGAAAATTACAATAAATTTACACTTTATTAATAGAATTGCTGCGATTTGTTGCACGTCTGTAGGTGTGAGTTAACCTGCCAGCTATGGGGTGTTTGTTTTCGAAAGGAGAAGCTAAGAAAGAGGAGGAACCGGCGCCGCAGGTTTACAGCTGGTGAGTTGAATTTGCGATTTTGCAGACTTGACAAAAAATGCTTGCAATGAGTTGCACATTTACCTAGAGTCCTTAGGCTGAGCATTGACTTGTTATTGCTTGAGAAGTTGAGTCCCCTTTTTTTGGGTAATTAGGACCCCGTTCCTATATAGGTTATAAGAACCAAAACAGCTGACTAAATGACACTCAAAAGTGACATTCTGATATTTCTTGACACATTTGAACAGTTGGCGATGACACCTTGAATATCAGCAGGTTTAATTTTGTGGAAAGAGGGGCTTTGATTTATGAGGGGTAAAAGACGACGATGACAAACAGAAAATAGGGTATATTAAAAGAGCAAGATGGCGAACTGCCAAAAAAAAGGTAGAAAAGGCATATTTTCTTTGAAACTGCTTTCAAAATTGCAACTAACATGAGTTAAACTGAAGAAAAGAGACTGTTTTAGCCTGCAAAGGTCACTTTGGTACTGGACAGTCATCTGCAAAAGTCAGTTTTGAACAGAACTCGTAAAAATGGAGGTGTCCTAAACATAAGGATTACCTTTTTTCGCGGCAGTGGATGTTTGGCCGGCACGGGTTTTCTTTAGTAATTTTCACGGCGGCCTTCTCTGATAATATGATTATGTCATGCGCCCGCGCACGCTATTTACCAACTGCACATAGACGAAAATAATCCAATGGGGTTTAGACTACCGGGCCAAGACTACCGGGCCAAAACTTACCGGGTACTTACACGAAAATCGATCTCAAGTTCTTTTTTTTATAGTTTGTTACTTTTTACAAATACTTTTTGAAGAGAATGAAAAGTTCTTTTTTTTTATAGTTTGTTACTTTTTACAAATACTTTTTGGAGAGAATGAAAAGTGTTAAATAAAACTAGCATACATTATAACTGAAAAGTAAAGGCTTTATCGCCAAAATGAGTTGGGTGAAATGGAATACATGGCCTAAAAACCTAGGGTATATAATTTTAATAGCAAACAGGGAAAGTCATAGAATATTGCCCTCAAATATTTTTGAAAAGGAGATATTTGTGTTAGAAAGAGTAAATGACATTGTTGTTTTTAAAAACAACTTAATTAACTAACTTTTATCTTGTGTTATTTATGCTATGTCCATCTGCAGTACTTTTGTTTCCTCATTGACAGTGCTTTTCCAATTCTTAGAGTATTTTATTGATCGAATCCATATTAACTGAGCCCTGGTCGCTTGACACGCTTGAGTGCCCCCATTCTAAGTCTTCGATGGAATTTGTGGACACATCATTTCCTGCTGTATTGTATTTCTTTACACACTTGGCCAGTGTTCAAACACACTGGGATCTTGAGTGCAGAAAAAAACAAACATTCAAAACAAAATCAGGCCAACTTTACTCACTGTTTAGCCAACAAAACTCTCCAAATTGTTCATGAGGCAAAGACAAGGTCCTCAGTATTTCACCAGCTGAGTTTGAAGTCTCAATTAAATTTTTAAAGGAGACTTTTCTTCAACATTTTGCACCTGAGAGTGAAGCAAGTGATTTCAATTTCAAGACCAAGAATAGCCTGGTAAATGTCCAACTTTTTTTAGAAGATTGACCCTTCAGTAGTCTGGTGGCGTGCTATGGAGAGAATGTGTAGAAATAGAGACTAGGCACCTGGGCCCCATTTCACAGCGCTGCTAAGCACACGATTTTATTCTAACAGAGCCTCTGTCTGTTTCATGGAGACCGTAAGCAGCATAAGCACAGCAAAAGGCACGCTTACCTCAGTGGAAGAATTTGCTTAAGTAAGTGACATAACAAAATGTCAATGCACACGCCACCATTAGCACATCGACGCCGTGAAATAGTGTTTAAGGTTAGGCCAAAAAAAAAAAATACATGTAGTTCTGCTTCCGGTTTCCCAACCTACCCTATTCTAACAGCCTTGACCCTAATTTTTTTATTGGAAAAATGAGATGGAAAAACCCAAAACCAGCAATTTTTACCTTTTACCCTTGACTACACGCAGACGCCTACATATGATCGTACACAAAAAATTGGCAGAAAAAATAATTCCTTACCTACCGGTATACCCTATTTTCAAATGCCATGTAATCAAAAGCAGAACTCTTTTTTTTGGCCTTGTAGCAAATTTTTCTGATCGAAAGGAGCAATGCTCATAGTGATTTTTGGCAAGGTATGCACTAAGTTGGAAAATGTGTGATAGCTTTGCAATGTGTGAGTGGTGGCAGTTTTTTGGGTGGTTTTTTTTTCTTCGAAATGGCCGCCAATATGCTTGTTACTGGATCTGTGGTAACAAGCATTTTTTGGCCGCCATTTTTTTGTGTGTAAAAGTGATAGCACCGAACATCTGCCACCGCTGCAATGCTATCACATATTGTCCAACTACGGTACAGGGGTGCATACCTTGCGATAACTTACAATGAGCATTATTCCCCGCATTTGATACCGACCAAACACCAAGGCTGATGGCCTATGTGTTCTATTGGGAAAACTCAACAAAATTGTGTTCTGGACAAACATGAACAAGTTTGTAAGAAGGTATGTACTTTATTGATTGCACAATGCAATTGAAGTTTTTGAAAGAATTTGAAAGTTGAAAAAAGGGGTGAAAGTCACACTGTCTGAGTCGACTCTTTTGACAGATTTTCCAACAACCAGCCATCCGTGAAAGGGCCTTTACAAACACCCGTAGTTCAGAAAGCTTTAAAATTCACCTTTTTATGTACTTTTACCATTTACCCACGGTCCTAATACCTAGGTTCTTTTACACAACCATCTCTGTTTTCTTGTTTTCAGTAATCTACGAAAATATTATGTGCAAATTATGTGATATATTATGTGCAAATTATGTGATAATCACCATTAATTTGTGCATGTCTTACATAATCGTATGCCAACCATTAATTGTACTCCTCTAGACAAGTTCTACTTGGGTTATTTAAAAACATGAAAAAAATTTACATCAGAATTTTGACTCCATGCAGTGCCCGCCTTATGTTCAGTACAATTTTGTAAAACAGCCCTTAACCATGTTAAAAGGAATTATTTCTCAGCAAAAAGTTACATACATGAGTACCTTCATCATGTTCAAATATGAGTCCTTATGCCTATATTCCACAGTTGAAAGATGTGTCGCCGCATCAATTCTGGAACTTTGGTCCGACAAGAGACCGACAATTTTTTGTTGGCTTTACAAGGACTGTTAAAAAGGGTTACAGATCTGTCAAGGTCAAGATGGTTTTTACATCTATGTACAGCCATAGAAAAAAACATACACAGAAAAAAAACTCACAGAAAAAAAAAATCACAAACAAAAATTCCTAAAAACTTATTTCTGTACTTTGTCAAGGGTAAATTCATTCGTAAATGATTTTAATTTGTCATTTCTACATATCACTACAGGCATGACAGGAGGTTTATTCTTAGTCCTTATAGTATCTGTTTGTCAGTGGATGAGAGGTGATCGAAGAGCAATAAAACGTTAGCCCTGGGATTTAAAGGGAAAATACAACATTTGCAAACATCAAAAAATAAAACTACCAAATCATTTTGAAATACCTTGCTGGACTGTTAGTGAATGATAGTGTAAAGCATCCTGTAAAATCATGGCACCTGGTATACTGTCATTTTCAAGAAAAGTGGTATTTTTGTATCATCAATTTCCAACGTTGGTCAGCCGACCAGCGTTGGAAAAAACTGGCCTTTTTTCAAATACTGGCCCCAATTGACCATCGCACTTGTTTGCAATCGATTACACACCTATGAACGGGTACAAGCCAGCTAGACTGGTTTCCTGACCTTACAATTCCCCAATGTATGTAAACTGCTCTGTTTCTTCTTATATGGAGTCAGGGACCAGACTACAGGAAAATGATTGTTTTTATAGCATTTTCGAACCCAAAACCTCAAAAAAGTCAGTGTAACTACATGTATATTTGCTATATATTTCCAACACCCCAATTCCATCCATTTCTGAAAATTACAGCAAAAGCAAATGATGTGTATTCCCTTTAAACAAAAATAAATTCTGAAGAAAATTTTAAAAAATACACAGATGAAGGACAAAACCCAATTTTTGAATACATATTCCATCCCGATGGCACATTCCATTTTTGAAGAGTCTTAAGATTTGTTTTTCTTTTATAAGATTGTCATAAAAATGAGAAAGAGTTCATCCTGATCTAGCTTTTCATTTTGATACATCACACATTTCATTCGGGATGAAATTTTGTTGACGGTTTCAACAGTGACAGTTCCGACTGATCGCCTTACTGCAAGATTTGTTCAAGGGCCTGAAACTGGAAAGTAGGTCTGACGACTTGGGACTCATTTCGACAGATTGTGTTGCAGAAAAAAAAAAAACACACATGACAGTCTGGCCTACGCACTGCCCTAGTAACCTTGAATAGATCCTGCCTATGCATGCCAGGGGTTGTCTCGGTATGAGGAGGCTGGTTGCCGTGGGAACACGTCCGCTTGTTGTCATGGAGACACCCACAGACATGGAGGATAGTCATCTGTAGGAATGGGCTCATGAATTTCTCATGGCCACTGATGAGTCATTTTGCAAGGTTGGCGACCACTGTGTTTTTCATCCACCAATTAAGCATGTTTTCCTCAGGGATGTACATGTATGTAATGTCCCCCTGCAATTAACAGGATTTCCTTTTCTTTCTTTCTTTTTCCTTTTGGAAACTTCAGACATTTCAGACAACATTGCCTATTTCCTGTGCCATGTACATTGTTTTGTTTTGATGTACTTCCCAAATTTCCTGCCAGGAGCCTGTTTACGTCCTTGAAAATGTCTCTTTTCAGTTACATTTGATTGAAATGCGTTTGTTGAAAGGGAATGTACAACATTTGCGAACATCGAAAAACAAAACTAACACATTTTTACAAAATACCTTACTAGGATGTTGATAAATGACAGTCTAAAGCATCCTGTAAAATTATGGCACCTGGTGTGAAGTCATTTTCAAGAAAAGTGGTATTTTGTATAAATTTCCAACGGTGGTCGGCCGACCACCGTTGGAAAAACCTAACTATTTTCCAACTTCTGTTCCAAATTTACAATTTTTTCAGTCCAAATTTTGTTTGCTATTGGTTTCATGTTCATGAACAGGTGCAGGCCAGCTAGACTGGTTCCCTTACCTTACAATTTTCCGGCATCTATAAATTGATCCATTTCATCCTTAGTGGAGTCAGGGAACCAGACTACTTGAACATTTGTGTTTTTCTTGGTTTTTCCAGCATTTTTTGAACACAAAACTTTACACATCAGTGTAACAACATTTGATCTATTATACTTACCCCTCAAATAGTTCAATTCTGAAAATTACAGCAAAAGCCAATGATGTACATGTACATTCCCTTTAAAAATGTCGAAGTTTGACTGTACATTATGGAAATATTGGTGTTGTTGCTCGACAGAAGTGGTGAGCAATTAGGCCTTCTGTTTTTCTTATAAATGGTACTGTTCATAGCTGATGCCATAGCAGAGACGTCATACATTTCTTTTTGACAATGTCTGTAATTTTTGTTTCCCTTCAGCATACAGCTTTCTTGAAAACCTAACTAATTGAGTTATTTTGCCGCAATACAGAACATTGAAATGCAACAGCAAATCCAAGCACACAAAGACATTAAACAAATTTGACTAACATTAAACAACAATAGAAAACACGGACCTAGGACACAGGTGTAACAGCGGTGGTGGGGGGGGGGGGCCTGAAGTAATCTTGCAAGGTTAAACAAATTAATTTTAATAAGAAAAAAGCTGAAAGGCACACAGAAATAAAAATTCCATTATTCCAGAATTCCAGATAACTTAATCTTCAGTGATCATAATCAGTTGTTCAGCTCATTGTGAACTACATGTAAATATAAAAAAAAATTTAAATATTAGTTCTGCAAATAATTATTCCAGTATTTAATTAGATGTGCATTTTGTCTTTGCAACACAAAGTTGCACTATGAATGTCTCTGATTGGTGCTATGCAAACAGGAAATTATTACGCACGTAAAGATTGGTAGCTAACGTACATAGCAACGGACGCCATGGACATGTACAATATATATCTGTACACGTGCCTTTTTTCCATCAATTCAAAAAGGGGGATCCAGTGATCCCCAATGTCAACACTGGAGGTCATTCTATTGTGATTGGATCCACCTCTCTGTAAGCAGATTTTACAACAATGACTTATTTGAATGACAGAAGGCTTTGGATGCCTCTCCATACTCTCCTGCAAAGAGAAATCCGTGCCTCTACATGCACAGATACAGTTGTTGAGGCTACTGTATCGGCCTAGATTCTTTCTATTTCTGACGGGATGCATGAAGGACGCAGGTGTACAATGCACTGCTAAGCATTGAGCAGACGGAGAATAGTCAATCATATTTTAGATTGGTTGACTTGCAGATGCTAAGTAGATGTGGCGATGTTGATGGTACTAGCAACATTGCTATATAAGTGTACACATGTGTGTTGTTGCCGACCATCGTTTGGAGGGAAAAAAAAAGCTCCCTACGTCTTCCTGGATACTGCGTACTAGGCCATTTCAGAGGCTTCATCTGTGGGAACTCTAAATTGTCAAACGTTATCGGTCTTGTCAGTTGAAAATCATGAACTTGCATTTTTGATTTCTCTTGCAGTCGCAAGTTGCTTCAGTCATGGAAGTTATTTCTCATAAATACAATTTTAGCCAGCAAAGACGATCATGGTACGAGTGAGAGACAGTAGCATGAGTGACTTAGAGTTGATCCTACATACATGACACAATCAGGAACTTCACGAGAGTCGAGAGCCAGCAAGTTGCAAAACACCCACCGGAGTTTCACTGCGCTTGCAAATGGGACGGGTAACTTCTAAGTGAGCTGGCAAAGATGTTTGACTCAGTGTCTTGACAAATTAACCCTCATGTTTTAAACTGCCAAAGTCTGAGTACCTTTGCAACTGTGTTAAAAATTGAGTATCTTTCAAAAGTCCCACGGAGTCAGCAAATCGGAAGAGAGTTCTAAGTGGTTTGCAAGGAACTTCACATCAAGTTGGCAGGCTTCTCAAAGTGGTTCACAGTCTGTGACACGGCACAGAAATGTCATTGCCTTTAACAGGTTAACCACAGAATTGAAAGTGTTGAAAACGACATGTTGAAGACTACACGTAGTTCCTGAATTTGTGAACACACACTGACTTGAGTAAGACGCTGGAACGTTATTCCTGGATGTGCCATGAACTTGATTCATTCCGACATCTTCAGATCCCGTCTTGAGATTCATGAAGGGAGGTGATATCGGTGCATGCTGGCATGTCTATCTGTAGCACCTGCTTCATCCTCAGCCAGGAACCGTAAGGGCATCCTCCCCAGACTTCCCCCAGACTTCCCCCATCCTCCCCAGCCTTCCCCACCCTTCCCACCCTTCCCCCACCCTTCCTGCAGCCTTCCCCCACCCTTCCCCCACCCTTCCCGCAGCCTTCCCCCACCCTTCCCCCACCCTTCCCCACCCTTCCCCCACCCTTCCCGCAGCCTTCCCCCACCCTTCCCCACCCTTCCCCAACCCTTCCCCAACCCTTCCCCAACCCTTCCCCCACCCTTCCCCACCCTTCCCCCACCCTTCCCCCACCCTTCCCACCCTTCCCCCACCCTTCCCGCAGCCTTCCCCCACCCTTCCCCCACCCTTCCCCCACCCTTCCCCCACCCTTCCCCCACCCTTCCCCACCCTTCCCCCACCCTTCCCGCAGCCTTCCCCCACCCTTCCCCCACCCTTCCCCACCCTTCCCCAGCCTTCCCCCAGCCTTCCCCCACCCTTCCCCCACCCTTCCCCACCCTTCCCCCACCCTTCCCCCACCCTTCCCCACCCTTCCCCACCCTTCCCCCACCCTTCTCCACCCTTCCCCTTCCTCCCCCACCCTTCCCCATCCTCCCCAGCCTCCCCCCCCCCCCACCCCACCCTCCCCCTCCTTAGAAACACAGTTGGATTGTGCAAAGATTTGCTTCCGCTGGCGCTGTGCATTGTAGAAAAGAATTTTCTGGGACGCTAGAGGATTTGGGAGGGTTCCAGGTTAATCCTAACTCCCTGGCATGATTTGCTAGGAACCATCCTGGCAAATTCCAACACCATATGGGAAACTACACATATTTCTGACTTTGATTCTGGAGGTGTGCCAACCCAATGTAAAACACTGTCAGTCTAGGGGTACTGTACCCATCCTGACAGATTCCAACAAAACATGCCGTCTGGGTTTGATGGGTTGTGTTCTGTTAGTGTTAATATAATCAATAATTTAGAAATAATTGAGCGTAGGCCTACTTGCAATCCATAATAAAAACCAAAAAATTTACCCAAAATGAGGAGGAAAGGGGGGGGGGGGGTAATGAAGAACCTGACGAGTACTTTAATACATATACGAACATTTGTAAATTGTAAGTTTACATAAAAAAAAATAAAAACAGGCATGGATATTTATGATGACCAGTGTCACTGACAAACTTGTATTAAATGTACATTGTTTAATTATTTAATGCACAGTCATTGTCCACACATGTCAGACGAGTTGAATTTAATCAAAATTAATGATTGAACTGTCAAACGGTCTTGATACAATTAAAGCCAGTGTACCATGTAAACAAATGTACATTGTGAATCTTGTATGACGCACACTCGAAGGTCTTTGCACATTCTTTACAATGGTATATTTATCACTCATTAACATTGCACGTATGTACCCTGAGACAGTTTAACAGAATTACTTGTCTATTTTTACGCAAGTGCGCTCGCTGATGCCATGTATATGATTCCAATTTCCGATTCGATCTTACATTAGTCTGTGCCGCCCAGACATACGCTTGCATGCAGGTTGTTTTACTGTATTTGGTGAGACTTTCGTTTTCTCGGTTCTCGGTTCGAGAGCCAAAATTGGGCACAGCGAGATATTCAGTTGAATTGAGCGCTACCAGTGATCGCACAAAGATGGAGAGTCGCAAGCCGGCGGACGGCGCCCTCAATGCACTCATGCATTCTCTGCCTTTCTCGTCTTTGGCGTACAGGGACCGCAAGGACCGGCCGGACCCGAAGGATTTCAAGTTGGAGGACCTGAACGGGGAGACGGTGGGCCGAGTACCGGGCAAAGTCAACGGGCAGCAGTTTGTCATCAAGAACTGCCAGGTCAGTCGGAAATGACTCGTGCTGGTGCCAGAGGGCCAGTCTAGTGTCCTCTTCGTACCTACATGTATTTCACTGACTGACTGACCGAGTGTCTGACTGACTGATTGACCGACCGACTCATTGTCACATGTGCCTTTCGTTCGGTCAACCCTAACCCCTAGTAGTTCCTCAGGACCACCCTGCTAAATCCAACAGAGTCCAACTGGAGTTTCCTGCTCAATCGACTGTGCCGTATTTTCAGTTGTCTGCTGAATCCAACGGAGTCCAAATTGGCGTTATAATGTGGTTCAGTTGCCTATTGAATCCAACATTTTGCATCAGGAATGTACCGTACACAAGGGGTTTACTGCTCAATCCAACAGGCTCCATCGGGTATAGTTGGATTCTGTTGGATTCAGCAGGGTTAGGGTTTTAACCCTCCTCTGTGCCAAGTAGTCCTTTCAGTCAAAATCAAACAAGTGACTGTTTTCAACAGTTAAGAATTCCCAGCCAACGTTAAAGCAGGATTGACTGGCTGGGACTGATTAAGGAACTTGCTACAGCTATGCGTTGACTCCCAGTGAGTGATAAAACAGCTGTGACCACAACTTGCCTGCTTTGTCTGTTGACCCAGTTTGACAAGTCACAGTGCAATTGCTTGACATAGATCTGACTGCTGGTGACTAGCCTTTGTTAAAAGTATAGCAGGGGAAGTGGAAGTGAATTTTGACTGTGACTGTTTAAATAGCGGGAGGGTTAATGTGTTTCATGTTCTTCATTCACAGAACTGCAACATCTACATCTTCGACCATTCGGCAACCATCACTGTGGACAAATGCCTGGATTGCAAGATATTCCTGGGCCCGATCAAAGGAAGGTAGGAAAATTCTCCTGGTTAAAATTTTAAAATATAAACTTTAGGGTATTTGCGGCATGAATTCTTGCCATGACGTCATAAATTTGCTTTTGCGCATGGACTATCAACAAACCTTAACGTACTCTGTTCACAGGACTAGACATAAATACCTCTTTAGGGCAAGCTGAAACAAAATGCCTGAACTTGTTAATTTGTGAGGACGTTATTTACAGAGACTTTGGGAAAGTGTAACAAATTTTTGAGGAGGAAAAAATAAGAAAACCTGTTATGAAAATTTCAGGGAAATTCAAAAATTTGGGAAAATGTTGGTAAATCCTGTAAAACAAAAGGGAAGTTGGAAAGAATTTGTATAGAAATGTGCTTAAAGCTATAGTCCATCATTTGCAGCCATCCGAAAAGTAACTGGCGTAATTATTGTTGAAAAACAAACTTGGTTGAAAGATAGTAAGGGAACTAAACTCCCTGTGAAATTATTCTTTCTGGGAAGCTGTCATTTTGAAGTAATCAACGAAAGAAGGCATTTCCAACGGTGATTCTTAAGAAGCACCGTAGGAAAATTTAAATTAGTAGTTTGTTTTGTTATTCAGCGCAGCGCGCACAAGTATTGGAACGACGCACACGCGCGCGCGGTTGTTGTAATTCGTTGGATCAGTGCGCGACGTCGCATATAGCTGCAATTCAAAACAATTCAAAACATGATTCAGTAACTTTTGATTTGAAATTGAGATCTTAGAATGCTGTTTTTCTCGGAATGTACAGCTGAAGCTTAGCTGAAACTTCATCAGGTTAGTTGCCCAGTATCCTTCATTAGATTTTGAACTCTTTTGTTGCTTCAAACGAACAAAATGCACAAATTTCAAATGATGGACTGTAGCTTTAAAGAGAGAATCTGAAAACGCACAGCACATGATGAAGCTCATTTACTCACTGCAATATTTTGTTACGGAACAGCGTCTTTCTGCGGAACTGCACGTCCTGCAAGTGCGTCATCGCCTGCCAGCAGTTCCGGTCGCGGGACTGCAAGTCCATCGACGTCTTTCTCCACTGCGGCTCCCAGCCCATCATCGAGGCCTCCACCAAGATGCGCTTTGGATGCTTCCAGTGCCACTACCCTGAACTGCCAGGTATTGTAACCCTAACAGAACTCAACCCATCAAAACCCCAACAGCATGTTTTGTTGGAATCTGTCAGGATGGGTACAGTACCCCTAAACTGACAGTCTTTTACATTGGGTTGGCACACCTCCAGAATCAAAGTCAGAAATATGTGTGCAGTTTCCCATATATGGTGTTGGAATTTGCCAGGATGGGTATGGTTCCTAGTAAATCATGCTAGGGAGTTCGCGTTAAGTCTGCAGTGAAATCTCGATAAGACAAACTCTGATAACTCAAAACAACTGTTATAAGTCAAACAAATAATCCATTGCGTTCAGTAGTATAACAATGATATACAACCCTGCTTAATTCAAAACTCTGCTTTAGTCAAATTTTGAACCTGTTCCCTTGAGGTTTGACTTAATCAAAATTTCACTGTTTCTGAAATTTTACCAAATCGTATAAGTCAGGTATTCTGGCAAAATGAGACAGAACTGGGCGGAAGTCAAAATGAGGGTTTGCAGGTGTTAGGAAAGAGAATATAATTCTCCTTACAATACTGTTTGTTGCACTTCAATCGGACATTCCGTTGACAAGTTAAGGCTGTTTAAAGTTCGCATTTATTGACACGTCAAAAAGTAAAATACTGAGAAAAAGGCCGTTGAGTTTCAAGTTTTGCAGTCATGAAAAACAAAGATGTCATTTTTTTTTTTTAAACACTTATGTTTTTGTAGTATTTCTTTAAAATAATTTTGTGTGTGTGTGTGCTAGACATCAACGATAACAACACACCAATAAAGTTGAAAATCACCAAAAAAATCACCCCATTCAGTTTTTGCATTTTTCCTCACTACGGCCTGTGCCCAGTTCCGTCCCATTTTACCAGAACGCCTCACATTTGTGAAAGTTTAAGCGCCTCAATATAAACAGCAATCTCTGTCAGTGCCACATTTATCACGACTAGGAGATCATAGTCAGCACGAAGGCATGGACACAAATTCTTGGCGAAAGAGGAGCCTCTGTGTTCTTGAAACAGCGCCCTCTTTGTAATTCACCTGATGCACCCGCGATCAAAACTATTTTCTCTGTGCAGAGTGCTAATAGAGGCTGTATACCCAACAGAACAAAATTTCTGCATGGTCCGAAAGTTTTGCCTAAGAACCTGTCTTGAAGAGAAAGCAGCCCCGTACTCCACAGAAGGATTGGAAGCAACATTCTTGATCCAATTTCCAAAGTAGCTTTTGGTCCTGGAGCCTAAACGACATTTTTTTTCTCTTGACCTGCATTTCAGATCAATTTTCAAAGAGCGGCCTGAGCCCATACAGGAATACATGGGATAACATTCACGATTTCTCGCCGATGCCGGACGAACGAAATTGGTCACTGCTACCGGATGTAAGATTTATATATTTTTGGGGGGCCTTTGTAATCCATTACCATGTGTACTACATTGTATTACATTGTATTACATTGTACTACATTGTGTTTATTCACTGAAGAATCAATAAAACCATGGAGTTTGGGGTGGTACAGGGACCAAGTTAATACTGTCATTTTAAGATAACTGCCTTTGAATCCATTTTTAAACTTTAAAATATACCAGCAATTTAGGGAAAGGACAATTTTTTGAAAGAATCCACAAAGGAAAATTCTGCGAACAAATGCTTTGGAAGTGTCTTAGAGGGTCTGGTAGTCTAGCATATAAAGGGAAATTACTTCAAAGTTCTTTTTCTTTTTTTAATTCGAGTTTCGAAATGCCTATTTTTGGTTTGCAGGATGCAAAAGTTGAGGATTATGTGCCGATGCCGACGACAGAAGAATTCCAAGACCTGAAGCTGTCGACGTCCGTTGATGACAGCGTAGTGCCGCTGACCCTGGGTGGAACAAAACAGAAAGGATCCGAGGTAAATGTTGATAATATCTATTTGATGGGAAAGCTTTGACGTTTCTTTGACCTTTTCAAACCTTGTTTTATTTCTTCATGTGTTCTTTTTAAACCTTCGTCCGTCATGGTCCAAAGAAATTCTGCAAAACCTAAAATGGAAACCTACAGCCTTGTTTTTTTTTTTTTTTTCCAATAATCAAATTAGACCTACGCCTGGAGTGAAAGGGCAGAAACATAATAAGAATTTGTCAGAATGTCTTACCTGTCTGACTTTGATGGATATTTTACTGTTGGTTTCTTTTTTTCTCCTGTAGTCGTCACTCGTCGTCTTCTTCAAGGATTCATCCTCCGAAGAGAAGCTGAGGCAGTTTCTTAAAGACATGAGGCAGGAGGTATGTTGCTAGGTATCAGGAGATTGTGAGTTCGAGTCAGAGAGCTATATTAAATTGTTAGAACGTTAACTCCTCATTATTGCGCGTGGATATGCATTGAAGCCGTCCCAGGCGCAGACATTTTGAATTTATGTGCGTGTTTGTAGCACATAATGAAATGAGATGGATTGAATTTTGAAAGTGTACTCTAAATGCAACGCGCAAGTAGAACATACGCAGCAAGCTAAGCGCGTCATGACGGTTTTAAAAAAAGTCACAGTTAATCTTCTGCAGTGGGCACGCGCACCTGTTGGGCTGTTTGCGGAGAGCAAAATGAAACACTCATTTGTTGATCGTGCATTTCGGTTTTGGCGTATCGGCTTCGATGACGCACCTGTATAGAATACAAACGCAGATATGCAAATAGACATACAAAATACGTACACAATTTCTAGTTCTCCATAGGTTTGTGCACAAACATGGATGCGCCCAGCAGGCATCACTTTGTACATGAGTCAGCGCTCTAGTAATTTAATATAGGTCTATGGTTCAAGTCCACATATATGTGTACTCAGAGTTGCCCCCCAGTGATTGTGAGAAAAAAATCACTTTGGTGGGACTCGAACCCACGACATCCTGCTGACTAGCGCAGACGTCTTACCACTCGACTACAAGAGGTCGTTGGTTCGAGTCCTACCCGATTGTTTTTTTTTCTCACAATCACTCAGGAAAACACTGAGTATACAGTGTTTATAAAATGTCGATGATGTGTGCAATTAATAAAATGACCATTATGATTATTTGTGTCTGTACCAGGGTTCTTGCAGCCTCGCACGGACCACGGAGATAGAGATTGACGTGGGTACCGCAGCCAGGATACTTGGGGAGGATGAACGATACGCAAAAGCTGTGACAAATGGTAAGTACATCCATATCAATGATGTTCAATATCAAACCTATTCCCTAACGACAAATGCAAGTATTTATGTTTATACTTATATGGTGGTTGTATGGATACGTTAACCCTCCTGCTATTTAAACAGTCACAGACAGTCAAAATTTCCATCCTCTTCCCCTGCTATACTTTTAACACAAGCTAGTCACCAGCAGTCAGATCATATGTCAAGCAAGCACTGTGCTGTATCTAGTTACATAAACAATCACAGCCAGTCAATCTTGCTTTAAGTAGGCTGGGAAGTTTGCCTGTTGAAAACTGTCACTTGCTTGATTTTGACTGAAAGGATTTCTTGGCACAGAGTGTATGTTTGCATTGGAGGGTTAACCCTATTCCCTGCATGATTTACTAGGAACCATACCCATCCTGGCAAATTCCAACACCATCTGGGAAACTGCACACACATATTTCTGACTTTGATTCTGGAGGTGTGCCAACCCAATGTAAAAGACTGTCAGTTTAGTACTGTACCCATCCTGACAGATTCCAACAAAACATGCCGTTGGGGTTTGATGGGTTGAGTTCTGTTAGGGTCAATAAAGATAGTGAAGTACAAGAAACGGTGTTGTGTATCACTTGAAATACAGTCGACTCTCGTTAGTGCAAACTCTGTTAATACAAAATTCTGGTTATAACAAACATAAAGCCTTGGTCCCGACTGTGCATGTATGTGCACAATGAATGGGACTGATGTTCCTCTTCGTACAAAATTCTGATATAACATGATACAATTTGGCTAGGTCCGAACGAGTTTGTTTTAACGAGACTCGACTGTTATAAGAATGTGAGCTATACAAAATAAAATCGTCAGTGCTCACAAAAATGGGACGCCAAGCTTCTAGCACTCACTGGATCTTCTTCAAGACTGTTCGAAGAAGTTGCAGTGAGTTCTGAAAGCTTGGCTTCCAAAATCAGTAAGCTGTGACCGCTAGCGATCTAACTTTTTTAGCTTACGTTCTGATTATGTTTATCGATATGTGTAAGTAAGTCTGTCCCGAGCCAATGTGGCCCATCAGGTTGGCGTTTATCTCCGGTTTCAGTAGCATGAAACGACTGAGAATATTTCTACTCCCCCTGGATGGGATGCTAGTCCATCGCAGGTTACTCCCCAGCTAATGCCGGTACCCATTTATACTCCTGGGTGGAGAGGGGCAAGTGGGGGTGAAGTGCCTTGCCCAAGGACACAATATATGACCAGCGGCTGGATTCGAACCCCGGACCCTCTGATCATGAGTCACGAACCCTACCCACTAGGCCACACACTCCCCTATATCGATATGTGTCTGCTTCATAAATCTACCGGACTGGCCCAATTTCTTGGCTCTGCTTACAGTTAGCGAAAAATATGTGCTTACTGTAGCAGAAATTCTGTGCTTATGGTAAGCGCATTTCACGTGTTAGCGAGGAATTTTGGCCTCTGCACATGCGGGCATCCAGTAACTAAGGATTCTGTGCTTACAGGGTTAGCACATAATTTTTCTGCTAGCGCGGTTAGCGCAAAATTGTGATCCTAAGCGCGGAATTCTGTGGTTAGCAGAGCCAAGAAATCGGGCCCACTTGTAATTCCCATAAAATTGTTGTGCACAGGTGCGGTGGTGGGCCTTGAGTTCAACGGCACCGACACGGCCCAGACTTGCCAGAGGGTGGCCCAGCCGCTGGTGGGCGACTCGGTGGTGTTCATACCGGAGAGCAGCGAGGTGGGATCTCGGTCCGTGGAGGCCTGGAACAGCCAGGTGGAAGCACAGATGGCAATGTGAAAAAAAATTAGGGGTTCAAAAACTTCGGGATGGTAATTAGGGCTCATCTCAATTGACCTATCGCGGCAGAATTGCGTTAGAATCGCGTGAACGCTGCTTGTGAAATATTGTCCAATTACATGATATACAAATGGACACGGAACGCGCACAATCTGAGACGAACAGAACTTAGCGTACAAAAACTCCATAGGGTTGTCTAAGGGGCGTTGCTAAACTCCCAAACGGCGATAGGTCAGTTCATATCCAGGACGAGTTTCGGACAAGTTGCGGACATTTCATCGGGTATAAGTTGCAGGATGCTGAACAACTTCCCTGCAATCCTCTCGCAATGAAGTTGCGGGAAGATCAGTATTGATGAGTCAAGCAGTTGCTAATGAGATTTTCCCCAGAACATGTCCGGGACAAATGCAGAGCTTTTTCCGGACAAAGTGATTCTACCCGCAACTCGTCCGGAACTCATCCCAGATATGAATTGAAACGGGCCCTTTAGAATAGGAATAGTGCAGGGTAGTCTGAATGTAGTCTCTGTCAAAGACTAGGTTTTGTTTTTGTTCTGCAATGCAGCCAGCCCCTATGTAGAATCTAGTCTTTGGCACTGGCGAATGAAATCTCAAGCATGCCTCGCACGCACTTAGCTTGAATGGTGTTTTGGAATTTTTGTTTTGGTTTGGGGTGCCAAAGTTCCCAAGCCTGGCTTTGATTCATCTTGTTGGTAGCGCCCTCTACCACCACAGCAGCTTGAGTATGCCAGGGGGATAGTGCAAGTTTTACTTGCAGCATTTATTCAAAGGACAAATCAGGACACGGCACATGCGCATACAGCACGAATTACGCAAGGCTTTTTTTTTTCTGAGTGCGCACAAAGCCATAATGTCTTCGCGTGAGCGTCAGGCATCATCAACAATGCGTTCGAATGTCTCATCCAGTGGTCTCCCCCAACTCTCTTTTTCTTACCGTTGAGGGGGTACTTTTGCATGTACAAACACCCAAAGTTCGAAGTGCGAATAACTACTCTGAATGCGCAAAAGCCCATGTCATCTTTGTTTGAACACGGGTATATGGAGGCAATGCGTTCAAGTCCCTCGTTACTCTCTCCTTGGAACTCACCGAGGAGGTGCGTATTTTTTTTACTATTTGTGTAGTACTTTGTGACAGCAGTACTTGTACGAGTCTTGAATTTTAGTGTGTTTTACATTTACATTGTCATGATATTAGTCTTTAGGCAGAAATTAGAAGTTATCTGGGTTTTTTTTTCTTGTCTGACAATGTAGCCCAATATGACTTTAAAAAATTTAGTGAATGCTGCATCTGATGTATACATTATGAGCAGATTTATTGTGCTTATGAAATTGTAATGAATTTGGCTGAATTTGTCATTCTGCTTACCTTAAAATTAAGCGTCATAATTGGCATATAATAAATATTTCTAATTCGAGACTTTTGGGGGGGGGGGGGGGGGGGGGGGGGCTTAAGAGGGTGCGAGGGGTGCAGGGAATTTAGGAGGGATTGGTGGGGGTATGGAATGGGGAAAGAGTACTGTTTGAAAAATGTCACCATTAGTTTTTATTTTTTAAATACTTTTTAATGTACACATTTAGTTTTTATATCGTATGTAAACTGAAAGTGATTTCACAAGAGAAATCAAATGATTGAAATGGTAAGAAGATGGGCGTTCCCCTTTGAAATGAAAAATCACCAACAGAAGTTCATGAATTGATATTCCCTTGCAAAACTAAGACCTTGTCCCCCTTTTTCTTTGGTAGGCCAGGCCCCTCCCCTTGCCACATCCATATTTTAACCTTGGTCACACGTTCAATTTAAATTGAGTGCAGTAATTACAATGCACTAATCGTTTCCTTGTGGTTATTGTCATTTAAAAAACAAAACGCCTTGATTATAGTATTGTAAATTTAACTGTATATGAAATATGTCTTATTGCAGATTGTGTCCTGTCAAATTAAGGCCAAGCAAAAAAAAAACCCAGTTTCTCGTCTAGGCTTTTTTTTTTAATGAAGGTGGAGGCAGGCATTTTTTTCCTCAAAATGGAGCATGGGTTCTTCCATTTTATCAAGTCTTTTGCCGATACAAAATTTTGTCCAAAGGAGCCGTAACCCTTTCTAAATTCTACTTAGCTACACTTTTATTGGAAACAAGTGAAAAGACTATAATTGTGATGCAATCAAGCTAAAATGAGTCGTTTGTTGACCCTGGTCAAGTTTTTTTTTTACAGATTTGAAAAGAGCACAGTCTCAGCATTACTGCTGTGAAAGCCGCATACTGATACCATCTTTAGTTAAAAAATTATGGAAGTCGGAACACCAAGGGATTTGATAAAATGATGTGATGAAGTGGCCCTATTTTGGCCTGTATCTCCAAATGAAAGTTCCCGACAAACGACTCATTTAGCTTGATCGCATTTCCTATATTGATAATAAATTTGACAACATATTTGCAAACTATGTTACAAATGTATGAAAAGAAAAAAAAATCGAGGCCAACAGGAAAAAGGAAGCGGGTTGAGACGAGAAACTGGTTATTTGTTTTACTTGGCCAAGTGTACTTAAGGGGCCGCATTCGTTAACCACTCATGAACAAAACGTCCTGTTTTAAAGAAAATGCCTGTCCAGATTGTGATTGTGATTTGTATGTGTATGTATATTGTAACCCGCAAGGGGCGTGCAAGGTTGTCAGTTTTTATATATTATGATGTGCTTGTATATAATGTGGTTTTAAATGTGGCAAAGTTTTAATAAAATATACGAAACAGCAACTATTTTAAAAACTCAACAACAACAAAATGCCTTGTGTTACAACGCCGTTTAGAATTTATTGGGAAATTTTCGGGAATTCCGTGAATTTAGCGACGTCTGTAATTAATTCGGGGATCAGGCATCTTTCCTGAAAGTTTCAAGCAATTTTTTTGGCAAAATTTGAAAAAAATTGCAAGGGGTTAGCCTTACATTTGAATCAAATTTGGCCAAAAATTAACTTTTCTCCAAACAATGCAGGAATTCCTTTGAAAAGCCCATCTGTCCACAAATCGCATTGGAATGTGTTCTAGGGTTCATTAGGCATCTTTCCTGCAAGTTTGAAGCAATTTTTTTTTTTGGTCAAAAAAAGGGGTTAGCCTTACATTTTGAATCAAATTTGATCAAAAATTGATTTTATCCTAAAAATACAGCAATTCCTTTGAAATGTCCATCCGTCCAGAAATCGAATTGGAATGTGTTCTATGCTCTATTCGGCATCTTTCCTGCAAGTTTGAAGCAAATTTTTTTTTTGACCAGAATTCATAAAAAATGCAAGGGGTTAGCCTTATCTTTTTAATGAAATTTGGCCAAAAATGTACTTTTCTCCAAACAATACAGAAATTCCTTTGAAATGTCCATCCGTCAAAAAATCGAATTGAAATGTGTTTGATTGTCCATTAGGCATCTTTCCTGCAAGTTTGAAGCAATTTAAATTTTTGGCCAAATTTCAAAAAAATGCAAGGGGTTAGCCTTACATTTTCAATCAAATTTTTGAGCAAAAATTGATTTTTCTCCAAAAAATGCAGGAATTCCTTTGGAAAGTCCATCTGTCCACAATCACATTGGAACGTATTCCAGGGTTCTTAGGCATCTTTCCTGCAAGTTTGAAGCAATTTTTTTTTTGGCCAAAATTTAAAAAATACAAGGGGTTAGCCTTACATTTTTAATCAAATTTGGCCAAAAATTAACTTTTCTCCAAACAATGCAGGAATTCCTTTGAAAAGTCTATCTGTCCACAAATCGCATTGGAATGTGTTCCAGGGTCCCTTAGGCATCTTTCCTGAAAGTTTCAAGCAATTTCATGTTTTGGCCAAATTTGAAAAAATTGCAAGGGGTTAGCCTTACATTTTGAATCAAATTTGGTCAAAAATTGATTTTATTCTAAAAATACAGGAATACCTTTGAAATGTCCATCTGGCCACAAATGGCATTAAAATGTGTTCCAGGGTTCATTAGGCATCTTTCCTGCAAGTTTGAAGCAATTTCATTTTTTGGCCAAATTTGAAAAAAATTGCAAGGGGTTAGCCTTACATTTTCAATCAAATTTGGTCAAAAAATGATTTTATCCTAAAAATACAGAAATTCCTTTGAAATGTCCATCCGTCCAAAAATCGAATTGGAATGTGTTTTAGTGTCCCTTAGGCATCTTTCCTGAAAGTTTGCAGCAATTTCATTTTTGGCCAAAATTTAAAAAAAATACAAGGGGTTAACCTTACATTTTGAATCAAATTTGATCAAAAAATGATTTTATCCTAAAAATAAAGAAACTCCTTTGAAATGTCCATCCGTCCAAAAATCGAATTGGAATGTGTTTTAGTGTTCCTTAGGCATCTTGCCTGTAAGTTTGAAGAAATTTCATTTTTTGCCAAATTTCAAAAAAATACAAGGGGTTAGCCTCACATTTTGAATCAAATTTGGCCAAAAATTAATGTTTCTCCAAACAATGCAGGAATTCCTTTGAAAAGTCCATCTGTCTACGCATTGGAATGTGTTCCAGGGTTCATTAGGCATCTTTCCTGCAAGTTTGAAGCAATTTTATTTTTTGGCCAAAATTCAAAAAAATGCAAGGGGTTGGCCTTACATTTTCAATCAAATTAGATCAAAAATTGACTTTATCCTAAAAATACAGAAATTCCTTTGAAATGTCCATCCGTCCAGAAATCGAATTGGAGTGTGTTCTAGGGTCCATTCGGCATCTTTCCTGCAAGTTTGAAGCAATTTTATTTTTTTGCCAAATTTCAAAAAAATGCAAGGGGTAAGCCTTACATTTTCAATCAAATTTGGTCAAAAAATGATTTTATCCTAAAAATACAGAAATTCCTTTGAAATGTCCTTCCGTCCAGAAATCGAATTGGAATGTGTCTAAGTGTCCCTTAGGCATCTTTCCTGCAAGTTTGAAGCAATTTAATTTTTTGGCCAAAATTAAAAAAAAATACAAGGGGTTAGCCCTACATTTTCAATCAAATTTGATCAAAAATTGATTTTATCCTAAAAATACAGAAATTCCTTTGAAATGTCCATCCGTCCAGAAATCGAATTGGAATGTGTTCTAGGGTCCATTAGGCATCTTTCCTGCAAGTTTGAAGCAATTTAATTTTTTTGGCCAAAATTCAAAAAAATACAAGGGGTTAGCCTTACATTTTGAATCAAATTTGGCCAAAAATGAATGTTTCTCCAAACAATGCAGGAATTCCTTTGAAAAGTCCATCTGTCCACGCATTGGAATGTGTTCCAGGGTTCATTAGGCATCTTTCCTGCAAGTTTGAAGCAATTTTATTTTTTGGCCAAAATTCAAAAAAAATACAAGGGGTTAGCCTTACATTTTCAATCAAATTTGGTCAAAAAATGATTTTATCCTAAAAATACAGAAATTCCTTTGAAATGTCCATCCGTCCAAAAGTCGAATTGGAATGTGTCTTAATGTCCATTAGGCATCTTTCCTGCAAGCTTGAAGCAATTTTATTTTTTGGCCAAAATTCAAAAAAAATACAAGGGGTTAGCCTTACATTTTCAATCAAATTTGATCAAAAATTGATTTTATCCTAAAAATACAGAAATTCCTTTGAAATGTCCATCCGTCCAGAAATCGAATTCGAATGTGTTCTAGGGTCCATTAGGCATCTTTCCTGCAAGTTTGAAGCAATTTTATTTTTTGGCCAAAATTCAAAAAAATACAAGGGGTTAGCCTTACATTTTCAATCAAATTAGATCAAAAATTGATTTTATCCTAAAAATGCAGAAATTCCTTTGAAATGTCCATCCGTCCAGAAATCGAATTGGAATGTGTTCCAGGGTCCATTCGGC